ATTACGACAAGTGATCAAGTTTTTATTGTATTCCAAAGTTAAATTAGCATTTGTCGTCAGCAAAGTTAGATTGCGCGTTTCGCATACACTGACTGAGCAAGACTTAAATTTCCAAGAGTCCTCTTCTTTATGGTAATTTTCTTTGAGATCGTCTCGTCAGCTTCAATACTCCGTGACGTCAAGGCCTCTTTATTTAAAAACTCCCCTGTTATTTACTCATCAAGACTCGTTTGCAAAAATAGCCGAGCTGTTCTGCGCGTCTTTGAAACGATTATCACTTTCAAATCTGGCTTTTCTATTGCTTGAATAAATTTTTCAGCTGTTTCTGTTGTAAAATGATTAAAGCATACTATGAGATACTAAGAATGCAACTGGAAAACTAATCCTCATTTTTGGAGTTCGAAGAAGAAATATTTTTAATATTTAATTTTGTATGTCAGTTTATAATTTTCTATTTCTTGTAAGATGGTAACGAGATGTTGCATAAAAATTACTTTTAAACATTTTGCCGAATTAATCCATCAAAAATATGGTAAAAATGTTGATTGCTCAGATGAATGAATTTTAAAAAAAAAGTGAAAAAAAAAACAAGTTATGAACATTTTTCCATGAATTCAGAGTCTAAAATAAATGCAAATTAACTCACAATCAGTGTTCTTTCCTTTAATTTAAAAAAGGATTTTTTTATATTATTATATTTTCACAGATAAATTATTAACTTTGTAGTGAAGTTTTGTATGCAAAATGTTTTTGATGAAAAACTCCCCTTGTGCAATTAAAATAACTTTTGATCCGGAATGAAGCCCTGACGAGTTAAAATATAGCATTTTCCGGATTGCGGGTTGCTTTTTTCCGCTCTTTCGGCGTATTTGTTTAAGCGAGAGAGCTGCCGAGGGAAAATCGACCACACATTGCCCGGCCGTCGCACGCTGCCCAAAACAGGCCACCGCTTTTTAATCCATCGGAAGCAGAGTGGTGGCGGCGGACAAACCGCAAGATTAATGATATTGCAGCCGAGTGCTAAGCAGGTTGCATAGCCCTGGACAAAGTCGTTTATCTTTGGAACAAAACAAGCAGCGGGCAGGTGAATTAAGTGACCGCTCTGTGAAATATATGACACGCATCCCCGTGTGACGCGCCGCGTCCTGAGCAGGTGGCCTGACGGACGGGGGCACGCAACTGGGACTCGGGGCGCCGTCCCACGGGACGTGGCCTTGCGTGCCCGTTTCCTTCTTGGCGCAGTCCCACGGAACAAGAAGTGGAAAAGTCAGTCGATTAATACTAAGGTCCGCGGGGAGTTCTCACGAGCCCGGCCAAGGCCACATATTATGTTCGTTTAGACAAATAAAATTAACGAAATTATGTTTCCTCTTCTTCGTTTGTCTGCCCTCTGGGATGGTGCGGAACACGGTCGATTCTAGCAGGGAAACACGGAACGAATTATACACAAATATATATATTTTCACAAAAAGGCTCATTTGAATATTGCGTGCTTTCGCAGTAAATCCGTCCGTGACAAATTGCGTCGTTTTCACTGGGCCATGATATAATGGAGATTAAAATGGATTTGCGAGATTTTACCCGGGCTCAACAAAAGAAAAATCGAACACCGTCGGAAAAATAACGGGGTCGGCACAAAAACAACATTTGTTTGGCACAATGCGCCGGCAAAAGAGTGGGTCGCCGGTTCTTGCTCCGACTGACTGAGTTATTACTTGGGTGTGCACACTTTGCGATTCGCCATTTCCCAGAATCATACCTGCGGTGACATTGATTTTCGTCGGATTAAACCCATTTGAGGTTGTGTCAAAGTGACACATTCGCTCGTGGCAGAAGGTGTGGAATTCTTTAGAAACGTATCAATCAAGGCAAGAAGGTGGATGCAGGAAGTTGTACAAAATTAATTTAATTAATTCCTGTGGCGTTTGTCACGTGTCAGGAGCCACCCAGCGTTCCGGGAAAAACCATTATTCAAAAACTCTTTGAAAAGTTTTGCACTTTAAACTAGGCGTGAGCACGAGTTCTTATCTTTTCAATTTTGGCAAACTCCCGGAAAATTTCATCAAAAACTTTTGCCCCGGGGCACAATTTCCTTTGGTCCGTCCCTCGTTAGTCGTTTCTGCGAAAACCCAGGAGACTTTTCTTAACGCTAAAATGCATATGTTTGATATGGTTGTTAAAGGACGCCAGCAAAGGGAATATTTTACAGAGCTCAGCGCACTTGCAAGTAGTTCCACGTGAATAATGAATGATTCGAGTTGCAAAGGCAGACTGCAATAAATGCTAACTTTATTGGCAACGCTGTGCTTACGATCTCCAATGCAAATTTCTTTCCTCTTGACTCCACTTGACTTGAAGCTCACATAAGTGAATTCCGTTTCCTTTTTTCTCCTGAAATCTTCTATTTTGTCAAAGACGAATTCTGAAAATTAATTTGACAAAGTTTCCGGATTTTTCATTTTAAGTTTGTCTCTCTACCTCCCAAGAAGAGAGGAAACTTGCACGTTTAACAAAGTCTGCCAAGTTCTTCTCCAAGTCCATTTCGCATGCAAAGTCGAATTTGGCGCGCCCGACAAGAAAACCATCATCAAAGTTGCAAATCTTTTGATGGTGAAGCAACGACACTTTCCATCGCAGCCGGCGCGTCACAAATCTCTTGTGCGCAAGAGACGACGTGGTTTCATTTCGCCGGGGAGCCTCTGCTCCGAGGTAATGGCACCATAAGTGGATTAAGTGTAATTGCACTCACCTGCCTAATTCAATATTTCGCCTGCACGCCGGCGACCCATTTTTGCCTGCCGGCAAAAGCGAAGTCATCCAGCAGTGTCGTCTCACACGCCTTTTCTTACAAATGTCTCTTTCATCTGCGAAATCTTCCAACCAAATTTACATACATTTTACTTTCAAGGGCCTGGCAACCTTCAGGAAATCATCAAATCTAGATTTTAAATTGGAGAATCTGCTAGATCTTTCCAAAATGATTCAAAATTAAGTTCATTAAGTTGTCCAGAAAAATTTGTAGACCGAGTTGTAACCTTCCGAAGTTTTCCGAGCGGCTGCCATTATCTATTATCAAAAGAAATAATAAAATTGTCACCGTCACAAAAAATATAATTATTTACATTTTTTTTTATGTTCCTAGCCCATAAAATCTCTTAAGTTAAGTTCCAAAAATTAAAGTAGATTTAGAAAATAGTTTTTTTACATTTTATCTTATTTGTTAATTTTTAATATCAAATTTAGAGTAAGAGGAGCTCCCTTTTGGCAACAAATAGCCACGTTTATTGGCCGCAGGTTAGAAATTTTGCCAAACTTCAATAACACCTGGCGTGTTTGCGCCAGCCCCATTTGCCGAATTGGTCACAGACGAGCTGGGAGGCCAGCAGCAGATCCGAATGGTCAATCACACCAGTGGGGTCAATAAGCGTGTTCCTCTCAACGCAGGTTCCATTAGTGCAAACAGGCCGCCATCGAGTTGATGGTCGAAAAGAGACTCGACACTGCGTGAGAGAAGAGTGCTCGCCACGTACCGGCGTTTGAATCAATTTTTTCGATGCCGCCTTCCGCTGCCACGGGCTGATTGTTTTTGGAGCATTTTTATTTACTTTTGCGGACAGTTTGTGCGGTTGCTATGTGCGATTTGATTGCCTGTCAGTTGCGGCTGAGAGTGAATTTTGAGCTCCACTGCTCTTGAGGTTTATTACGTTTTTGCTAAAATAAAAAGGGTTGATGCCTCTGTGACAGAATGTAATAAAGTCTGACATAAGGATGGGTGAAAGCCAAATCCTCTCTCAGATTGAATTTTTACTTACACAAGGGGCAAAAAACGGCTGTCTAATTTTATTCAATATGGTGTAAAACGTTTCCCCTCCATTTTCTGCCATATATTTTGTGATTAATGGTGCTTCCTTTTTTGTAAAACAAACTAAGAAATGGTAAACAATTAGCTTAACAACTAAGTTTAGTATCTTTGCAAGAAAAATAAAATTAAAAAATTCCCATATATTTATCAATTTTATTGTGTTTAAATTTTTAATAGTTAGTATTGTATTTGCATTTTAATGACCTTTATTTTAAATCTGACATTTATTCAATTTTATTAATTTCATTTAAACTAAAACATATTTACTTATTTAATTGTTTAAAATTTAACTTTTCCATTCAATTATTATTATTACTATTTATTGTTCTCAGGGTTCTCTGTCAATACAAAAATTTGAAATTTGAACAATAACTCTTCTGGTGGATTGTAGAATTTTCCTATTTTGTGATTTAATATTATTAATATGTATTGAATTATTTACAATTAATGTTCATGTAACTAAATTGTTTATGAAAATTAATGTTCAAAGATGCAATCATTCAATGAAAACACTAAAGTGAAGATTTGATTAATTTTTCCAAATGAATAAATAGAGAAAAAACATGAGACGGAATTGCCTGAATTGTCTCTCTGTCCTCGAAAAAGGACGAAGCTGTACCAGCGAACTTGCTCAATCAAATGCAAATTCCCAGCTTAAGCTCGGCTCCAAAGTGTCTGCCTGATTGAAACGTCTGTTCGGAAAATTCAACCTCAAAGAGAAGGAGGGATAGGGACAGCGGGCGCCGGTTAGTTAATTGCAACACAGCCGGAAATGAGTTTCTCGGCCGCAGAGGACAATGGAGTTAGCGAAATCGCTTTCAATTACTTTCCAAACAAGCGCAGTACACGCGCGGAAAGGGCTCGCCCGTGTCGGCAGCAATCGAGTTTACCGCACCACGAATTCATTAGGGAAGCTGCTGGAAATCAACGGCAGAGAGAGAGAGAGAGAACTGCTGTGCTCGCTCTAATTTTTGCGCGGACCTTTTCGGCAGCGGCCAAACGCACCGAAAACCTCCGGCGGCTTTGTGCTAATACATTCTCTATTAGGGAGGGCGATGTTTAGTGTGTTGGATGTGGCACTGCAGGCGGAAAGCTAACCGCGTGTGTGTGATATTTCGTGTGCTCTCGTGTGTTTCAGTTGCCGCCACCGCCGCAGCCAGTAAAACTTCCTGATGAGAAGACTGGCGGTAAATCTTTAGACGAGGATCCAACTGAAGCCAGATTACCACCGACCATACCTTACTACAGTGAGCATTATTTTTTTTCCTCTGTGTGTGTCTGCCAGTAAATTATAGAGAAGAAATGTGCGGAGCCAAAAGCCTCTGCCTCTCTCGCGCCTCTCCAGAGGAGTTAATTTAACAAAAAAGCCACCACCACTTTTGCGCTCGAGCCACGTACACTGCACGAGAGCATGTATTTGTGTTAGCAAGTACATACTTTCCACAGAGCAGTCCCGTGGTGTGCCGGTCGTATTTTAATTTTTCTTCCTACGCGCCAGCCTGCACCGAAATGAGCTAGCCGGGCTACGGTGCTAAATAATATGCGGCTCTTTTTCTACTGAATAGAAAATTGCCCTCTCGACTAACAAGTTCAGCCAGCCAGCACGTCTAGTGTGCGGCCGATTTAATTTAGAACTTGCGGCAAGAAGAACTAAAGAGGCTTATCCGCAAATTAGATTTTCATCTCACATGATACATGATCACTAGTTTTTTTTATGTATAAAAAAAGTTATCAACCTGATATTCAAATTTTTGAATATCTAATTTTTAATTCCAAAATAAACTTTGATTTATATATTCATTAAAAATTTATTTTCTTTGGAGAAATAATAAAATTAATTATATATGTTACTTAATTTTTCATTCATAATTAAATGACAGCAGAATGGCAGAATTGATTTTTATGCTCTTCATTTGTGACAAGTGAATAATATTTTAAATTTAGTGCAAAATAAAACATTTTATTAATTTACAATTAATTTTTTATGCGTTTTAAACTATAATTTTATTCATTTATTTATAGATCGGTTTTTTTCTATTAATTCACACACATTAATTAACAAAATTAACAAAATTTTATATCAAGAGTAAATAATACTACCAAAATTTTTCTAAGATATAATAAATAAAATAAGGAAATTAAATTTTAAAAATTATAATTAGTTGGTACATCGAAAAAATTATTATCACTTCCAATTAAGTTTGACTCCTTCTCTCATATGAGTATCATACTATATTAGTATTATTACAAATAAAAATTAGTTATTTCATACATCATTTATCGCAGAATTAAAAATTTCCAAGTATGTAGATTAATGAGTAAGAATTATCCATTATCATTGCCTTAGTATTACCTTATTAAACTTAAAAAAACTGAGGCTCACTGCGGCGGACGGGATATTTTTTATCTTGAAGTTTAATTAAGTAAAATTCTTGCAAGGGGTGGTGCCGTTTTGTCGAACAATTAATTATTCTCAACCAAATTGTTTTCAAAAACTGAATGCAAGGTAGTTGTAAAAATGTGGAAAAAATTAGAAACAAAGGTATATCACGGTATATCATACTCTAAATTAGTAAATTGTTGTTAGTGTGCTTGTTTTTTTTCTAATTAGTGTAAATTAGTATCTTTACTGTTGTTCTAAAGAGTAATACAGTTTGTGGGGTTTTTTTTAGGTTTTTATGAGGTTTTACTGAAATTGTGCGAGAAAAACTTGGCTATAAAGAGCGGAATAGATACGAAATTTTTTATGAACTAAAATTTTTTTTTTTATTCAGTTTTTTATTTATAAAAAAAGATAAATTGATAAGAATTAATTTCTCAATTAAAATTCCAAATTTTGGTATGTGTCATCTTTTAAGTCAAGTTTGTCTCGCACAGTTCCAATAAAACCACATAAAAACCTCTTAAAAATGGTATAATAATAGTTACATTATTTTCAAGACACTTTAAAAACTTTATGCAACCTGCTTGACTTAAAAACCATGCACGTTGCATAGCCTGTAAAAACTCTGCATCTCTTTCTCGTCTGTTTTGTGTAAGTAACTTTATTTTATTTTTTAAACTTTTTCCGCACTTCTTCTTTTTTGATCTCGTTTTTCCGTGTCATCGGATTGAAACGATCCTGCTCGGCTTTTGAAAGACAAAAGACAGAATGGCGGACGGACGGTGGGTCTGTGTTCCTTTGCACAAGGAGATAATCCTGAATAAAAGAATTCCGGGTGTGGCACTTCAAAAGGATAACTGCGTGGTGCTTAACAACCGCAACATCGTCGGCCTGAGAAGAAGAAAAGTAAGGGAAGAAAAAAAATAAAAAGGGAGAGACGTTTGCAGGCTCGGCGCTCTTGATGGCATAACGAAGGAATATATACGTCATTAAAAACATCTCGCCACATTAAGTCGCTGATTTTACTTTTGCACACAAAACAAATAATTACACGAGCGGATGCGTACATTAATGGCGAGTCTCCATCTTTTTCGTCGCTTTTCATCCACTGTTTGATCAACTAACGATCCACCCCCTTTTTTATAATGCACTCTTTCTCGCTCACTCACAATTACCGGCCGGCGATAACAAGCGTGACAGAAGCATTAAACTCAAAAGGACAACTATTTTTTTTTTAATTTTTTTTAGAAAAAAAGCGTCCGCACTAGATGCGCTGGCTCGAATCATTCGCACCTGCCCGGGAGTGCTTCTTGCCTTTTGTTCAGCCACCGTGCAGTTGTGCGCTCCATGACATAAAAGGTGGCGCGTAACAACCGTGATTTTACTCTTTGTGGAATCCGAAAGCGAGAATGCTGCGGTTCATTGTGGGGTTCATGTTGAGGTTACCATCAACCCTGCTGGATTTCTTTGCAAATTGTATTTATCTTTTACAGAACCAAGTAAAATGTAGGTCAAGGTTTTCAAAACTGAACTTCAATTATTGGAAATTTACTTGATGTCCAAATATTTAAATATTCATTTTCTATACATTAATAAGAGTCAAGATCGGAATGGTCAAAGCAAGGATTTAAGTTTATTTAGTCTCCTTTCACGTTCTACTTAGAACATTAATTGGTTATATTTAAAAATCTAATTTTTATTTCAAAATAAATTAATTTATAATTGCTTCAATTAAATTAAAACAATAATTAGTGAAAATTGATTTTCAGTAATATTACTATTAAATAAAATTATTAGGTAAAAATTAAATTTAAATTGCAAAAAAATCAATATGGTAAGTAAAAGTGTTGCACATATAAATTAAAATTTGTAAATATAAAATTAGAAACAAGTAAAATTTCATGTTAAATAGGTTTATTAATAATTATCTTTTATATTGGTGATAATATATGAACATTCCAACAGGCCATAACTAATTTTTTTATTTCATATGTAGTGAAATAATAATTTCAGGAATAAATTTACATATTTTTTTTCAGAAATTTTATTTTTAGCCTCATGTTACATTTTCACTCTATTTGTTTCAGCGTCCATTCCTGGAGAGGTGCCGCCACCGTACACGATCGCTACCAACGGCCACGAATACGCTCAAATTGGGCCGCCGGCGGCGGCCAGAGTGGCCAACCATCAGCAGTCCGTCCCGGCCGCGCCTGTGGCGGCGGCCAAGTCGGGCATCGGCGACATGAGCACCGGCCTGATGATGGGCGCGGCCCTGACCAACTGGGGCCACGGCCTGGGGTGGGGCGGCGGCTGGGGCTGGGGCCACGAGGTGCACGGCGGCCAGTGTCTGTCGCACCACGACCTCGCGCACTACGTCGAGGACGACTTCAACGATTTCGACGACGCTGACTACGGCATGGACTGCAGTGGCGACTTCGCGTTCTAGATTGTGTGTAACTGAAGAAGGGTTGGATCGAAAGGGTTGGTTTTGCTCACTTGGCTCTCCTGGTTTTGCAAATCGCACGAGATTGGTTTGTTAGTAAAGAAGCGACGTCTATTATATAATTACTCTGTATCCGGAAATTCCGCACACACACTTTCTCGTCAATAATGTCCAAAAAATGAACAAGCTCTGAAAAAAATAATACGGAACGTTATTTTCAATGGTTACCGTGCACATTTGTATGTTTACGTAAGTCAAGGGAGAAAATCCATGAATGAATCTCACTGATGTCTTTGAAGGGAACTCATAAAGCGGGGCGCGTCAGCAGGCAAGGGAAAATCAAACAAATTTGTAAGACACCAGAAAGAGGTGTGCATTTGATAAACACCTTTTAGTATTTTTATATGAATAACAAACTGACAACAAAAAAGCAGACACGTGGAGATTTTTGGTCACGAACACACACACGCGCCAAATTATTAGCCTGCGCAATTATATAGTAAAAAATATTGTACATTAACCACGGTTAATTATTTTGTGTCTCTCACAAGCCGTATATATTACATGATGGAGACGTGTTTGATTTCAAAGGAACCTGTTAAAATCCGCGAACTTACTTGTTGAGCATGCTGGTGGTAATACGGATTAGTAATATTTGTCACCGCCACCACACACGCATTTAATAAAGAACACACACTCACTCTATACACAACAACAACAACACTGCTCCATTTAGGCCTATAAATTATAAAAAGTCTATTTTTAACAGACAAACAAAGATATGAAAATTTTCGAACCGAGCAAATATTAGAAGGGAGAATTTTTATGGACCAAGTGTATTGTAGACTGTAAGCATGTAAAAAAAAACCTTTCAATCTAGAAGTACGCATTTTTGTATTGATCCATTGTTAAGTGAATAATACATTTACGACATAGGGAACCTGTTTTCATAGCAGCTGTGTTCCTTCTTCTCATGCTGAAGGTGCTTGACACCATAAATATGTTACTTGGAAAGTGTATTTGCACTTCGCAAATACATTTCGCAGTCAGTATAAAACGTAGCCAGATCACTTCGAGTGTGCGTGAACGCAAATGAGATGAATAGGTGCGAGTCGTGGAAAAAGGATGTTTTTTAATCGTCTTTAACAAAAAATTGGCTTTTACGACAGCTTTTTAACACATGTGCTTGATATTATATTGATAGTATAATAATTGTAAAAATTTAATTATAAAACATAGACACTCTGTGATCCCCAGATTCGTTTATTATTCAGCAATGTCTGGCGAATTGATATGCATTGAAATTAAACCGCTACCGCACCCACCAGTATTGGTATGTGGAATGTAAATATTAATTATCTCGCAATTATTGTACGATTTAGGACACACACACACCTCTCTCGCAACTAATACTCTTAAGTGCGCATGTATTATTAAGTAATAAAAATTAATTGTAATTTTTATGATGACCCTACGCAGCAATTTGTGTACTGTATATTCAATGAGTGGTCAAATGGCGAGCAATGCAAAACTCTGTATCAATTATATAAAAAAAGTGAGTCAATGTGTTGCCAGAACAACAGCATGGAGTCACAATTAGAAGTAAAAACTCAGGAAGTCAAACTAGCAGACATGGAATTTTGTAAGAGCTGCTCCGATTCCATGGAGTTAGAATACTGATTGTCCATTTAACCAAAAAAAAACTTTGAATTTATTATGTTCCACCTCTAACAACGCACACAAAGCCGTGTTCTCTACAAAAACGATTCTGTTCCAGTTAATGTGTCAAAACTGATCAGCCTCTTCCAAAGTGGTGTGGCTTGGAACTGGCGTGCAAAATATAAGGTAAGTTTTATTTTTCCTTCTAATTTTTATTTCCTATTGTATAGTTTGGTGAAAAAATTAGTTTCTCAATTTGTTCCAAAATTGATTCTGGCAAAGAAATTTCCGTCATTAACTTTGGAACAGAGATATTTTTTTTTAAATAAAAGGTGTACAATTTGAATATCCAAAAATCATTAACTGACTTTTTTATGCAGAAAGTTGCAAACTTTCTAAAAAATTCCAGCGGTTAAAAAACTGCTAATTTAAAAAAAAAAACTTTTTCACCAATCTTACAATTTGATAAATTTTAAATTAAAAGCAAAAAATTTATGATTTTGAAACAGGCCTTTTTTGCGGTTATGCCACTCAAAAATTGTTGATGAACTTGGTGGCGCAGCGTCTTGGTGTCGGGTGCACACAAACACGCCAGAACATTTATTGCTATATTCGTTCGTACAAGCCAAGTTACATTATTTGCATCGGCGTCGCCGATGGAACAACTCCCTCTTGTTCGCAATGCTAGGCCGGGTGATTTCTCAAGAACTCCCAGCGCCCTTATTTGGCACGCCTCTCTCAGTCAAATATCACCCAAGTTTCTGCGTCCTGCTTTTAATGGCCCCGTCGTGCCCCTTTTTAAACAACAGCACCGACTGAGTGACTCGAATTGAAGCGTTTCATAAAAACCGTCTTTACGGCTCCACTCACTTGGCGGGCGGGCGAGTCTTGAACGTGAAATGATAAAGTTGCTCTCGAAATGGAATTGCCCAATCTAAACTAAAGGGTTTCAATTGCGAGCAATTTGCAGCAGATGAATGAGAAAGTAAACTTGCTTGAACTTTGCTTTCACTCTGCTCTGCACTTAATCGCTGCAGAGAAATTAGTTCTGTTCTACTTATTGAAAGTACTCAAAATTTATATAAAAAGCCACAAGCAGAGTTACAAGTTCTGAATTATCCAGTGGTAGACCATGGAAAATCTGAAATCTTGCTTGAACAGACACAAGTACTAATTACCATGCAAGTTTTGTAATTTATTTGCTTTGAATCGCTGATTGAATCCAACTACTACAAAACGAAAATTTTACACTATTTAACAGGAAAGTTCTTCCAGAAAAATTGTGGCTCCACAATCAATAAATTATTAATTAAATCGAACTAAATATTATTAATTTAATGTAAAATATTTCAATAGTATAATTATTATAAAATTTTATTAAAAACAAAATATAGGTTAAAGTAAATTTTGATAATTTAGTTGAACAAAAAAACAGTTTCTCAGGAAATTATTTTATTTTTGGTAAAATCTTTCCTCCGGAATCTTTTTGCCAACAGAAACCATACTTTTGCGGCACGTCAAGATTTTATCGCCAAAATTACACGCTGTGGCCACCAAGAATCCCATCCAATATTTTACATGACGTCAATGAAGCCCCTACCCAGTACCCACCTCATTAATTACATTTTTATGAAATTTCAAGGAAACTCTTGTGATCTTGTCTGCCCAGCTCATTTAAAAGCCACCCTTGCGACAAAAATAGAGCAAAAATTGACCGTGCAGTCTATAAATTGTTGCTCAGCCCTCTTGCTAGCTGGCAAAGAGAGCGGCAGGACGACGTAAAAAAGAGAGGGTGCACCGAAGACACATCTGCGGCCCGCCGTGAGTGTGACATAGATTGATAACCACTGCGGCCGCACGTGGAATAAGAACACGCGCGCGCCTTGTTATACTTTTAACGCCATTTCGCTGGAAAGAAAAAAAGAGAGATTAATGCGACAATAGAATAGCTGCACTCGATATCGCGAAATCCCACTCGAGATTAATTTCACTTCATCAGACCCGCCGGCAATTTCGACGAGAAAGAGAAGAACCTTTCTTGAGGAAAGATAACAAATTGGGGATTTCAAAGTCGCTCCACTTGGGCGAATTAATCCTTCCGAAAGAATAATGCGATTTCGTCTTTTCAATCTTACATATTTTACGGCCGCTCGTATAATTTTCCTAATACTCACTCGTTTCATTTTACAACGTGGAAACCAAAATATAAACGCCACCGCACACCAACGAGATGCACTCGCTTTACGGCACAACTTGAACGCCAATACAAATTGATCCGGAACCCATTTCAACTCAATCTCAACGCAGGAGAGCGCGAGATCCAGCTCAAAGCAAAAACTTTATCTTTCATAAAATTGCAGTTGACAAGAGTCGGCAAATATAATCCGTGGAGAGTGATGTAGTTTTTGCGCAATCCAATCGGCACCCTTGCTGCTCCATAACTCGTTACCACAACCTGAAGGGAAATTCAATTAAGCTGATCAACACTAACATGAGTGTTTTAATTTTTACAAAGCTCTAATTCAAATCCAAATAATAAAAAACAACCTAAGGGAAATTTCCGTTTAAAAATGAAGTGCTTTTAAAATGTATAAATATATTTGCATTGTCTGAGAATGAGTGACACGTAACTAGGCTGGAAAAAATGACACGGAAAACAACGGCACATTCTCTTTTTGAACTGCATATCCGTGCGTTCACCGAGGCTCCAAAGAGTATATTTAAAATTTCCGTTTCAAGTGAGCGAAGCAGCGCAAACACGAAAACATAAATCATTCCTTTCGGGGGCCTCTTGTGTGCGAATCCATTTGTGACAGCGTTTGTACGTGAGTCTTTGCCCATTTCCATATAGGTATGAGGGAGAGAGAGAAGGCCGGGACGCCTAATCCGAAATTTCACCTTGCACCGGCAAACGCGAGCTGAATATAGCATCAGCAGCACACCCGGCTAACGCACAGACGTTCGCATTTAATTATTAAAAGCGTCACCGACACGTCGGGGGATTTTTGCACCACTCGGCGCGGCGCGCGAGGGTCGGTGAGAGAAAAAGAGAGAGAGCGACGCTCTCCTGAACCCTTGCATAAATCGTGACGCCCCGTGTGTGTTTGTGCGTCTTTTGTTATTCACGTGCGTGCTCATGCAATTCTCATTGAGCTGACCTATTCAGAAGAATTAGTTTATTTTGAACCGATAATTTCATAACGCACACATTCATATGGATTAGTAGATTTGCAAACTCCAGTCTCAATTATATAAAAAAAAATTATAATATTTAATATTTTTTTTATTTTTTAAACTACCCCACAGATAAAATTATGCATTAAAATTTAAAATTCTTCAATTAACATTGCATAAAAAGAAATTATAAGCTATCAACTGAACCAAACTATGCTACTTATTTGTGAAAAGTATCTTTCAATTTTCTGTGAAATAAGAAATAAGTTAGGCCTGTTCAGTTTTAAAGGGGTTGAATTAACAGTAAAATTTTTACACTTTTTTTAAGTAATGACAAAATTATTAAATATTAAATCATAATAATAACCACTTTGGGGATTTTAAACCTGTAGGGAGAAAATCATTAAATTTTTTACCAAGATTTTGAAACAATTATCCATTTAAAGACTCAGGAATAAAAGAGATGAAATGAAAAATATTGTTATGGGTTTATAAAAAATTGTAAAATTTTTACTTCCATTTCCTAGAAGTTGAAAAGAATTCCATTTAAAGTTTCCGCAGACCCAAATTATCATTTAAAATTAATTGCATTTTTTTCTCGATCCCTTTTGCTCACGAGTAGCAATCATAAAAAAAATGCGATAATTTAATTCCCACTTTTCCGCCATAATAATAGATCGAGGACGGATGTCGGCAAACGTGACCAAAAGTGCAACGGAAGCACACACGTACACAACGAGGGCAATAAATCTCTCGTCGGAGAGCAAAACAAATCAAAACTGTGCACCCGCAGGCACAGTAGCATTCATATTTCCTGCGGCTCAATTACGCCGCGTCCAATGTTAATTAATCCGCGCGCAGTGATGAATGGGTTCTCCGGCTGCAAGCGTTACAAAAATTCGCCAATGAAACATGCACGCCGACATCTAAATCGGATGTGACCCAATTCCTTTGGTACAGAAAATTCCTCCCCGAGCTGGGTCGGTTGTTACACACATAGGCACGTGTGTATGCACAGCACGTGAAACGCTGATGCAGGGAGCTCTCCATAGAGATCAAAAGTAAACACAATTTCGCAAAAAAGGCAAACACAGATTGAGAGAGTGGAGAGCAGAAATATGCATGCATCAAAGTGGCCTGATCTAATTAAAAAGCGGTGCATTAATTTCTCATGCATGACGATTAATAATTTTTCCGGGTAATATCAAACGCAAACAGACCCCTTTTGATTGCACTTTGCTATCGATGATGGATTGTTGTTTCAACGCTCAGAAATGAGATGAGTGCGCACGTCCCATCACTGCAAAGAGCAAAGTTATACAACCCGCCTCGCGGTTGCATGAATCGTTTGCCTGTTTTTTTTTCTTTTTCATTTTTTAAATTAATCCCTGCTCTACTTTGCAACGAGTAAAATTCTTTCCTTCCTTGTTTCAGATTGTGGGCCGCCGAGAAAAGGATTACCGAGCTGCCACATCTTACAGATTTAGTTGGACGAAGATTAGAATATATTTCTTTATGTAATTTTTCATGATGTTAAAAAAAATCTCACCACTTGCTATAGATTTTGTTTCATAATAACGTGTGTAACTCGTAAAGCTCACCGTTTAGAAGAGGAAAACTTGCTGTATTTTACGTCTTACAGAAAACAGCATTATTTGATATAATGTTGAAGAGGTTTTAATCCCGCCGCTACGTCCCCAACTATATACTAAACTGCAATATTAATATCATGGATTGCTGTTTCTATTTGCAGTCAGAAACATCTTGTACATAATGCGCCCCCCCACATTTATCGACAATGTTAGAAGCCATTTATGTAAGAATGAATTTAAAAAAAAAAAAAACATTATAAAAACTGCAAGCTCGGATCATTTCTTTCCCTAAAGCCAGCCAGCCATGGGGAATGAAACAATCCAAGTTGTGGCAAGAAGTGAAAAAAGTCAGAGAAAATGGATTAAAATGAATGTTGTGAGCATCTCAGTAACTGTATAGTTGCCTGTTTGTTGTTGCAATTGATCTTTGAATGTTAGCGCTCAAAATTCACAAGAGTTTGCAAAATACGAGAGTGGCCAGAGTTAAATTAAAATTTATTTCTCTAAGAATGAATTGAGCATAAATTTGTTTGCAAAATGAATCATTTGTTACATTGGGTTTCTTTGCTTAAAGGTTGCAGCAAGATTATATTGGAAACGGACCTAATTGGATGTGTAAAGTAAATCGATGTCGCATATTATCTCAATGTTGGTTGGGTAGAATTGTATGTGGAAGAGTTGAATTAAATTGCGTCTTCATGACAATCCAATGTTATGAAAATTACACACCCAAAACATGTGCACTTAAATGTGCACAATGTACAACTTGAGTTTCTTGAGTTCTTATCAAGGCCATCAACACAAAAAGGCAAATACACAAAGCTAAAAGTATGAAAATTCAGTCGTTAGTCGTTCGAATCATTGCCTTTCATGTTCCATAATCCATTTTAATAGAAATTTCGGATCGGTTTTTGTTTAGGAACTAGAAAATTGCCGTTTTGGTCAAACACAAACACGGAAAAACTTGTTTAGCTGTCCTGGTGCTAGAGAAGTGGGCCGGAAGAAGCCCACTTTGGAGAAAACATTCCCAATTTGCTGTGCGCCTCATTAGGCCCTAGCGCAAAACTGTATTCTGTGGAAAAAATTTAAAATTGAATGTTGCCTCCACTGCTAAAACTATATTAATATAAACCATTTAAAATGATAGATTGTAAAATGCTTGAATTTGAAGAGATCAATATGAAATGTAAGTCGTGAGGAGGAAAATAAAAAAATAATATTTGTTATAGCTATGTAACATTTTGAACTTTTATTTATGAACACAAAATGATGATCTGCATGAGTGGGGTATAAAGGCACGACAAAATTGATCATACAGTTCAAAATACCCAGAAATCTAATTTCATTTATGCAGAATAAACTGGTCAGCAATCAACACTTCTATGGTAACTTCGCATTGTACTTCAGATAAAAAGGACCATATTTTTAAGATTTTGATTATTATGGCCACAAGGATAATCTATCTATTGCAGGTCGGTCTACAAAAACTTGGATCAACAAAATTTGTGCTTTACTGCGATTTAGTTTCTTGAGCATCCGTCTTAAGGTCATTCGGAGGACCTTTCTCTTTATTAAAACTATTATCTTTTCTCAATTGAGCAAACCTTAAATGCTACAACTAAAAGGCACTTGTCTGAAACGGCAGGGGTGCCTCGGACAGGAAGTAGGTTTGCTTGGAAAAAAAACTAGAGCATCAGTCATGGATGAGGGCCTTCTTGAGAGTAGACCTTAAATACTAGCACCTGCCTGTTTGTTCTGAAGGAGACTCTGGGTGGTGGCCAAGTGCAGCTTCAAGTTGTCTCGTCTCTTCTCTAACGTCACAATGTATTCATCAATGCTTTTATTTACTTCCCTTTGCTTCTCCAGCTCGTCTAGCAAATTACCAACTAAAAATTTTTAAATTCAATTAGTTCGTTACAATAAGAAGTAATAAAAATAATTCAAGTTTCATCATATCTTTTCTATAGAAATAAAAGTGTCCTTTTTTTATTTTGACAATTAAAAGTCACTTACTTTCAGTTCCTTTCACAGCCTCTTTAACAGCATTGCGTAGGAAGCCATTGTTGAGTGATAGGAAAGCTTCCATGGAACGAGCATCTAACTGCTTATTTTTAGCTTCCTCTTGAGCTTTCGGAGCTTCAGCCTTGCTTTGAGATCGGGTCACTCTCTGTGGCACTAATTCTACTTCATCACACTTTGGTTGCTCTTCTTGTTCACTTATGCCCGAGTCGGCAGAATCACGGTCAGATTGAAAATCACGCTGTAGATAAAAATAAGTTAATAACGATTCAATATCATTTTGAACTGACTAACCTTCTCGTCCAAAAATGAGCAACAGACATCAAAGGCAATTTGCAACATTCTGTCCCTCTCAAACACCAATTGTTCAATGTCTTGTGTTTCAACTTCAGAGACTTGTATGTTGTTAGGATTTTTTTCTTTTGAGCTGGATTTCAAAAAATATATTATTAAAGGTTCTTAAGTAATTTGAGAATTTTTCTAATTTAATTACACACCTTCTCTTAAGGCAATAATCATGATCAAGCTCATTTTTAAAAGTAGACTCTTCTACTCCTTGCTGACCGTCTAATTTCCATATTTCCATGGAGGGATTAGCTTCTTTTTTTCCCTCAAATTTCAGGCAGCCATGAGTTGCCACCTTTTCTTCCAGTTTGATCTGCACTTTTAATTTCTCCTTGTTGCAATCCATAATCTCAAACGTCAGTCCAGCCCCGCCTTTGAATTTTATATTATGAAACACAAATATTGAAATATTTAAAATAATTTTAATTAGAAAACGCCGGCTCAAAGCGATTTTGCCTTTTGCCACACTGAATAAAACATACATGCATACCTTGTAATTTTCAAATGATTTGATCGGGAAGGAAGATGATTGTGCAAAATTCTACTCGCAACTTTAGCAGCACATTGTTTCTTTTGCAATCTGCGCTTTCCAGGGGCCACGCTCGCAGAATTGTCGCAATAATTGCTACTGCGAAACGAAACGAAAGAGAACAAAAAGCACGCGCGGGATTTCCCTCGGCGACCAGCTGCTAAAATGTGTAGTAGTAAACATAAGTGGCGGTCGTGATTGGCCTTCATTCCCGCGGCCAATGGTTGTACTTTGACGTCATCGGTGCGCTACATCTTCGAAGATTATTGGCGCTAAAGCCACGTTCATACAAGTCGAATCTCCATCTCTGCACTGAAAACCAGATTCAATTGGAGGACACTAATTTTATTGTTATTACCAGCTACCACCAACGAAATAATATTTGCCTGGAGCTTTCCATGAATTATTAGAGGTGACACATACTTAAATTAAATTAATTAAATTAGAGTTATGTTGACATCATCTGAAAATGTCGAAAATGTATCAAAATTCCAGCATGAAGAATTTTGAATATTATTGGGAAAAAATTAACAAAATTATTTTACTTATTATTTTATTGAAACATTCAAATGTGTATTTTCAAAAGTTTTAGAAATATACTTAATAAATTAATTGAGTTTAAAAAATTTACATTTCAACCGATATCAATTATTTTTCTTCATTTGGGCCAACACTATAAAGTATGTGACAACAGCACCGATAATTGTGCCAAAAAATTCCATCGACAATTCAAAAAAAGAGCCCACATGCACTACAAACGTTTTCGAAAATCTAGCCTCCAGCATTTGTGCGCAAAGTAGTTTTTCCTCCGAAAGATCGGTCCACGGACCCTGGAACACAGCATCTCCCAACCGGTGAGCCTAGAATTTTGTGAGCACAAATAAATTTATTAATTTGGAGGTGAAATAAAATATTTTGATTTAATTACATTGTTTCGTAATCGTTGACCTGTTTCACAAAATATGTACGTTTGCAGGAGAGTGATGCTTGTAAAAAATATTCCGCTCAACAGATAATAACTATTTTGGGATCCATAACTCTGCAAAAAAATTGTAAAAAATAAAAAATATATTGCAAGTAAGAAAAAAAATTTAAAAGTTACAGTATTGGTGAGCATGTATGTTTCAAGGCAGGCAGCACAAGCACTGTGTAAAACAATGGCTAGAATAAATGGTGCGAGGACTTTGTCAATTGAGTGGTGAATGCTGAAATTAGAATGAGAGATTAGATATGCAATTTTTTTTAACCTCAATAAAAAGAAACTGTTTACCGTTCCAACAAATTAGAGTATGATGTCCAAGTTTTAAGATCCAAGGATAGAAAACTGTTCTGGAGTTTAAGAAATTTTACTTCCATTTTAAATAATGATTCTGGAAACTCTTGTATCAACATATTCAATTCTTCACTCACAATATATATTAAATACACCGAAAATGCAAATTGACCAGAGATGCGAAAAATAGCAAAAAAATTGCCGATTTTCGGTATAATATGGAAAAATGCAAAATTGAATGTGTTGCTTCTGTCCTTAGAAGCTTTTTGGATGACGCTTTCATTTTTAAAAATATCAAAAGTTTCAATATCTTTTTCATTTACTTCATTTGTTCGATCAAAATTAAGTAAAGTTAATTCTATGATGGCATCTAAATTGTTAAAAACAATAGGCCCAGCGGTTATTAAAAGGATGATGTTTGAAATGTTCTTCTGAATTCTTTTCTGCTGGTTTTGGATTCCAGGTAGTTGCGTGTACTTTTGCAACTCACGCAAAATTTTTGTAATGTTACAGCGATTTTTTTGAAAAATTGCCGTCCCAATTAATGATAGAATCAAATTCTGATTGGATCGAATCACTTGAATTGACTTTGACATAAAATCTGAGTTGAAGGTTCTGTCAGTCAGAAGTATATAAATGGTTATAGTTACTTGCACCATGTGATAAAAGTTAAGAAAAAGTTCATAAAAAACAGCTGCAAATCGCGGTACCCTAGTCTGAAAGTCCAGTTCTCCGTGTGGTATCCAAATTCCAGAGATCAACAGAATAATCAGAAGCGGCTTAAATGTGAAACTGCTGCTTCTCATTTTGTACGTCTTAAGCTTGGGAGATTAAAACTAAACTTGTATTATGAAAAACCGTGAAGAACAAAAACTGATAATTTAGCTTAGATGTGGTCATAGGAAATTGCAGGTGATGACGATGACATGCTTGTCAAAGGAAAATTATTGATTTCAATAGCAGGTCAATATTTATTAATCACAAAGTAGGTTGAATTATTAAAGAAAATATTCAACTACTTTGCTAGCCGCTCATATGCATAAATTACATAAATACCCATTAAAAATTAATCATTAATGATCAATACACAACTTCGGAACTCAATATTTCCCACAATAAAGAAATATTTTAAAAGATTAAACTTTGCCGAAATAGATATGGAGGTATCTTTAAATTTTTATCTTGCCTGAACAAGTACAATGTAATAGGTAATAATTGTTCCAACTGCTGTTGCGAAAAACTGTGAAGACAACACAAAGAAATTCCCCCCTCGGAGAACAAGTAATTTCTCGCATTTCCCTGCTATTAAATTAAAGCAATGAAGTTGATGGGAATCTAGGTCCAACCACGGTCCTTTTTGTATTTCATCAGGAATGCTTGCTGACTAAAAAAAAAAATGGGACAAACTTTTACAGCAGAAAAAAATTAATTACTTAATTACCAATGTTTTCAAGCTCTGTCCGAAGGCGCAGTAAATGTAAATTCTAAGCAATACCAATAAAGCATTCAGTACACCAACAAAAATATGCGTTGCATCGTCTTGAGCATGCTGGGAAAATTAGAATATTTCTTTCAAAAATGATGATGAAGTTAAATGGGTAAAAAAAATTATATTACCAAGTCCATGTTAGAATAAAAATATGCAGAAACGCAGAGTGTTGCTATGTCCCGTGATATTGTGGCTATAATACATGGCGATAATATATCAGAGCACCTTGTATGAAGCCTGTAATTCAATAAATAAAAATTAGCTTTAGAGTTGCATTTAAAATAAATTTATCAATACCCAATCAATTTGTCCATGTTGGCAACCCATGCTTTAAAGTATTTAGAGCCAATTTTTTCTTTCTTAGAGTTGCAGTGCTTGAGAGTGAGTTGTTGATGCGAATAAAATACACTGCCAAGTTTTCTCTTCAGTATTCGCAATTCTGCGTGTGTTACGATAAAGAAACAGGCAATACACGCATCAAAGCACAAACCATTAAGATTTGCTAGCCCATAGTTTGCGTGAGGACAAGCAATCATTAAAAACTTGTTTGAAAGAACTATTTGCAAAATTGTATCGTTCAAATTACTTTCAGGACTGGGATTATTGGGAGTGACTAAAATTATGTACATGATGTATGCACCGCTACCTACTATGTATAAAAACGAAACTGTTGTAAAAGAAATGATCGACTGAAACAAATATTTTTCAATTCGAGACCTATTAGAGCGAAACAAGGGCAAATATGTAAAGTCGTTAAAATCTTTGATGACGGACGTGATTTTTTGACGATGCAATTGGAACATTATTGAAATAAAAAGCGAACAAGCTAACGTCTGCACAGCACCCACTAAGTGAACACTTTTGTCTACAGAATTTCTAGCAGACTTAAGTAAAAGGAAACAAGCGACAGTGATGTGCGTTAATTGAGAGAAGCGTAGCACATGTTCGTAGAGTTTCGCTCCAAAGCAAAGTAATTTACTTTTAAATTGCAGGAAACTCATTGGCAGCCAAAATCCAGACAAAAATTGCAAAAATAAGACAAAACGAAATCCAAGGACGTAGAAATATTTGCACGACATGCTGAATGTTTGGCAATGAGGACAAACTAATAATGCAAATTTTGTGTTGATTTGAAAGTGCACGTTGTCACTTAAGCATGCATATCAAAAGAAAATTTATTGATTTCAAACTGCTCAAATATTTATATTTTAGTCATTGAGTGAAGCGATTACTACAATACAAATCAACAATGAAAGATCGAAACGTTTTTCATCTAATTACATAATTTTTGTAGTAATAATCACATGATCCATATTAATATATGCATTGTTTTAAAATATGATAAAAGAGAAAATTGTAATTATACACATGCAAAATTTAACTCGCTAGTTTTTCAATAAAAACGGAGCAATATATTTTTAATTAAAAAGTAAATTTAACTTGAAAAATATATTAAGTTTGACATATTTATTTTTATCTTGCCTGAGCAAGTACAATGTAATAGGTAATCACCGTCCCAACTGCTGTCGCAAAAAATTGAGAAGATAATACAAAGTAATGTCCCCCTCTAAAAACAAATAATTTTTCACATCTAACTGACAATAAATTGATGCACTGCAGTTGATGGGAATCCAGGTCCAGCCACGGTCCTTTTTGAATTTCATCAGTAATGCTTCCAGACTGGAAAACGCAGAGCTTTACTCTAGCTAATTTCAAGAGGGGTCAATTAACAATAAGTACCAGTGTTTTCAAGCGCTGTCCTAGAGAGCAGTAATTGTAAACTCTATACAATACTAAGCAAGCGCCAATCAAACCAGCAACGTAGCTAGACATTAGAATTGCATTTCCACGAGGCTAATAAATAAAATCAAGCACAATTTATTTTGAAACATAAGTAATAAAAATTGACTATGATTACCCATGCTATATTGGAGTAAAAATACGCAGTGATGCAGAGCGTTGAAATATCTCTTGCTACGCTGGCTATGAGACAAGGTGACAATATATCAGAGCACCTTGAGTGAAGCCTTTTATATTATAAATGATTAATTTTTTACAAATAGCTGTAAAATAATTTATACTCAGCCAATTTTTCCATATCGTGCACCCACGATTTCAAATCAATTTTTTCTTTCTTCAAAGAGCAGAACTGCAATTTGCGAGTGGGGTGGCCAGAAAAAAATACTATGGCCAATTTTTTCTTCAGTATTTCTAATTCTTTGAGTGCAACAATGACGAAGCAAACAGCGTATATATCAAAGCACAAGGCTTCAAGATTTGCAAGAAATTGATGTAGGTTCGGATATATTCTCAAAAGAAATTTGCTTGAAAGTATTGTATCCAGTACAAAATTGGTCTCATTTGGATTCAAATTATTCCTAGGAATTGGATTCAGAGAAACTAAGTATATATTTAGCATATTGCTACCCACTGTAAATAAAAATGCAACTGCCACATAAGAAATGATCGAATGAAACAAATGTTTCTCCAATCGGGACCTATTAGAGCAAAATAAGGGTGAAAATGTTAAGTCATTATAATGTTTGATAACATTAGTTATTTTTTGACGGCGCAATTGAAAAATTGCTGAAATAAAAGTTGAATAAGCTAATGTCTGCACGGCACCCACCAAGTAGACAGTTTTATCGACAGAGCTTTCAGAAGCAGACAGTTTCATTAAAACGAAAGACGAGATAATACTGAGTGTCAATCGAAGAAAGTGTAATACAAGTTCGTAGAGCTTCGCTCCAAAGCAAAGAAATTTACTTTTAAATTGGAGGACACTTACTGGCAACCAAAATCCTGACACAAGCGTCAAATACAAGACAAAACGAAAACTAAAAATGTACAGCAAATTGCGTTCCATGCTGGAAGATCTTATCACCAGGCGCAAACTATTTATAATGATTTCACCTGTCGTTCAAAATAATTATTATAAAGGGCTCTCCGGTGTGTGGGCCAAAGGGGTATAAAAATCAATGAACTTTGTATGCTAAACATAAACATTGCTGGTGATATTAAATTACCTGATGACGTTATTCAAAACTAAAAAATTTTGCTTCTGATGAAAGTTATTAAAACATACAAGAATGAACGAAGAAGTGAAAAATTTTTGTAAATTAATCTCATCCACAGCAATGTTTAATTTCTACAAAATACAGACCAAACTGCTTTGCCATTTGTGTTTTTTTTAAACATATTATCTTTTTTTTATCCTTATGCATTTTTTTTCCAAATTTAAAGTTCATGTTTTGATGGAAAAAATATGGAAGCGTCTGCTACAGAATAAAAAAAATCAAAACATAAATATTTAAAAGTCTATTTTGGGTAATAGTTATTAAAAGGCATTTATATTTGAAATGATTCAATGTAATCTTACAATTTATTGTTCCATAAAACAGCACAGTAGTAATGCATTTTTGTCAATATCATATAATTTTATGGTGGTTTGTTTATTTATTTTATTTCATGGCCAAGTTAGCCAAGATTAATCATTAAATTAAAAGCAGATCACGATAAAGGAAATTCATTGAAATCAAGAAATTCTTGTTAATTATCAGCATCATGCTAGAGCTTTTAAAAAGTTAAATGGTATAAAAATATATAGCTCCACGGAAAATATTTTGAAATAATGTCTTGATTCATTATCTGTACTTCTTGTTACATTAATAAGAGTAAATAATGCTTCATTGTTTTTCCCTCATATAATTAGCTTATTGGTTTGGTCGTGTACTCACGAGTTACTAGTCTCCAGGATAACCAGCAGGACCGTCCTCTGCCAAAATATAAGTTAGATTTTAGCAGCGCCAATATAATAAGCTCTTTGATTGAAAGTACCTGTAAAGAAGTTGAGCTTCCTGATTTGGACGAGCAGCTCTTCAACATAGGAATCTTCATTTTTAGGAACTGCATTTGAGGTGCCATCATCTCCGGCAGACTCCATTTCGGAAATCTTGTCCTTAAGCTTCTGCTGGAGTTGCTCCAATTTGCCTCTGATGGCTGACAGATTTTCATCAGGAGCTCGAAAATCGACCTGGACGGGTGGTCCCAACTTGAAGGGGCAGTTAGTGTGCGTGTATCCACCATGAATGTAGATGTGTTCCAAGAGAGCACGCCAGTTTTTGTCAGTCTGCAAGAGGTGTGGGTTTCCAACGATGATCAAAAGAGCACTGGCCCTGGTTACAGCAACATTGAACCTCTGAAAAAAAGCAAATTAGTTAGTTGCTCATATATAATAATGATTATTTTTATAATGTACCCTTGGTTCGCGCACAAATCCGAGATTGAATTTGTGGTCCAATTTGAGTTGGGCAGGGTTTGATCTGACAGTCGAAATGATGATGACTCTCCTTTCCTGGCCTTGGAATTCCTCAACAGATCCAACACAGACGTCAGGAAAGCCAGCACAAGCCAAAGCTCTGTTCAGTTTATTGAGCTGGCCACGGTATGGGCTCACCACACCAATTTCGTTTTGGCTCAGCATCACACCGTTGAACTCTGAGGCCATTATCTTCTTCACATATTTGACCACTTCGTGGACTTCAGCCACATTGAAGTAGCTGAAATTTTTATTAATAAAAATTTTAAAAATTTAATTTTTGCACAAATAAAATACCTGGGTGATTGTGGGCTCTGCTCATCCCTTCCATTGATGCCATGGAAAACCAGGGGAAATTCACTATTAGGCAGCCATGTTAGACCACAGGCTGAAGCAATTTTCTTGATATCACCACATGGCTGAAAGGTTAAATTATAATTCTATTCTAACTTCATGTACACCTCAACTTACAAGCAACTCTCCCTCGTAGAAGAGGTCATTAGGCACCTTCAGGATTTGCGGATGAGATCGGTAATTGTAGGTTAGCTTTGTGAGGACGCTAGCATTGTAGCTACCTTCAGTCTTTTGGTACAAATCAACTGAGTCCATCAATCTCACCAGCAATGAGTCCCCTGCAAAATCAGACATTATTTGAATGCTTCGGAGGAATTTTATAATTTTACCTAGACCCATTGCTATAGCTACAGGGGAATGGACGATTGGACCCAACTGTTTAGGATCACCAGAGATCACAATCTGACTAGGCCTGTGGCGATAGCCTTGAAGCCCAGCAATAGGCACAAGTGCACTTGGCTCCATTCCATGCCCACACTCATCGATGAAGATGTGAGTGAAGTGTCCAGGCTGGAAGTTTCCACTGTACAGTCTTCCAGCGCTAATCATTGTCATAACAACAACCCTGAACTGCAACAAGTAGTTGAGTGCTGGAAAGTGGCACGATTCGTCCTGGTAATTGGAAACTGGTCTCAATTTCTGAGGAACTTTAGAGCTGCAACAAAATTTACTTTATAAATTACTGAACAATGCAAGATTTTCTGATTTACTATTTAACGCTAGGACTGTACAAGCGGATCAGTTTGCTGGCTGGCACGGATTCCAGGAGTTTTAAGGCCAGCAAATCTGCAGCCCAGTTGGAGGGAGCAACAGCCAAGATGTGAGAGCCACTTTTGAGCAAGTAAACTTGCTTCATTGCTTCAACAAGAGTCACCGTCTTGCCTGTACCTGGAGGCCCAAAGATCAAATAGGGTGCTGGCATGGACGTCCCATTCACAATGTTTTGCACAGCTTGCCGCTGCATGGGATTTTGGCTGATACGAGTGTTAAACCAATCAATGCTGCAAATTTGTATAGAGTTAATTTTCATCTAAGCATAACTTTCAGATCAACGTACATGTTGATTTCTTCCTTGAATGATTCACAAGTACGTGGGAACAAAGTTTGTGGCAATTGCTGAGTGTCCCTCATCAATTCCAGCGCCCTGTGCTGTACCTTCAGGCACGTCCTGTTGAAGGAGAAATGGACCGAAACTTTTAAGTCCGGATGAAAGTCTTGAACAAAGCTGAAATCAACTCATTGAAGTTATTTGTTACTCTTATATAGATTATACTCACCTAGGACCCATTCCAAATCTGATGCGGTGCTGCTCAACCAAGTTAACAAACCCCTTGTACACTCCCAAACTAGTGGTGATGTAAATTGCATCACAAACAAGTACCGAAGGACGATTTTCAGCAAGACCAGGTACCTTAATGGAGGAAGTAAGACTCAGTAGACTTTAAAAAATGTTGGACGAAAGAAATACTTGTAGGTAGAAATTCCTTGAGGTGCCAATATGCTGCAGAGTTGCATCTTCCAAAGCATATTTCCTCAAGTCACACAGAATTTGATGTTCCTCCAAGAAAAGCAAGAGCTTGAAGAATGGGGTATAATTATTTACAACTGCTCCGCCTAAAAGGCACTCCCTATACAAATTTTCAACATTAAACATTGCAGACAAAAAATTAACATTAGTTTTTACAAAATCTTTAGTTTCTTCTTGAGAGTTTCAAGCCAGGGGTCAGGGCCAATGTTAAATCCATAGTTGAAGTAGCTGATATGACGCCATGGCAAAGGATAGTCCTCCAGTCTGTGGACAACTTTTAGTGAAGATCTGGGAAGAGGAGGAAACTCTGCTTCTTCTATGAGAGGAGGTTCGATGATGTTGTAGTCTTCTTCATCAACCATGTGGAACTTCTGTCTTCTAGGTGTACCACTGATCTCGGAAGTTTCCTCAGTATATGAGTATCCAATTTTAATGTTCTGCAAATATATACAATTTATACAAATTTTGTTGGGTAGTAGCATAAAATTTTTACCATCTTCTTCATAACAAAGAACTCTTCAACAAGATCACCCTCCTCATTTATGAAGCAGAACTTGAAAGCAATCACATATTCTAAGAAACCAGGGTAAATGCAATCAAGGACGAAACTCTTCATTGAAGGAACTCCTAAAAAAGTAACAAATAAATACTCATAAGTAACACAAACACACAAAAATACCTTTCTCAAGCACAATAGCACTCTTTTCATCTACAGAGAGAATGTCTTCATCTCCAACGACATAAAATGTCTCCAAAAGATGACAATTTAAGCCACTCTCCTCAGAAGGATGGTAAAGCAATTCCAAGTAGATGTCCCTTTTCAAGGGTTCCTCTGATTCCTATAAATATTTTTGCCGAAATTTATAAAACGGCAATAATTTAAGATGTAAGTACTGACCAGCACAATATGGAAGCTTAAAGTTTCTCGCCCTTCATTTTCTGCCGAGCTCTGAATGACAATACTTTGACGTTTTCCACTCAACTCATCAGGTAAACCAGCTCCATCACTTTTCCCTCTAAAATGAAAACCTGGTTAAACAGAACTTACCGAAAACCTTCACACGATACTACCTTGTTTTTGAGTAGATGGTCATGAATTTGTGCATGTCAGTATCCAAGTGGTTCTCCAAGTCTTCACTATTTGCAAATGACGAAGCGCATTCGGAACAATAGTCCATGTCCTGAGGGTAGTATATCTCTGGTTGATTGAAAAGGTTCCCAACACTGAATGCCCTTCGCTGATCAATAAAAGTCTTGCGATTGTCATTCACATATTCCCCAGTAACTACGCTCCACTCGAAACGTTTGGAACCAGGGAGAAGACCATTGTCTCGCATCAGATTAGCCACAGTTCTGCTCATGCCCTTCTGTGCATTATTGAATCTTTGTCTTCCTGTCTTCTGTTGCTGTCTAGAGGCTTGGAAGTTTGTAAAACCATTAAATGATGTTCCGTTAGGTTGGGAAGGTACCAGCTGATTACTTGGTGGATATTGAACTAGAAAAAAATGCTCACATTATTAAAAAAAATTTTTTTTACAAATTCTATTCTTACCTGGTTGAGTTAGTAGAGGTTTCTGCTGTGGTTGCTGTTGTGAAACTATAAATAAATAGAACATTAAAAATAAGAAAAAGACGTAAAGCATTAAATCCTTACATGGTGGAGCTAATATAGGTTTCTGGATTATAGGCAGTCGTAACACTATAAAAATAATAAATAAATAAATAAATAACATTTTCACCGCAGATTTTTGCTTTACCAGGTGCAGCAAGTATTGGTTTCTGCTGTGGTGGCTGTTGTTGATCAACAATGTTTCTCACCCGCTGCTTGTTAAACTTGATTCTAGTTGAACCAAAGTGTTCAGCAATTTTATTTGCCAGCAGATAAGCCAGCACAAAGGTGTACAGTTGTTCTGAGCTATTCTTTATTCCTGCCATAAACTTCTCTCGGAGCTTTTCTTCACTAATTGGGGAAGCACTTTCAACACCCCAATTTGATAGATACTTAAGGAATGCATGGGCAGTATCCTCCACTTCTGTAATGTTTAATTTTAAATAATTTTCTGTAAAGATATCAAAACAAAAAAGAAAATTGGAGTTTAATTATTTTTACCATCCTTTCCATTTGAATGTGCAGTAGCTATTGGTTGTGAATGTTTCATTCCTCCTGCAGCAACTCCATTTGCAGCAACTTTTAATTAAAATTGAAGAAAAATAAAGAGAATAAAATAGCCTTTAAAATATAAAAAAAATTTTGTGCACCTTTAGTTGTGATATCCTTTGATTGTTGCAGATAGGCTCTTGTGCGAGTGGCATCAAATAAGTACATATCTTCACCCTTTCTTTTCATCAAACCACTTTTCACCATGTGCTCCAGAACTTTTGAGTATGAAGTGGAGGTGGGGAAAATTAACTGAAACCTTTCAGACAATTTTGACTCCCTTACAGCACAGGTACCAAAGCACAATCCGTTTGTTGCAAGGAATTTGACAAATTTCAGCGTCGTCTGCTTCACATCTATAAGTTATCATGAGGTTAATAAAAATAAACACAAACTGATTGGAATTAAAAAAGATTAAGACCTTTGTTCTGTGGACTGCGCTGAACGACAGGAGGTTTTTCAGGATTCACTTGCTTAATGTACTTCCAAATATTTCCATGGATTACGTGGACAATTTCAACATTGCCTTCTAACTGAGACACATAAGCAAACTTCTTGTAGCACAGCTCCAGTAGCATTCGACGGTATGGGAATTTGTAACCAAACGGTTCAACCTCTTTTGTGTACAAAGCTTGCAATTCTTGGTGTGTCCAGCTACTTTTTCCATCGTGTTCAGTCAATCGCCATATGAACACATCAGCATTGAAGGCACCTGATAATTAATGTGTTGAGTTGTATTAAAAAATGTAAAAATGCAGAAAGTTGAGAGCAAAAAATCACTTACGAATTTTCTTATTGGACACTGGCTGGCTCTGATTTCCAGTTGCTCCTTGCTGGGGCGGCATTATTATGCATGGGCTCAAACAGGTTCTGCTCTATTTGAACCTGAAAACATAATTCATTCCACAAAATTAAATACCCTTAATCCATTATACTTTAAGTAATTTTGATTAAAACAAAATTAATTTTCTGAATTCTGAAGGAAGAAGTAAAAGTGACTAAAAATATTCTTCTGAAAGCAGATATATTTGGGGCTGATGAACAATAAAAGTTGATCTTTTTATTATGCTATAATTTAATGATTAATTTTCTTTGTTAGTAACTACATTAAGAATTTATTTATTAGGATTGTACATTTTGAAAAAAAAAATTTTTGATTGCGCTGGTGAATATAATTAATTCCCTCAGGAAAAATTAATATGATAGAGTACGCGATACAACAGGAGCCATATGTGCACGCGATTCTTACGTATTTTGAGCCTCAACTTCTCACATTTCCCAAGTTCTTTGGTTCATGGATGGAATCTGAAGCTGCCGCACGGTTCAACATAGCCAAAGCTAATAGAGGTGGATACAGGCGAATCGTGTTGCGAAATGAGCAGTTCGAGTGTGTGGAAGGGACTGAAGACTGTTTCATGTGTGCGAGATGAAAGTTTATTTGGTTCTTCCCCAGAAATTCAAATAAAATTTTTTACATTCCGCATGTAAAAAAACATCAGCAAGTAATTTGATTGCGCGATAATGAATTAGTTAGAATTGATAACTTGGAATCAGCCTTCTTTTCGCGGAACATAATTTAATCTTTATGGAGCTAAAAATCGAACAATACGCAATCGACCGCGCCTGCTGATTATTCTCGCCTGCTTATTTTGTTTGATAAAACACTATGAGTACAGAGTACATCATAATAACTGCTTTATTAAAATTTAAAATGGCATTAAATGAAATATTGCCCTTTATCAGTTTCAGTAAATTGGTAAATTGACTGATTAATTTTGTCGCACGTCCAAAGGGCATAAATTTGTCAACCCTTTTTAACATCCCGTATTCTTTATACGCAATGGTAATTTTGTTTACAAATAATTATCTGAAATAAGTACAGACAAAACAATAATATGCTAATGGTGACCAAGGAAATTTAGTAAATAATTACAATTATCTCTGCTTAGATTTACGACATTAAATAAATAATTACTCAACATCAATTGATGTTTGAGTAAATATTAATTATTTCAATTTAAATAATATATCTCTATATTTGAAGAAAAAAATATAATTAATATACCTCTATGATTATTTTTTAACCTCCGGAGTTGTTGCGGTTTAATTTTGTTTCCAAATTGTTAGATTGTCAGCTTCCAAACCTCTGTTCTGACACTTCTGACTATTTTGATTGCTCGCCCAACATAAGTCTTTTGTCTCTACTGTGGCCTCCTCAACTGAACCGATTTCTAGCTTTGGCTCTGGCTTTTAGCCCCACCAGCCCACCTCACACACGTGATCAGCTTTCGTGCCTTTGGTTTTTCACCGGCTGATTTTGACTTAGCTTGCGACGAGGAATGCGACGAGTGGTGGTGGTAAAGCCTCGTAATTTTTCCGCATGTGATAAAAAGCACCGCACAATAAATAAAAACGCACTGCGTAAAAAACCATATTTATTGAATTCTGGTATAGCCAGCCTTTTAGTAAAGATAAAACAAAATGCATAATATAGATTTTTCTCTACACCCTCCTCCAACATATACGAAATTAGCATTTTGATTATGGAATCGTTGATTTATGGCACACTTTAATGTATTTTACTAATGCTGTTTTTATTTTACGTGTTGATTAATAAAACCTTATTTTTTTGTCACTCATTTGTCATTACATTGCCATTATGGCATGTCTTGCCTAATATTATGTCATAAACTTAAGCTTTAAAAATAATTTTGAAATTATTTTTTCCTTCTATGTAAATAAAATAAAAACGCGTTTATGCATAAACATTTAAATTTAAATGCCGTAAAATACATTACACATATTTGAAGGGCATTTATCATTTATGTATGAACGTATTTTTTAAATTCAAGATACATAGAGGAATAGTAAACTAGCGGTTTTGTTGTTAATTAGTAATTACTAGGATGGACCGCAAAATTTAATTTCTGTCACTAACTTTGTAAACCGCACACAATTTTGGATAAAGGTGTAATATAACGCAGTTTATTACTCGACGATTCCGTTTTATCCGTTTTAACTCACCTTTCACAAAATTCTAGCAGCCGAATACTCGCTCTTTGCAGTTTCTCCCGTCCTTGAACGGGTTTGCCTCCTTCGAAAGCAGTCGGCAACAGTGAATTTTTCTTAATTGCCTCTATCTGCAGAGAATTGACAATCAAAACGATTAAAACAGGGAAGACTGCTGGACTCCAGACGTCAGGGACAACACGCGTGATTGCTCGTCTCATTAAACACCACAAAGTTTACACAGTCCCAACGACCGACAACGGCATCCACTTGTGTGATGTACGACAGATAGAACGTATGCAAAACCAATGAAAAACTAATCGCACAATTTGTTTACAAATGTGTTAACGTGCATGTGCCGGCCAACCAATCTCCTTGCATCCCTCCACTCGAGTCTCGAGTCTCGAATGAAAAAGGCGTGGCCGGCGTGATCGGTGCAAAAACTTCAAAATACCGGCAAAAATCAATGATTGATGATTTCACAAAGCAGCGAAATAATGCCTCTCGAAGGACTGCTTAGATTAAAAGATTTATTTATTTAAGTAAATTTCAGAATTCAAATGAAAATAAAAACAAAGAATTCTTCTTCAAACATGTGAACTTAAAATTATTTCTGCAATATTCACCTGTTCATATTTGGCGCCATGCGCCTCCTCTACGTCCAATGACCAATCCACGAATTGCACTTGTTGTTTCATTCTTCCGCTAGATGGTTTGGTGTCACGTGTCGGCCATGCGGATGCGGATTGCGGATTTCGGATAAACAAACCATACTTTCTGCTGCAAAAATCGTCAATTTAATTTTATTGGAGTTTGTTTACCGTAGTAAATTTTTATAACACATTTATTGACGGTCATCTTGCTCAGATAAATTATTTACATACCCGTCCAAGAAATAAAAAAGCTGAATTTTGAGTAACACACAGGTCACAGGTATGAATTAATATTATTAAAAATCTTATGTAAAAAATCTGTTCTCAGTTTTCATCGGTTTTCATTATACATAATTTGATTCTACGTTATTGTTATATTTGATTTTTACGACCCTATTTCGTTTGATACGTAATAAAACATTAATAAAATAAGTTGTTTATTTTCCAGGAAAATGACTAGATTTGCTCGAGCTGCTGGCTCAAAAGCGAGCAATGCAAGAGTGACTGAGGAAGCAACTTCTTGGGCTGATATGAAAAAACAGCTTATTGAAAGCCAGCAGGGTCAAGAGCAGAGTCAGGAATTGCAAGAAAAAATCAAGAGGGCGAAAAGCAAGAAGATAGAAGAAGTCCCAAAGCAGTGGGCAGAGTTTGGTTCTGACGGTAAACTTTTACGGCCAGATTATTTGCAAAGCCAAATTTCAACATCTTCTGAAAGCAAGAAGGAAAAGCCTAAGAAAAAGAAGAAAGTTGCCAGCAACATTTCCCCAGTTAATAATGTAGAAAAGAAGAAAAAGAAGAAGGTTATCAAAAACACTTCCCAAGACGATTATGAAGAAAAGAAGAAAAAGCAGAAAGTGATCAACAACGATTCTGCAAGTGAGAAAGTAGAGAAAAAGAAAAAGAAGAAAATTCAAGTTGAAACAGAACAAAGCATTCCTAATAAGAACGAAAAATCCGACAAATCATTTATGGGAACAAAAGCAGACTATGTAGCAGGAAAAAATCCTGCCCAGCAGCCAAAAACAGCAAAGAAGCGTCGAGCTGTAAAGGAGGCGGAGGGCCTTGATCCGAAGCGTCGCAAACCACTGACGACCAAAATCTATGTTGATGGCAGGGAAATTGAAATTGACTTGTATGATGGCTTTCCTGTGCTAAAGGAAGATGCTGAACGTCTTAGGGAGCTGAAGAAAAAAATGCTGAAAGAAGGAATTCCAAAGGTTGAGGTGATGAAGGCTATGAAGTTGGAGCGAAGGAGAGCTGAAAAGACCCTGACTCGAGAAAAAAGGAAAGTATGCTTTCACTGCCGCCAGTCAGGACACGTGATGTCCGAGTGTCCAAAGCTGTCGACAGGGTCTTGCGATGTCTGTTTCAAGTGTGGTTCTACAGAGCACAAGAGTCCTCAGTGCAAAGTCGCTCAAGGAAATGATTACAAGTTTGGCACGTGTTTTGTCTGTGGGGAAACTGGCCACATTTCTCGCCAATGCCCTGATAACCCTCGCGGCCTATATCCACAGGGCGGTGGATGTAGAGTTTGTGGAGACGTCACACACCTGAAGAAAGATTGCCCACAATTGGCTCAAGAAAGACAGGAGAGCACAGTGACTGTGCCAAGCGCAAAATATTCGACATCGATAGAGGCTCTAGACGAAGACAAGAAAGCAAAAACTATCACTGTTGAAGGTCACAAAAAGAATAAAATCATCAAGTTTTAAATGTACAATTAAATAAAACATGAAGTATTTCTATCAAGACCATCATCCTTTTGGTATGAATTTTATTTAAACTCTGTTATATTTGTCGCAAACTATAAAAACTATAGACACAATAAAATTCTGTTACGCAAAATTTTAAATTAAAGGAATTCAAGACTGCAAATGAACCTTTTTTAAGAGTAACACATTCATGATTTGATTAACTTAAATTTTTTATGCAGTCAAAAAAATCCACTGCAACATAATTTTACATGATGATTTACAAAGTCTCCACGTGATGTTGAAAAATATTTTACAAATTTTAATACAATTATGACACAGGATCTAATTTTACTGTTAATAACTTCAACATGAATTTAAAGGCAGTTCGAATGCAATTACAAGTTATGATCAACACTGGCCGAGCACTCGATGAACTGTTTGAGGCACTCACCAAACTCTTGCAATATTTTCTGCTCAATTTGGACCTCGTCCATTTCCATGGATTCTCCTTCTTGGGCCTGGGCCAGCAGACAATGGCATGTGGCATCCACCAGCCGTTGATTCATGAAGCCAAATGGTTGCCTGCAAGATTTAAATGACAGTAAAATAATTCATCTAAAAGCAAAGGAAATGATCATGTTTACCTTGTGAGACCCTGGCTGGCCAACACTGGCTTTCCCCTCTTTGTCATGGTAAGTCTGGCTCTGCTGGCTGCATACAAGTGCTGCTGTCTTGCCCTCAAGCCAGCAGCGAGCACCACATTTTCGCGATCCATTTTGCGTTCCTCGCTGTCCTCCAGATTGCGACATCCAACACATTTGCACATGTGTGTGCAGGGGATCTTAGCCTGCATGAACAGAATGTAAAATTTGTAAAATTTTACAATTCAACTATTAAGCTCTTGTTTTACCTCAAAACATTCACAATAGTTCTTCAAGCACCCCGACCGCTTGCAGTTGCATCCCTTGTTGTGCCTCCTTTCGTCTCCAACTTGTGCTTTTCCAATTTTGGGTTTGAATGCTGTTGGATTTCTCTCCAGGCAGGCTCTGATGGCCCTTTGTCGATCTTCCTCATGCTCCAGATTATTGAAGCAAGTGTTGCAGTTGCAATTGAAGCAGAATTCTCCATTTGCAAAGCAGTCACAGTACCTTATAATTTTAAAGTTAATAAATAAATCTAGAATTTCAATGGAGCAAACTTACAGTTTCAAGCACTGAGATTTTGTACAATTGCAGGGTTTTCGTTTTAGGTTGGCCTCTAGGGCAAGTTTAGCGTGACTTTCGGTTCGGGCGTCAAGAAGGGACTTAGGGCTCAGCCTTTGCTCTGGCTGCTTCAGTTTCAGCTCTGTTGCGATTGGGGTTGCACCTTGCAGCTGCTCGTAAATTTGTGTCGGCAATACCATGAAGTTTCCGCCGGCAGTGGGCACCAGTGTGCCTCCAAGCTGTGTAACTGCCGCAGTAGAAACCTGACTGACTCTCCCCGAGGTTGTAGCAGGAATCATAATCTTTTGCGGCTTTGTTGCAAGTTGCTGTGGACCTTGATCATTAAACTCCAAATTATAAATGAAAGAACCAAACTTACAATAGTTTGAGCAGGAGCAATTGGCACAACTTTCAAGGGCGCTGGAGAAATAACTTGTTGCTTCATTGGACTTGCAGGCGTTTTTGTCGTGGCCGGTGTGTTGGGTGAGGCGACAATGCGAACAAACTATTAAAAATTATTAATAAAATATAACTACATAGCTGAAATAAAAAAGGTACTTGTCTATTTCCTGGCAACTGAATTCCGTCTCCTGACGAACTTATGATATTCTGAGTTGCAGGAATTCTAATAATTTGTCCACCAATGCCACCCGAACCAGGCGACGAGTTCAGCGTCCTCGAGCCTCCCTGGAACGAAAGTTAGAAAATGCAGAGTAAACAGCTCGCAAAACATACAGCTTGTCTAATGATGACTTTTTGAGTTGTGCCTGACAGTTGCCTAATGGTCGGTTGGGCCGAAATAATTGGCTTGAGAGATGGTGCTGGTAGAATTTTCGTAGGAGTCTTCTGGCCTTGGGTTATCATAGTGATTCTTGGGGATGATGACGACGTAGTCTTGGCCAGCTTGTTCAGATTCAGATTTTGCAGATTTGATGGTGAAATTAGTTGCTTGCTTGATCCAAGCAAACCCATTTGCTGGGCTTGTGAGAGAGAAATTCTCTGGACGCTGGGACCAGGAGAAGATGTAGTTCCAATCAGCTTGATTTGCTGCGGTGTTCCTGGAGAACTGGGTATCATGATGGGTGATTTTGTGTTGCCGCCACTTATAACAAGCTTGGTTACGTTCTGAAATAAAAATTATTATAAAATATTGAACAGGAAAAACATCAAAATTAAGAGGTCTTTCTTATTACCTGTTTTTTTGGAGAGGCGGGTGCAGGTCTAATGGTTGGAAGTTTTGTAGACGTGGAGGGAATTTGACGAAGCTGAATTAAATTTCCGTCAGAGGTTCTGGCTTGAGTAAAAAATTGCCCACTTCCTGAGTCACTAGGCTGCTGGAGGAATAGATAAGTTCCTTGCTCCAGGCTCTCAGCAACCTCGCTTGTGATCTAAAAATGTTTATAATTATTAGTAATCAAAAAATTTCAAATTTAGTGGTCAAAAGGACGTACCATTTCATTTTCGCCATCATTTATGACAACTCCTTGAAGTAAGGCATCATTTACATCCTCCTCCAACACCTGTGTTTCTCCAACCATCATTTCTTCCTCCGTCTCTTCATAAACTTCGTCATCGTCAGGTTCTAATTTTGCAAGTTCCGTTTGAAAGGTGACGAGGGAATCCAAATCACTTGATGATATTTGCTCTGACATGATTGGGACCTGTGAATTGTTAAAGCCGAATTATTAGCCAGAAATAATAATTGGTTTTCAAACAAAAAATAATTGCATCTTATAATAGAAAATATTTTAAATACCTAAATCCATTCTATTATTTATATTAATGGTAATAATTGTATATTTTCTTTAATTTTGTGTATATTTTTTTTAAATATTGATTGAGAAGAATAAATAATGATAATAATATAATAATGTAGATTTGGAATTCATTGTTTTCATTGTGGACTTAATAATTAATATTACATATTTCATCGATCAAACAGAATCTTCTAGTAAATCCAATTTAATAAAACTTAAACGAAAAGAATCCCATTTTTTAGCGCTAATTTCCTCGCACGTTCCATATTTTCCCATATTTGAATTATCCTATTAGTTGGAGCCTGTGCCGCCATGTTGCATTCTCCGTTTGAATTTGAACTTTTGAATGTATATGGTCATGCAACTTTGAGTATAAAATTATGCAATATTACACATTTCGGAACTCAATACATCAAACAAATTACTTTTTTGTCAATGTGCGAACTCTTTTTTTACCGCAAAACAGGAGCGACGGTGGCCCTAAGCGGGTTAAATATAAAAAATAAAGTGGTTCACTAATAAAGCGGCCGGGTAAAGAAATGACGCGCCATTTTCTGCCAGCTAAGCAGGGAAATTTCAAATTCGTTCAAAAGTGACCCCCGCGAGGAATCATTGGTCGCGATGGGGACTTCTCTGTACGTCGGCAAACACTGGAAATTAACCATCAGGCTTTAATTTTACATAATATGTTGACCCGGGACACTAAAATTCACCTTACCGAGTAAAAATTGTCTGTTTTGCGCTTGTTTACGAGCACCGCTGTGGGTGTTGCCGCAAATCTATCAGTCGATGCTTGTTTATATCATTTTTCCAGGCCAGCAGAGGTTGCTTTACCACAAAAATTAACAAAATAAAAGAACTCACTGCAATGAAGATTCTGGAGATGGTAATATGTCCCGCAGATTGCAAATTGTTAGAGAAAATTAATCCAAAAGCGAATCTCGTTCTTCAAAATCACGCGCCCACCATACTGGACCCACTTTGCATTGCGACGAGAGCTGTTCTCTGATTGGCTGATGCATGAAACTATGCTAGCCACTCATTGGCTATTCAAAGCAGGCGGATTAATATTGACGAATTTTTAACTTTGAATTTTACCATTATTTTCATGCTTTGCCAGTATTTTCAATAAAAATTGTCGGCAACACTATTTATCTCTCTTAATTTAGACCAAATTTTTAAATTCAATTCGTAGAATTCATATGTGTGTTAAATTATATAAACTTTATATCCGCTACTACAAGCAGTTCCAAGATCTGACCAATCAGAAAAGGGAAAGACTAACTTATCGCAAACACAAATCACAAAATTTGTCAACAAACAAAAACACAGCCGGCTCGAGGAAGTAAATTTAAAAGTAATTTGTAATTGTTTCTTATACATTTTTTAATATCTCTTTACACTCGTATGCCATTCAAAACTTTATTAAAAAAACGTCATTAATTTAAATGATCTATTGTCTATTCTACAGCTACACAAATCTGGTGTAAATCGAAGCAAAGGATTATGGCAGGTTCGAGTGTTGACGTGAAGTCAAATGTTAGACAGTTGCTTGCAAGTCTTGCAAACTCTGGTGGAACACACAAAGACCAAGCTGAAAAGTAAAGTCTGCTAATTTGAAATTTTATCATTAGCTTATTCATTTAATTTCTCAGGTACCGTCAAATTCTTGAAAATATTCTTGCAGCTGATGGAGAAGACTTGGTAGAGGGATTGAAGGCATTTATTGAGGCTAGTAAGTAGCCGTTGGTTGATTACACTTTTTGCGGGTATTTAATAAACTATGTTACCTTTTTTAGTTGTGAACGAGAATGTGAGCCTTGTTATTTCACGCCAACTTCTGACTGATGTCTGCAACCACCTGCAAAAATTGCCTGAAGATGTCTCAAAATCAGTGTCGCATTTCACTCTAGACAAGGTTCAGCCAAGGGTGATTTCTTTTGAGGAGCAAGTTGCCAGCATTCGACAACATTTGGCTGAGATCTACGAAACCAACCAGTCTTGGAGAGATGCCGCTAATGTTCTTGTTGGAATTCCTCTCGAGACTGGTCAAAAGTATTTATACATTTTTATTTGGGATTTATATTAAAACTATTTTAACTCAGGCAATACACTGTTGAATATAAACTAGAGACATACCTGAAGATTGCACGTCTGTATTTGGAAGATGACGATCCTGTCCAAGCTGAGGCATTCATTAATCGAGCCTCATTGCTGCAGGTGAATTTTTGAAACTTTTGTTACATATTGAAGATAAAGCTCATTACTTTTTACTCAGGCGGAGTCCAAAGACCAGCAGCTTCAAATTTTGTACAAAGTTTGCTATGCAAGAGTGCTGGACTACAGGAGGAAATTCATTGAAGCCGCACAACGCTATAACGAGCTATCTTACAAAACAATAATTCATGAGGACGAGCGAATGACTGCTCTGAAAAATGCTCTACTTTGCACTATCCTTGCTTCAGCAGGTATCTTAATGAAGTAAATAATGTAGGAATTAAGTTTCATTTTCTTTTTTTTTTTTGCCTCAAAAGGACAACAAAGAAGCCGAATGCTGGCCACACTGTTTAAAGACGAGCGCTGCCAAACACTCCCAGCATTCAGCATTTTGGAGAAAATGTACTTAGACAGGATCATTCGACGCTCGGAGCTGTCAGAGTTTGAGAATCTATTGCTTCTCCACCAAAAGGCTGTTGTTGCTGACAGTAATTACACATTATAATTATTTTTTATTTAATTATTTGAACTTATCAAAAATTAAAATTATAGACTATGGCTATGGGAAAGGCGGAAGTGCAACTATTTTGGATCGTGCTGTGATTGAACACAACTTGCTCTCGGCTAGTAAGCTATACAACAATATCACTTTTGAAGAACTGGGGGCACTTCTTGAAATCCACCCGCTCATGGCAGAAAAGATTGCCAGTCAAATGATTACAGAGGGTCGAATGAATGGATACATTGATCAGATTGATTCAATTGTCCATTTTGAGAGTAAGATACCTTCAAAATTATTTGGCTTGTCAATACTAAAGAAGCTTAAATTTTATTTTGCAGCACGAGAGATCTTACCAACATGGGACAAGCAGATTCAGTCTCTTTGCTACCAAGTTAATCAGATCATTGAGAAGATAACTAACGTAGAGTCTGGTTGGATGGCAAAAGCTATGGACGAACAAATGGTCCACTGATACTTTAAGATTAAGTCTATAAAAAGCTGTAAAAAAAATAAAAACCATTTCTAAATAGGTTTTTTGGTTTCACTCTAGTGATTTCCTTTTATTCACACAATCATAACAATACAAATTTATTACTTCTGTGTTGCGGCAAAAAAGCCAGTTGCTTAAACAGAGGCGTCTTTGCTACAGCAACATTGCTCAGTTCATGATGTGTGCTTTTGCAGTTAACATACTAAAGAATTTTCTGCTACAGGGAGCTGCATATAATCCAACAAACTTCAAAAAGCCATTTGATTTAATAGAAAAAAGGTGAGGTGTCCTGCGAGAACTGCATCTGGGAGGGAATGTAGTTGACATAATTTACATGCAGTGTGTTTTAACATGTTTAAGCATTGATTTATTTAACAGCAGGGCTACAATTTTTTCTTGATTTCTCCCCCATTGTCGGGCTAGATTATAATCTTAGGGCACAACAAATGATGTAAGGGAGATTTTTGTTTGTGACCTAATACTTTCATAGATCTTCCGAATTCCCTCGTACCAACTGAACTGAATTTAGGCTGCGTTCGGAGGAGATTTTTTACATGCAACTGCCTAAGCCTCCAACTCCAATCCCAAGCCAACCTTGTGGCTTCCCTGGTTGAAGTTCTTTGCATCAACAAGGGTGGACAAAGTAAGGGTGACACCTACAAATAATTTTAATGAGTTTCAACAGAAAATCATCTCGACATTGATTAAACATACCATCCCTCAGCTTTTGTTGGTATCCCAAGCCAACCTGGAAGCTGTTGTTAATCTTAGCACGGAGAGAAGCATCCTTATCCAGGTTGTACTTGCAGCCAATGCCAAATGAGGTGTTGTTGGAGCCAGCAGCCCAGGAAACCTGGATTCCGGTTTCGAGGTTGCTGTCCACCTTCTGGTAAACGGATCCATTGAACTGCTGTCCGTCATTTCTAATCAAATTAACCAAACGATTATTGAGTTAAACAATCATTTTCCGTTTGCACATACACGCTGGTGTGCAGGGCAAAGTCCTTGCACTCGTAAGCAACGGCAAAGTTGTTTTTAAGCAGCTTCGACTTGGCGGTGTCGAAGGACATTTGGTAGCCGGCTAGCCAACCATTATAACCGAAAACAGAGGCGCCGTGAATGACAGGGGCTCCAATATCGAGGTCAACATCAAAGTTGGCGGAGAGGATTTCGTGCTTGTACTCGGTCTTGGCCTTGGCAGACTTCTTGCTGTAGACAAAAAGTTAATTTAATAACCAATTTTAAAATGGTTTAAAAGAGTTACCCTGACTGAGGTGCAAAGCTGGCGTCCAGGGACAGCTTCAGGCCCTTGGCCAGCTGGTCCTGCACAGCCCATTCCAGACCAATGATATTGTCTGTGTTCCATTTTTCAGTGAAGGTCATTCCTGAAATAAATTTGAGATTTGATCGATAAATTTTTTGAACTTATTTTGATTATTTATTACAAACCATATTCGGACTTCTTATATTTGGTTTCAAGAGATCCCAGAACCTTGCCAGACTCCACATTGTGAGTTCCGCCAGACGAAAATTCGATGCCGGTGGGGGTCTTGGTCTTGACGTCGAGTTTCAAAACTCCAAAGTGGTAGCCCTTGCCGAAAACATCGCGGGCAGACTTTCCAAGATCACCATAGGTGGGAGGAGCCATTGTCTGTGGCAGAAATAAACTTGCATTAAAGCTGAGCAGTGGACCATCGTGATAAATCAAACTGGGGCTGTCAAAAGTGGGGTGCTCTTGTATTTTCAATTGGTCCCCCCAATTACGTCATTTGATCCCCCTCATGTCAATGGCAAAGTCGTTGCTGCAGGTCATTCGTATTTCGGATTGCGCTGACTGAAGTTTTGCTCTAGAAGAGTGCGAGGAGCTTAATTTACTTTTGATTAATCTAAATCATGCAAATATACATATGACAGAGCAAAATTAAAATGCCAATTGAAAATTTTGCACTGTCTTTGCAAATTTACACTAAACTGCCGGTGACATGACACGAAAATTTGCGATTAACCTGACAGTTCCCGACTTGGAGAGTAAAGCAGACGATTTAACATTAAACGACTATGCATGTGGAATCAAAATATGGGTTTCTCAACAGCTACTTACGTATTTTTAGGTTAAAATTTGAGTTAACGGAGGAACTGCGGCGTTTAGACGACCTTCTTGTGATCAAAGATGGAGCCGAGAGAACGTCCTGCAGTTAAAAGTGGGCGGGGTCATAGTTTCCGTCGTGAAATTTTTGAAACGAAATGAGCCAAGAATGAATAATATGCAATCAGAAGGGCTGTTAAAGAATTAAATTAAATATTTTTTTATTTATAATACATTTTTTAAGCCCATGTAGGTCACTATGAAGATTTTAATGAAAAATAAGCCAAACACAAAAGGACCAACGACACTAATCAATACCAGTGTAAAGGGCGGTAAAACTTAAAACTTTCACGATGGCTTGACTTTTATTCGGTTTTGCTATTATAGCTGTTTGGTAACATTGGTAGAATCATGTTTCTGGCTCAGGAGTTGCCAATTTTCCATTTTTTTTAATGGAATTTAAGAAAAATATCTACTAACATTAAATTAATACATTATGAACAGTTTTTCTAGAGGAAGATTTTTTAACAAAAAACTAATTTAATTAATATTGACGTTGTTAATATAATAACATTTAAATTCTTGAGGATGTCAGAAAAATTTAAGAGCATCATAAATAAATTATGATATATTTCCCAACGAATAAAAGCAAAAAAAATTCGTAAATCAACCTTCATCGTGACATAATGTGGACCGCGGATAATTATAATTGGTCCTCAAGAGGAGCGTGTGTACTAATAATCCGTGCATACATCGAGCCAAAAATAAACCCCCCTGCTCAGACAGTTACAACAAGCGTCTCGGTTGATGAAAACAGCTGAAGAAAAGTATTTTGCTCTGTGTTCTAGACGTGTCCGGAAGTGTCTAGATGGGTTTCGTAGTAATTCTGCGTGGTATATAAGGGTAACGATGAAGAGATTGAGAGTTGATCAGATCAATCTGCAATTCTGCACAGTACTCATCAAAGCAAAAAGAGAGCTATTTAAATAACTCAAATCGACTGCCGTGTTAGGAATACAGTTTTAAAAGACCTGATATAAAATTTAGATTTTTTGATCAAATCATTGTTCAACTATGAAGCCAGAACAAGTGGTAAGTTCCAATCGAAACGACCTGCATGTGTAAAAGAAAAAATCGTTCTGCATCTTAGTACTGATTAAAGTTTAATATTAAAAATTTATATGATCGTAGGTAGGCATGAGTCATGACTGAACCATGAACCATTAAACTGCATTTATTATTTTGCAAGATTTAACTAAAAATGTTTCAATATAGGCTTATGAAATAAAACAGAACGACAAAGTTGGTCGATACGTTGTGGCTGCAAAAGAACTGGAGGCAGGCGAAGAGTTTCTTGTGGACACCGCAGCCGTCATCGGGCCAAAGCACCACACTCCTCCCGTTTGCCTGGGATGTCTCTCCCTAACCTCTGGGGACACTCTTTGCGAGCGCTGCGGGTGGCCAGTGTGCGGACCGAGTTGTGCGGATTTGCCAGCACACAAGTTAGTAAAGAAAATTAATTTTTAAACTCAAATTTCACGTCAATAAATATAAAAATAAAAAGGGAAGCAGAATGCGCTGTATTTGCCGCGGCCAACGTCAAATTTTCGTCTTCAGTGGAAGACCCCACTGCCGATTGTCCTCAATATGAATGCATTACTCCGCTGAGACTGTTGCTGACAATCGGAAGCAAAATATGGAATGACAAGGTATTTTTTTTTCTATTTGCTCTTTAAAAGCAATTAAAAAAAATAACCAACTAATAATCAAAGATTGAGAAAATGGAGTGTCACTCAAAAGAGCGGAAAGGTGGTGTAGACTGGAATGCTGACCAGATCAACATTGTTAATTTTCTCCGCGGTCCGTGCAAATTAGCTGACAGATTTAGTGAAGAGCAAATTCACCAAGTCTGTGGGATTTTGGCTGTGAATACTTTTGAAGCATGCTCGCGTGTTAGTGGAGGAAACCCTGTGCGAGCACTCTATCCGCAGGTAATAACAGATTTTATTTTCGAGATACTAAAAATTACTTTCCCAAATAAGATTCCAAGCATTATTGTGCAGTTAATCCACGCGCTTTTATTTCCTTATCAAAAGTTTAAAGCCTAGCAACACTTCTTGCGTCACACACGCTGCGTTTAAAATGCGGTGTGGGTGCGAGAAGTGGAACGCGCGCCCAGGTGTAAATGAACAACAGACTTAATGTTTGCTGAAATAATTCACCTAACTTCTTTATCATCACACGGCGGCGTAATCAGCACGACAAACACCACAATTCCATTTATAATTGCTCTCTAAATAAAGACTCACTTTCAATAGTACTCTTAAATACAATTCAATGAGAAGTAATAATAATTATTTTTTATTATTGATAGTATGAATTTCATTTTTTTTTCTCTGCAACAAAAATTTTTATTTCAGTTTGCCCTTTTGTCGCACAACTGCGTGCCGAACACAGCTCACTCCATCGGCGCCGACTACAAAGTGCGAGTTCGCACAACTGTGCCTGTGAAAAAGGGTGACGAGCTTTTCATAACCTACACGCACACGCTTCAGCCGACTTACGCCAGACGACAACATCTTAAGCTTAGCAAATATTTTGATTGCGAGTAAGTATCTGGATAATTATTTTAAATATAAGCTGCAAAAAATAGCACAAAGAAACAAAAAGGATTAAAATTCAAAACACTATAACAGCTTGAGGCATTTTTAAAATGTGTTCAATTTAAAGAGTAATATGAAAATAAATAAAATAGAAAACTTGAATATATCTCAAACTATATACTGAAGCCCTACAATTCGATCTTATATTGCTTGTGGGACAGAATATTTAAGTCACGTATGCGACTAAGAATGCGATTGAGACAGACTTATTGATTTTACTTTGTAATAGAACATAACATAATGAATGAAATGATGAAATTAAAACAAGGCACTTCATTTTTCGCCACACTTGGAAAAATCTCAAATCAAATAAATTTACTCGGGCGCCTGTTTGCACAAGTGACGCAACCTGCCCTACTTGCACGTTGCACTGGTTGCCTAAATTTAAAAAAAATGTCCCATTAGAAACAACTTTTTGTTTAATTTATTTAAAAAAAATTTCAGATGTGCGCGATGTGCAGACCCCGAAGAGCTGGGCTCCAACCTGAGCACAATTAAATGTCCGAAATGCGAATGGGGCTGGGTGCGCGCCGAGAAGCCTTTGGACGACGCGTCCGACTACAAATGCCACAAATGTGAATACAAAATGTCCAATGCGGATACCATGAAGGTGATGGGCGTCATCCAAAGGGAGATTGAAGCGCTGGACCCTGCGGACCTGGAGGTCAGGGAGCAGCTCATCAAGAAATATCACGCCTTCCTCCACCCGAAACACGCGCACCTGACTGCCCTGAAACACTCCCTGTGCCAACTGTACGGCAGGGTGGCCGAATACACCTTCGAAGAGATGCCTGACCTTCTCATGGAGAGGAAAATTGAGCTTTGCAAACACATGCTGCAAATTGCAGACATTGTCCAGCCTGGCTACTCAAGACTAAGAGGTGATTAAAATTTATATTCAAGAAAAAATTAAATTTATTAATTTAAAACATCTGTGCAGGAATGATTCTGTACGAATTACACGCACCGCTCATAATGTTGGCGCGCAGTCTGTACCAACAAGACGTGCTGACAGGGTTCGCCCTTCTGACGCGCATGCAAGAGGCTGAAAGGGTGCTGGCGGAAGCTGTTCACATTCTTTCATTTGAAGACCCCGACTCGATGGAGGGCCAGTTGGCTGCCCAGGCTAGGTTTTCATTGGAACAGTTGCAGCAGACCATCATAATGCTGCCCCAGCAAATCGATATTATGGACGGAGAACAGCATATTGGTGGTTAACGCTTTGAGGGATGAATTTAAAAAAAAAATTAAGACACTTCTCTAATTTAATGTTCAAGGCGTTTATCGTTAAATAATTTATGCATTAAATGTGTAAATTTAAACGGATTGTTGGCTTACTTGTGGTGATTTATGTATAATTTTTATACCTTAGAATAAAATTTCAATAAATTAATGACGTAGCAAATTTTTTTTTTTTGTAATTTTTTTTTCTATTTAAATGCTAACAGCAGGCAGGATGTTAGAACCAAGAGGAAAGTCAATAAACCGAAAAGTTCACGACCTTTCAAGAGAACACGTGAAAAATTTAGGTCAAGTGATCGATAGCTACTTGCTTGTAGTGTGTCGTCTTTATAAAGAACATTGAATGCGCATCCATGCTTCGCATGCTTCAATAGTAATAATTATGATGATCGCGTGAGAGAAGAGCTAAATTTTCCAAAAAAGACTTTCAATAGGTACTTTTCCTTTGTATTTTTTGAAACACTCGCGAGCGTTTAATACAGTGCTGCGCGTCTAAAATGTGCCACGCGCGAGATAAATTTAGTCATCGGCTGGGCGCTTTGAAAATAACCAGAAATATACACTGAGTAGACAACACAGGCCAAAAGATGCTGTGTTTAGAGTTCTCGTGAGCGATCAGGCTGCGCGTATACTGTGTCTTGTAATCTCCGCTATTTCATCTCCACTTTCTTTGCAATCAAAACACGGAGCACGTGTGCTCGCTCTGCAGAGGGAAATAATTCAAATCAATTCCGATTGTAATGTCTGTGACCACTCCCAGATCTCCAGGTATTAATATAGTCTAAATGTTGAAAACTCCAAGATCACCTAGTTTTTATAGGGCCGCAGCGGAAAGTTTTAGAGGAGTTGTGTGGTGTCGATGCCAGTTGCCCCGTACGAATAGCGAGGTCCCCTGAATTGGGAAGGTGAGTAAAGGAAAATGTTAAATACAAAAAATATTTAAAAATTTCTATTTAAGGTTTTTGGTAGCATTCCGAGATATTTCTGAAGGCGAAGTAATCTTGAAAGACGCGCCCCTTGTTGTTGGTCCCCAGGCAGAATCAGCCCCGGTCTGCCTCGGGTGTCATCGACCCGTCGGCCTTCATGAACCCCACGTGTGCTCAAACTGCGGCTGTGCTCTTCTTTGCGGACCCCAGTGCGAAGCGTTACCGGCCCACGAAAAAGAATGCCAGGCTCTCAGGTATTTTTAACCAATTAATATTTTCGTTGCAAAAAAAAAAAAACTGTTAACAAAATTCGTTTTGATAGAAATGCTCTTCCAAATTCAGCGCCGCTGTTATTGAAAGATGACGGCAACTGGCAATGCATTTTGCCATTGCGGTGCTTTGTTAATCAGCCCAAAGGTTTATTTCAACTCGAGGCGCACCTGGACGCGCGAAAGGAATCTGGCGCTTGGTTTGAGTGTGAGAGGAACGTCGTCAAAGTTCTGCACAATCACGGGTTGCTCATGAATTATCCTGAGCAGGCCATCCAGAAAGTTTGTGGACTTCTTGATGTCAACTGTTTTGAAGTAAGTTTTAAATAGTAAATTCCAAAAATCATTTTACGCTTTAAAGTTCTCAATAAATTAATATTATAAACAAGGGCCATTTTATTAAAAAAAATTTTGTATTTTTTTTACTCTCTTCTTTCATTGTAAAAAGACAAGAAGAGAGGTTCTATTAACTTTTTTTGTAAAATAATTTGGCATAATTTGTTATTATAAACTGGTAAATTTGCAAAATTTCATTTAATTTTTTAATTAAAAAAATTATTTAAAAAAAACTTTTAATAAAAATAGAAGATATTATTAAAATTAAAATTTCCTTCATTTTTAATTTTTTTTTAATATTAAGAAACTTTGAAAGTGAATTTTACATTCTGCAAGATATTATTCAGGATTTTTTTTTTCAAATTAAAAAAAACCAAATTGATGATTAATTGCAAAGGGAATAATTATTCATATTATTAATCATTGTTTCCAGGTGCGCGGACCCCCAGACGAGACTGGCAGGTCAGAGAGTCTGCGAGGAATTTACCCAAATGCAGCTTTTATGGCCCACTCTTGTTTCTCAAACACTCATCTTGCCATAGGCCCGGAATACACGCTGATCGTCAAAGCGGCGGCCAACATTGCAGCTGGAGACGCCATCGTGTTCAATTACACGGACACGTTGATAAGCACCGCTGGCAGAAGAGAGCGTTTGAGGAACAGCAAGTACTTTTCGTGCGAGTGCACTCGATGCACTGACCCAACGGAACTGGATACCCACCTCAGCTCACTGAGGTGTCCAGACCAAGGGTGTCTAGGTTCTGTCATTTGCACAAACCCACTCAGACCGATCGAGGCAACATGGGCTTGTGACAAGTATGAGAAATTTTCTTTTATCATAATTTTGTATATATTTCAAATAAATTATTAAATAAGTAATTTAATTAATTATTATTTTCTTTTCAGATGTGAGAAAACTTTAGATGGGTCAGTGGTGCGCACAGGTTTGGTCGGCGTTCAGAAGGAACTTTTGGAAGTCGACCAAACAAACGTGGAGGCAATGGAAACCCTGATGGCCAAGTTAGCACGTTCTTTGCACCCGAACCACGCAGCCATGTTGGAGATCACGCAAGCTCTGTCGGGAATGTACCGGGAACAGATCATGGACGAAGGCCCAATTGTGCCCACAGGACTTTTAAAAAGAAAACTAGAACTTTGCTCGTCATTACTGCCAGTGATAGAAAAACTCGAGCCACCTCTTTCGCGATTGCGAGGTAGAATTATTATTGAATTTCCCTTTAATTATTTACATTTTCCCCTCTAAATAGGAATTACTTTGTATGAAATCGCATCCCCTATGGTTGCACTGGCCAAACAGAAAAAAATCTCAAAAGTGTCTAGTGCGACCTGGGCGGTCGAGGTCAGGGACCAGTATGTAAGGTGCGAGGAACTTCTGCGAGAGTCGGCCAGACTGCTCCTGCACGAACCTCCAACGGCTCCTGAGGCACATTTGGCGAAAGTTGCTTTGATGGAGCTGAAAGGTGTACGACAAGAAATCGCAGAGCTCAATAAGAAGTGTGCCAAAATTGCGAGAAAAAAGAAGTAAAATAAAGCTTTATCGAAAAGCACAAATCACCGTGATAAGAAATAAAACTGGCTGAAAACCAACTGAATGGCTGTTTCCTTCACGCAATGATAATTATATAAAACGTGAAACTGTAAGCGTGCCTTTGGCGCCTTTTCTTAAACAAATGTTGACAAGGTCTCGCTCTCATTGGAGCCCCGAGACACGCCCACTTAAAATCGCGTGTTGTTATTTTACAATAAATTTTGATTCAGATTCATTCTCATTTCGCTAATTAAACTCGCTTTACGAGGGTTTTGCTTCCGTTTATAAAATTTTTAATTTCCCAACAAAATGCTAGCGGTCGTAAATGGTTTGAAAACAAGAGTACTTTCACTGCAGGTTGGTTCATAAATGGAAATAAATCTCGATTCAAAATGCTTTAAGAGCAAATTTGCACAACTCTCAACGTTTTTGAATTCATCTAAAAAAATCTAATGCTATTAGAAGACTCGTTTGACTGACCTTTTTGTATGTTCGCAGCGGCTGATCCACACCTCAGCGGTCCAATGCAGAAAGACTGCAGGCAGACACAGACCTTCTCTCAAGGGAGACAAACCCCTCACTTATGAAATGGCAAATGCCCCCCACACAATCGCCCATAGAAAGTCATGGAATTCGTGGAACACTGGTAAGGCTGGAAACTCGATAATAATCTTCAATTAGTTTTATCTTTGAAATTTAATTTTATTTTTAAAGAAGCAGAGATATTTATTGCCTATTAATTTTGGCTTGCTAGGCATACAATTTTTTAGCTTAATTAATTTATTTTAAATATTTATATTTATTTAAACGTTTTAGCAAACTTGGAAGGTGGTCTTCGTCCAGCTGAGACAGTCGTTGAGGACTTCTTTATTAGAAAATTCATGATTGGAACTTGGCACTCCCTGTTTGCCTCCGAAGTGATCATCAAGAGAAATCACAACTTAATCAGGATTGCTGGAATCGTCAGGCAAGCAATTAGCGCTAGAAAAATGTACTTTCTCATTGGATACACAGAGGAAATGCTGTCACTCTGGTTGCAATGCCCTGTAAAACTTGAGCTGCAGACTGTAAAAGACGGCAAAGACACAGTGTATAAATATATTTAGTTAACGGAATTTCTCCAATATAGTGATAAATTTGCAAAATAATGAACGGAAGAATTTTATTGATTGAAAAGCCCTTCTTACGAGTATATGGAATCAATTTTTATTAAATGTCCTCGCGACAATAATTTTATATATATTTTTTTGGAAGTTTTTTCTCACATTTATGAAACACACATAATTTTTATAGTTATTGATTTTAAATTCAATGCATTTTTTTAAAGATTCAAATACAAAATGCAGTTTTATCCAAAATTTTCTTCTTGTGTACATAAGAATAATATTATTAGTGAATAATTTTGTTAGTATAAAGTTTAGCAGTTTTATATTAGTTTTTAATTATAATACATTTCACATTCATTTTATATACATCAGCGTTCTCAAAAACGAACTAGTTTTTTGGGGATTGAAGTAAAACGTTTTATACAAATATGATGTAGAAAATAATTTTAGTCAAGCATCAGACTTCATATTTGCTGAAGTTAATTGGACCGAGATTGCAAATCTCTGGTTTATTGCCCTGAGGGAGCAAATCAGTCATGATTCATCAATCAAATACCAGCCCTGCTGGTTAGGAAGTTTTCCTGAATTTGGCTCTCGTTTCAATACCGGAGTAGCTCAGTGTCAATATTAGTTTGTATTGCTGCTTAGAGCTCTGGTGGGGGTGAACTCGAGCCAAATATCTTAATTAAATCATCAGTCTCGGGCTTTGAGCAAAGTTACTTAATTGATCAATTGAGTTTATGTTCAAAATAATACATGATTAAATTAATTTGCTTTGGCAAAGCGGAAAGAATCGGTACAAAATACTACTCTGCTACCTTTGATAGTTAGTTTCGTCCAACACCAACGTTGTTAGTTAACAGTAAAAAATACACAATCCGTAAATGCAACACATGATTAACAGCAAGTGGTAGAAATTAAATTTAGAATCTGCCTATCTGTGGGTTGCTTCATTATTGTGTTGCTTGGAATCAGCAATAAATAAATAAAATTTTTCTTAAAGATTAATAAATTATATGGACATCATAGCGTGGGGCCAAATTTTCACTATTATAATTTTCATTTCATTGATAAATAAATATAGCTTTACATCTTGAATAATTTTACATGTAAAATAATACCATTCTGAGAATAAATTACTGGTATGATTGTGCGTTGCGAAGATTGTTAAATTTCAAGACTTATGTTTGGTATTATATCAAGCTCGCAAGACTTGAAACCAAAGCATCTAAAATTTGGGGGTAATCAGTTATCGAAACCTTAAACTCAGCCAAAGTCGTCATCGTGGTCAGTCGAGTAATCATTTCAGAGGGAGTCCCTTGCTTGCAACGACTTAATATCTGAAAAGAATGTTCATGTTGTTGAATAATCACCAAAATATTGAATAAAAAACATTACCTGCTATAATAGCCATCATCTTCCTGCGAGGGCCAAACTTGTCCACACCCAGATTTACTAAGTCAACCTCCTTCAGGGTGAGGAAAAGGCCGAAATCTATCTCATGAGCACTGAACAGTTCTAAATATATTTAAATTTTAATATCAAAATTTCGAAATTTTAATCTGACTTTACCAGTGTATCTAGTAAGGCCATGCTGCATGAACAGGGTGCCGAGATCACTGCATTCGAATTCCGACTGGTAGTGCAAGGCCTGCTTGGACACCGAGTCAAAAAGATTGGAGGCTGACCATTCAGGAAGGTAGTCGGGCTCACTTGGTGGCCACGTGGAATCCTTTTCCTGACAGGCAGCCAGGTCCAGTTGTTGCAACTTGCGCAACACATAGTCAGGAGTCGAGGCACTCAGACCAGTGCCCGACCACTGGGACGTTGGCACTCGAGGTTCTCCAGGAGTAATTTTAGAGTGCATTGCTGTAATTTAAATTTATTTTAATTTGAAGCAAATTTTTAAATCGTATCTTAATTACCTTTGTATCCAGCCATTTTACGAAAGTCTGAAAGACTGGAGCCATGCTTCAGAGTCCTACGCTCACAGCCGGGAGCTCGTCGATCGATATCTGACAGGCTTGAAATGTCTAAAACATAAATTAAATAAGGCTTATTTTCTCAATTTTTTTTTCTAATAACAAACCAGAGTTTGAGTCGGAGTGTTGAGCACGTCCAGGAGAGTTCATGCGAGGACTCAGATTAGGGCTTGACATTGTGCTGAATGAATGGACTGTAAAGAGAAAATAAGAATAATTGTGGAAAGATTTTTTTTTCAAAATTTTAAGCTTACTGGCACTGTCTGGCGAAGGGAACATTGGAACCAAAGAGTGACTGGGGACCACAATGCGAGGCACGCTTGTCAGGTTTGAGGCAATGTGGTGGTTCATGCTGTTTTGGTGCATGTAGGAATCTTTGGAAGGCCACATTTGATTCCAAGTGTTCCTTGGAGGAACCACTCCGGTTGGTGAAAACAGCGGTGGAGATGGAAAGGCGTGCGAGATGCCAGAAATATTGTTCAAGCGAACACTTCTCGACGCTGCAGTTGTAACTGCAGATCAAAATAATAAAAATACATTTTACTTCAAAATATTAAAAATAAAAATCTACTTACGCAGATTGCGCACACTGAAGTCCTCTGGCAGTGCTGGAATCCTATAGCTCTCTGGAGTGCTAGCTTTGACCTGAGGGCCTTCCAAGTTCAGAAGAGTGTGCGTAGCAATGTAGACGTTGGCTAAATAAGAAAAATTAAAAATTTCTCTTTTATAATTTTAAGATAAGATTTGTTTTGTTTCACTTACTGACACATCGCTCTATGCCTCTGATAGTGACAGAGTGGGTGCTCTGTCGCGACTTGAGCCGCAGCTTGATGCTCACGTCCAGTTGTTGCATGAGCAGGTTAATGTGGTTTTCAACATCGGAACAAATCCCAACTGGCAGGTCGAACATCACCATCACTGGCAAGGAACCCTGCAAAAACATGTTAATTAAAAAAAATGTTGTTAATTTTTTTCTAATTGAACTCACAATAAGCTGCTGCCTGGCGAGATAGACTTGGTCAATGTCTCCTATGATCCTGACGTTGCTCTTCTTTAGACTTGCAATGTTCGGGTCCTCGGCATCAGGGAACAGTATTTTAGTATTGGTTTCCTGCATGATTGTGCTCAAATTGATACTACGAGCGCCCAGCACTGCAGTGTGATGTTGGGTGGAGATTTCAAGACTCATTTCAACAGGCACGTGGATCTGCATGGAAAGGAGAAAAATTTTATCATAATAGGAAACAAAAAATCCCCCAATTTCTTCGGAAAAAATCGTACCGCATTTTCTGGTCCACAGAGAGATTTTATGAGTGTGCGTGTGGCCTGCTTGACACGATCCACTTCCCAGTCACAACCCTTTACAACCACCAGGGTTGCATGAAGCTTGAAGCGCTGCCTAATGGCCACTTCCACATTGAACTGCTGACAGAACATCTTGATCGAGGGGCTGTTGACGTCTGGAATGGACTGAGCAGCGCCAACTACTGGCATATCAAAGCTGAAGTTCAGTGGCATCAAACGCTAAAATTTAAATATAAAATTTAATAGAAACATTTATTTGCATAGTAATTAATTTTTACCCTGATGCTAGCCCTGGCGCGCTCCGCACCGTTTAGTGGACCAGCTATAGAGACTTGGTTGCTCTTCTCATTCTGGTTGGTCCTGTTAGAGTCTGGAAAGTGGATGTGGCAGCCGGTGGCCTCCATCACCTGCTTGATGGTGAAACCTCCTTTCCCAATGATGTGAGAGTGATCTGTGTAGCTGACGTCGATTTTCATATTCACTCTGTCACATTGCTGAACACAAAAAATTATCTCGTCTTTTTCTTTTAATTAATTTATTCTTCAAACCTTGGCTTCCAGCACGTCCAAAACTCGAGCGCGAGCAACAGCTACATTTTCAGGGGTTCCAGCAATCCGAACATGAGGATCTTGTATAAACATTTTTATCAAGTAAGCTAATCCGTACCAAAAATTTAACTCACCCTTCTTAGATTTGGCGCCAACCTTCAGGCGCTGTGGCCAAGATATGTATGTGTTAGTGTTCTCCATGATCTAGAAATATTATTTAAAAAATTTATTACTCTTGAAAAATTAACAAAAGAGAAATAACAACATTGTGTAAGTGAGTAAATATTAGACTTTTATCATTTCTGCCAAAATTCAAATTTCTTTTATTTGCGTTGTAAATTTTATCTGAGGAAAATTTATCAATATTTGATGAAAAATATTGGACTAGTTTTTAGATAATTCTTGACAAATAGAATAGAAGTCAAGGAAAGCCACTCGTATTTAAGCAGACTGCCCTTTGTCAGTGGCGCGCAAACCTCAACATCCTAATAATATGACGGTTTTTAATTGATAATTTAACATAAGGTGCCAAAATTAAAAAAAAAAAACTAGCGATTAGATTAACAAAAAAAACTACTTACTGCATTAGCTGTAATTAGGATATACATACTTTTTGTCTTATTAACAATATTGATTATTTATGATATCTGAAATTAAGTTAAAACATAAAACCACAAAAATTGCAATGAGCAAGATTTATAATAAAAGTAGAGTTAAGTTAAATTTAATAAAACTAAGGCATGAAAGACGAATGTAAGCACTAAAAAAGCACCAATTGTAAGGCGCGCCACTGAGAAAAAGCAAACATTAAAATTACACCGGAAAAATGCACCCAAAAATGAATAATTTTTAAAAGTCAAATACGGTAACATTCAAATCAAAGGATATGACTACGTTAAAAAAGACAAAGCGCAAAATGAAATTTTCCAATGAAATATATTTGTGCTCTCTTTCCTTTTGAAAATTTTTCATTTCATGTCATTTTTGGGTGCTGCAATTCCTTATGGGATTTTGTGCATTCTAATTCCAGTGCCAGCAATTTCCTGCCGACGCTGAGAATGCAACCAATACTCACAATCATTTTAACAATGTCCAAAACCATTTTATCGCGAGAACGCAATGGCTTTGGTGTTCAACCTTGAGCGATCTTTAGGCAAGTGAGCCCGAGTCGAGCGCCGAGCGCGCTTTTCTTTGCTCCGTGAATCACGTGGCCCGCATTGACGCCACAATATTGTGCATTTTGCCCAAATAATATTTGATCGGCAAATAAAGTGCGCTTCACAAATATTGATGCACAAGAAGTGACCAGTGTTGCTACCCAGAAAAGTGCGGTCCAGTGGTTTTCTGGACTCGTTCGACGGCGCTTGAACTCTCGACTGGCTCGATTTTTATCATTATTATTCGAGTGCAATGATGTTTTTGTGTTAAAAGTGTGAGACACAGGTCTTCGCAGGCAGGAAAATGTGGTCTGGATGATACCAGTTCGAGTTAACAAAAAGCGATTTTGGTCTAACGAGCGGAATTATATACACAATAATCTGAAGAGCTTGATATAATGACGCTTTTCTGTTAATTCAATTGCATATAACACTTTTTAAACAGGCTAAGCGATTTAACAAAAGATATATTTAGTTCTTTTAGAAAAAAAATATTTAATCCTGAAAGCGATGAATCGCACTTTTAATTGTTTGGGTGCGAAAGGTCGATCGGAATGGAAAATTCCCATCTAAAGTAAATCCAAGTTTGACGTCAAGAAGTGAACAAACATAATCAAGTTTGGTTTAGGATTTAGTTCAATGTGTATGTATCATAAACAATTTGTCATGAAATTATTTTTACATATTAACAAAATACAAAACATTTGAAAATTATGAAACTCACCTTTTGGAAGAATCCTTCAGCGCAGTTGTTTTCCCCTGAAACAAAGTGGGCAAATTTTTTTTGTAAATTATAATTCGTTCTTCAGCAGGAAAAAAAATATTTAAATAAATAGGGAATGAGCAGCTAAATTTCTTTAAAAATTGAAATATACAATGTACAAATTTAATCGATTCAGTAATTATTTTATTACAATAAAATTTAAATTTCTTTCTTTAATTTTGCGCAGGTAAGAAAAATGTTTGCATTTTTCCCCATGCTATATCCAGGTACAAAAAGTGTAAAATCTTCTTCTTGCAGAGACACTATAAAATAACTTAATAATTTGCTCAAAGTAAAGAAAAGCTATCAAATTTGTGCTGCATGGCTCGGAGAACACGAATGGTTTTGTGCTATATTGCAAGAATGGAAGGAACACGCAGATTCCAAGAAGTCACAAAATTCGTCAGATTTTTACTCCAATGGTGGCATAAAATTTCATTTTTCCAATAAATTTTTCCAAATCTTTCACAAATATTACAAATAATGAAAAAATATTAGTGGAAAATCTCTTCAACAGTTTCTATTTGAAAAAAAATTTATTTGATTTGAATGAGGGAAGGATTCGAATAATTTTTTTCCATTAATAGAACTGACCTTGCATCATCTGCTCAAGCTTGGGTCGGTCGACCCTGAAGCGCTCCTGATAGACGTCCGGCCCGCAGTGTTCGCGGATCTCATCGCGGCTGCTCTCGGACACGTCGGACAGGGCGTCCAGGGGGATGCTCGAAACGGTGAGTTCGCCCATCATCGTGCTGCCTTGGCTGCTCTCGTCGTCACGTCTTGCACGCCGAATCAAGTGCGAGCGAGTGCGAATTTTCGCTGCTCACCGGCAACCCCCTCGTCTCTCCTGCCAATCTCCCTCTTCTCCTTTTGTCCTCCTGTCGCCGCCACGCAGTCTGCTGATTTTTACCTTCGCATTCCTGTGTCGTTTCGTTGACCCTACCTAATCAGTCTTATCGCCCACGAATGAATAAGATGAACATGTTCAGATGCATAAAATTGTTTTGCAACAGTCAAAGCCGTGAAAGCGCTGTGAATTGTATTTTTCTAGAATATTTCTCTACTGGTTGCCCTGGTTTTTGTTTAACATAATTAAATGTTTCCTATTGTTGTTTTTATTTATTGTACATACGTCGTACTTCTTATTTTTTCAAACCTTGTCTCTCTTAAAATTTGTACATCTTGACTTCAAATTTTAATTTTTGTGATTAAAAAAGAGCACAAAATTCTTTTAAACATCCCCAACTTATTTTTACTTAATAAATTAAAAAAATTTTGGCTCAGAAAATTTGGTTTAGTATATATATTTTAGTTCAATTTTTTATATTTATTATTGTTAATAAAGTTGCAGGCATCCAATAAAATGGAATTTTATTTCTTGAATTTCTATCCATTTGATGACCTAATTTTTGTATAATTAATAAAAACAAATAAGAAAAACTTGGGTTTGAGATTGAAGTATCTGAATATTGCATTAATGTGCATTAAACAATAATTTTATTTTACTAATTAAGAACATTTTTCGTGCAATTTTATGTGATTGTTTCCTAGCTGTTGTTAATTTCGTTAATTTTAAAGCGTCATCGACTCTTGGGCTGAACACATTTTCACGATTGCAAATCGTGAACAATTTTACAGTTTTTCATTTGAAAAAAGAAAAAGTCAACATTTCTACAATGCTAACAAGTTTGATGTACATCGTGGTACATTGTTTTCCTTATATTCTTGTGATATGGGGTAGCCAAAAAAGAAGTAACTTTTATTTCAACATAACATAAACCTTGGAAACGTAATTTTATACTTTGAAAGTGAAGCAATATAGTTAAAAACATACAGTTCCATAAATTTGGTACTTTTTACTCTCAGGGAAAATTTCCTAGTTCTGTCCGATCTTGACATTTTTTTTCATGCTAACCACAAGTCCCCTTACCAAAATGCGTATTTTTCTTTTGTTGAATTATTGTATTTTCATTTACTATTTTTGAATAGTTGGATGATGCATCTCGTTATTGGCAGAGATTGCCTTGTGGTACACCAATAAAATTAATTTCCAAACTAAATTGTATAAAGCCTATACTGTATTAATTTCTTGTACAGAAATGCTTGCAAAACATGCAATTTGAAAAACCGATTATAAATTAATCAAATATTATTGGGATAAAAACCACTCTCTGTTAAAATTAATGAAACAGATAGTTTATGTAAACATGAAATAATCTAAATAATCGTTAAGGATTTGTTAAACGTTCTTTAATTTTTCCCATATGGGAAAAATAATGGCATTTTGGAGGTACTAAATTAGAAGAGATTAATTATCCCTGCAACATAGTGCATACATAATAAACATTTACAAATTTTTTTATGTATTGTGTAATAATTTTTCGTTGTTAGTGGCCATTGGCAACGCTTCCATTGGAGGTCAGAGGGTTGGCGCCACTAATTTTCGCGGCCGGAAATCGCACCATGTGTTCCAGAAGCATGTGATTGGTGGGGGCAAGTCCGACGCAGGCCCTCAGCACGTTCTCGATGCACGCGCGCTGCTTGGACAGTGCGTTGACGACGGGCGCACCCTCCGGCACCTGCGGGGCCTTGCACAGGTAGCTCAGGATGGACAGCATGGAGCGCAGCGGCCGGTGCTCGGAGGTGCCGTTTTGCTCGTCGCGTTTCGCCACCGTGATGCGGCCGCACAGCTCGGCCAACAGGGCCAGGTCGAGGATCAGCGGCGACGCCAGCAGCGAGTCCTCGCACGTGTTGTGCACCACGATGGTGTTGTGCCCGCCCAGCATGATCTCGGACGTGTACTCGTCCATCGCACGCTTGCTGTCGCCTATGTGGACACAATGGATAACTTTGATCAACAAAGGTAGGGTAAATTTTGTTCAACTACGTATTTTTCTGAAATGATATAATTATACTAATTAATTTTGACGATGATGCAATTCTGGAAAACTTTTTCCAAAATTATTTATTCCTTGGAAAAACTCGAGGGCCAGAATGTGCAATTTCATCATTATAAGTTACGATTTATGATCAAAATTTTCATCATGTGCATTTACTTTTTTTAATTGACTTAATAGGAAAAATAAAAAATCTTTTAGAAAATCTTGAAAAATTAATAACAGATTGATATAATTATATCATAATATCATCTTGTTAAAACATTAGAGATTTTGCTGGAATTTCAAATTATTTTTTTATTCATTTTTTTTTTTTTTGTTATTTCATGTCATAATTTGTTTTTAAATTTATAGACAGAAATATTTACTTTTCATTAAAAATAATTTTATTTGATGTCGAAATGACTAATTCTTATGTTACTTCAACGTGATGCGTCCTTGTAGTAAAATTATTAGCAAAAAAAATTAACTCATAGCTCATTAAGTTGGATTCACAAACATAATTGTAAAAGACATCCATCGCTATAGCTGTTCAGGAATTTCTAATAGCAAAGGTCATTTTTCTAAATTTATTACTGGCTATAAATTGGATATTTTTCTCATTAATAATAGAAAAACCGAGAAAAACTATGACAGATTTCTTATATCACATGTAATAATGCTGGTAAATATTTCTCTGTGAACTTTGGAAGCAATAAAATGTGTTTGTAAAGCATGACTGAGGAAAGGAATCAAATGCAAGTGCTTTTATATATTTACATTGACAGTAGTGAAACCAAATATTGAAAAAATTAGACATAGCATCTTCAGGCGTTATCTTTTTATCCAATTTATCCATAAGCTAATGTTAAGAGAGTTTTAAGCAAAATATGTATTGAAAAAAAGATCTCAGCATAATCACACGCATTCCTACTCACCAACATAAGGGACGTATTTGATGACGACGCAGTGATCTGGCTTCTCTCCCGGTTTATACAAAATCTGATTAGACTCAACCATGTCATCTACCACATTGCTTTTTGAAATCTGCAAAATCGTTTTTTTTATAGCTCAAATCTTCCCTTGTAAAAGCAGGTTAAAAAGTCACCTCTTTTGACCTGAACTGTAGAGGGTCGGACAGGTTTTTTCCGTCGTTGTTTCCCAGGTGGTTGTAGCTCACGATCGAGACCGGTTTGATTCCGGCGCTGACCAAAAAGTCGACGAGGACCGACTTGAGTTTGGTCTGTCCGGACTTAAAGTCGTCGCCACCGAGGAAGGTGCCGTGTTTTTCGGCCAACTCCACGCAACCAGGCACAAATGTGTTTTGCGGCGAACCGTTGATATAAGTGCACTTTTGAAAAGACAAACATTAATATATCTTTTATGTAAAATTTGGCTTTTTAACTCACCCCCTCGAGAATGCTGGCCACGGCGTACAAAGTTGACGGCGCCACTTCACTGTGATTTGCCCTGATGGCGGCCATCAGGTTGTCGGCTGTGTCGTTCAGACCGGCACGGATGTCGCTGAAACGCTCCGTGTTCGCCGTCCACACGACAACCACCGTTTCCAATTGGCGACTTTCTTTGAAGTCTCTTATGTCCTTTCGCAGCTGTTCCACCATTGCTTGCCGGTCTCCTATTTTATTCATAGAATGTTCTTAATAATAATTTTGGATTTAAAATAAACAGACATTGAATTCAAAAAAAGCTTTTGCTTTGGGCAGTTTTGGGTAAAAAGTTTTGAATCAATTTTTCAAAAAATTATTGAAGAAAACTTTTTTTAAATCTGCACAAGAACACCTTAATTGCAATGAACAGATTACTTTTTTTTTAAATTTCTATTCTCGATTGGAATAATTCCAATTTTTTTTATTGTAAAAATTTTATCGAAATTGATATAATTATGCAACAGTAAGTTTGTATTTTTATAGGATCGGGCTGCAAAAGATAATATAAATTTAGAAAAATGATTTTTCCACATGAAAATTGAATTACAAAATTGTATTGCACTACTAATTTTAGGGATCATTTTGCCAACAAAATAATATTTGGATATGCCTTGCTTAAAAATTTGTCTTTTACGTTTTTAGGCTTACTTACAAAACATTTAATTTTTGAATAATTTTTATTTTTAATAATCAAATTTGCAGAAAAGCAGATTGATATGTTAAATTGTCAGGCTTTTGATTAAATTTTAAAATTTTCTTCACAAAATTTCAAGACAAAAATATTCACTTTTTGTTCATATTCATTTTGATATTACATAATTTTTCTACTAAATTTTACGCTGACCAAATTTACCTGGAATAACGTTGTCCACTCGCATTTCTTGGTTGGACGCCACGAATCCCGGAATGTGGGCCGCCGGTCGGGGCTTCATCTGGCTCATTTTAGACACCAACTGTTGCTGCAACTGCCAGTCGATGACCTTTGCCCTGGCCATGGCACCGGCTAGGTCGACGCCGGAAATGTCCCAGCCATCCAAATGGAGGTCGCAGGGGTCAACCATGGGCAAAATGCTGTTCAGGGGCACGTGCACCCCATCGCCCAGGGGGACGGTGCTGCTCTGCGTGATGGAACCCAGCAGATCTGCGTGTCGCTCGCCATCCTTGGTTTGCCACGAAAGGTGGTGTTTGTTGGCGAGCAGGGCGGCCGTCAGGGTGCTGCCGTTGTTGCCGCCCCACCCTACCAGCATCAAGCCCGTCCGGGGCACATGTCGTTGCGTGCGAAATTGATAACTGGTTGTGACAGGTGTCGCCTGTGGCAGTAAAATAAAAAATTTAAATTTTTCTAATTATAACAACAGTTCAACTGGAATTTTAACCATTAAAAATTTCATTGCATAAGTTTTTTTAAAAGATATAAAACTGCGTTAAAATTTAATATAACTTCTCTGGAGCATATCATGAGGCCTCAAGCAATTATTGCTAAAATAATCATGCTCAGAATGCTGTTGAATATGAATAATATAATTATAAATATAATACAAGGACCGGTCAAATTATAAAATTTCAAAATTTCAATTCTATTAGGTTTAAATTATCAAAAAAATGAAACTAATGAAAGATTAATAACTTAAAAAATTTATATTATATGAAACATTTATTTTTAATAATTAATAACACATGAAATTAACAAAATATTTTTATAAGATAGTATTAAATTAAATTTAAATTACAAGTGTTAAATTAAATTTTACAAAATTTTCTTTAATTTCCAACTGGTTTTATTTAAAAATTTTTTTTTTTAAGAAAATCATTTTAGTAAATTAGATATTTTCAATATAATGCATTTGTTGGTTAGCCTTTTATTTTTTAGGTGTTAAATAATCTCTTTCTCTCAAATTATGGAATAAAATATCATGGCCACACAGAGGTCGGCCGACGTGGCCCATCTGAGTAACTAATGGAGTTGAGTCACCACCCCACACACTCACCACGATCGTTTCACCCTGCTTCGTGACCCTGGTAGTCTGGTACTCGTAGTCAGCCTCGATGAAGTCATTGTTGTAACGCACGTTGTCACTCTGCACTCTCACCAGCTTTCGACTGTCGGAATTTAGACTTCCATTGATGGGGGCCATTTCAACGTCTGTTTCTCACCTGCAATTCGCAAAATTTCATTCACCGGCTGACTCGCTCTCCAGCCACGTTTGCAACCCCCGGCTGACGTCAATCACCCCCGCGACTGCGCCCTTGCAAGGGGAGCGTAGCACTTTCCGCTTGGGGTGGGTTGCGGATTCAAGGGATCTTTAGGACTAGAACTTTCTTTACATTTTCCTCATTAAAGTAAAGCTACAAGGGGTTTTCCCGTTTATTTGAATTTTTATCTTTTGATGTGGTAGGAGGATGAGGAAAAATAATTTATTATTACAAATGTCTGGAAGTATTAAAGGGCCGGGCGTTCTTTATCGATTCACATTCGGAATGTAGGCAACCGGCCGAACTCCGTTGCTAGGCGGATCTGTATAACTTCTACAGCAAGGGTTTATCTCTCTACGCCGCCGGGTAACCTTGAACTTGAATCTCGCACGAGCGGAGTTAGTTCTCCATGCGGAAATGCCGGTCTATTTGCCAATCATAAAAAAATGAAACATAAAAGAAAACTTACAAGAAAAATGAACTCTAATTTAAATTATCATGTCTGAAATTGATATTTGCAAATAATTTCATTAGTTAAATCTCAAGTTATATAATATTCCAGGAAGTCCAGTATTTTATTTGGCGCTATTTATAGATCGTGTTTAAGACAATGGAAGTTTATAGTCTAAACTCTTACTTAATCAACCAGCCTTATCAAGCCCGACAAAGTGGTGTGATGCGATTAGTGAACAGGTGGCGAATTTCAAGCTCGTGCTGGACGCATGGCACGCTGCCATTGAACTCTGTCAAATTCAAGGTTAATCCCAGTGAATTATTAGAAAATTAAATTTATTTAAAATATTAATTAACTAAAATTTGAGTCGCAATAAGAGCTAATAATTAGAACCAATTAAAACTGGATTGAAATTTTCTCTTTTCAGTCTTTTCTATTTCAATTACTTAATTATTAAGTGCAAAAGTATTGAAATTTGATATCATTATTGATAATTCAAGCATACTTATTAATCTTATTATTAACATTCAGCCACCCATAATAGTGAGGAAAGTGGTAGAGCTTAAAGGGGTGTTGGCAAATAATTAGATTTAATAATACATTACCAATTGCGGATTTTCCTTCCTAGAGCAGTTGATTCCACGGCTCGAAACAGGCAAATATCACGTCCTGGGCGAGCCCTCGACAAATATACAAGGCGCCTCCCCACCCCCAAACAATGGGATGTTGAGCTGCTGTATTCTTACAAAGAGTCACACCACTCGCATTTCTGGCTTATCACTCTGTCGCCCCACATTATCTCCAATACAAAACACGGCCTTCCCCTATAACTAATTGTAAGGTCTGAACGTGTGTTGCCTAAATGGGAGGCAGGTAGACAAATAGAAAGTACTAGACCCCCCTCACAACTGCAACATTCGGCTGGAATTAAAAGGTTTTTTTTAATGAAACCAGAAGAACAAGGGCGAAAAGTATTGTTTTATTTAAATTTCATTCCGTTAAAAATTGGACTCAATTTTTTTATTTTGTAATTAAATCAATAACTTTTTATAACTTTCAATACAACTTTCAATTAGTTAAATATATTTATAAGCAGCAAATTATGCACGAACTTTGATTACATTGATTATATTATATTTTTAGCTGAAAATTCCAGACGAATTTAGGACGGAAGAGATAAGGATCTGATCAAGGCACTTTTCTGTACAGTTTGCAGATTTTTTTTTTAAAAAAATCTCAGTTATCAAAACATCCCTGAGTTCACAATAATATTTTAATTATTTTCTCATTGAAATCAAAGTGAAATATGTACAAATTTTATTTTCTGAGTTAGGCCTTTTTTGATCGCAAATAAAATAATTTTAAGAGAAAAAGACAAGAATCGCCGCCCCCGCGGAGGCTAAAAGGGCGACCAGTAGGTTGTACGTGGAGGCGGCAGCGTTGCACCCATCCTCGCGACACACCTGGCAAAACCGAACGTCGTCGCGGTGGTGGCGCGCCGTGATGCGACGACTTTCCTCTTGGCCGCCGCAAGCCTCATTCGGAAACCTTTCGTAACCGCACGACCGGACCACCATCAACGCACCATGCTCTTTAATCATTAAAAATATAATTAGTGCATATTATAGGAAAATAGACTTTTTTTGTGAAATAAATAATTTGTGTGCTTAAATTTTTCAGCTCTATTATACCAAAAATAGATTTAGCTGAACAAAAAGTTGAATTTTTTTATTTTAATTTTTATTCATTACATAATGCTGTTTTTGGTTATCTTTCTAAGCTGCATTTTTTACAAAATTTATAATTTTAAGGTGTGTAAAAAAGACATTAATTGAATGCAAAATCTCCAGTTCAATTAAAAAATCAAAATTTGCGCTGAAAATTTTATTTTGACTTTTGATTGAAAATAATCAATCTATATAATTTTTTCCATTAAACGTTTTACTGTATAATTAATATTGTATTGTGATTTGCATTTAAGTGCAATCGGATGGATTTTATGTGTGAAATTTGCATACCTCGCTGAATGACTTTTTTGCAAACGTGACTGATGATGTCCGGCTGAAAGAGGTTGGCGCCGCTAGAGCCGTGGTGGCGCCGTGGAGGCGCGCACTCGGTCGTGTGAGACAAAATGCTCGAGTTAAAGGGATCGCCGCAGACACCGCCCACGGGGCTTGAGCACACCCAGCATCGCAGAGCAGCGCCTGATTTTTTCTTTTCATTATTTTCACATCACAAGGGTTGAAAAATAAATATGTTCAAATAGAATTAAAAATGATCATAAAAATAATATAGAAGAAAGCAGTTGCAAAAAATTAAAGAAATTGAATTAAAAATTTATAATTAAGTCAATTTAGTCCTCAAATTTAACCTATTATTTTCAATACCATTTTGTTCTTGCATATAAGTTTATTATATGCAGGTTAAAATCGTTGGTTCATGAAGATTAATTATTCTTTAGTTATATTGATAAGACCAGAGTTAATAATGACATTGCCAAAAGAATTGCGGCAGATCTGCGCATTAAGCTCATGATAACATTCAAAAATTTAAAACAACAAACTTGAATCTCTAAGAAAAAGAAAAATTTAATAAATACATATTGGAGAGGCAATGGTAGCATAAAATAATTCATGATAATATAAAACAATACATTTTAAATTTGAGCATGATTTTTTATTTTTTTATTTTTTATTATTACATAAATATGAATTTTTTTTAATTTTGTTAGTCGTAAAAATACCTGTTTGAATGGAGATGGCGAAAAGCATCAGCAAGGGCAGGGCTATGGTGTTCATTGTGTCGCAGGGAGGATGCAACTGAGCCTTTTCTTGGGATTTGATCCGGCGAGATGCACATCAAGAGGCGATCAGCCGCCCCGTGCGATATCTCAAGTGGCTTTCACATGCCCGCCCGCTCGAACGACTGACTGTGTTGTTCGCCATTCAGCACGGTAATTGGCGCAATGAGGCGATTTGGCGAGCGCCGTTTGACCCCGACTGTGACCCGCGCGCACCGACAGGAAGCGACACACACATTTGTCCACCAAAGGCATAGACGACCACCCTCCGCTGGCTGTCAAACGACGGACCGAGATTTGCCGGTTGAGCAACCGCGTGTGTGTCGATCAATTAGAGCAGCGCACGCGATAGATAAGCGCCACTTGTGAATAAATTATTGCCACCGGAGGGAGGCTGGTTTGATCGCGGCCGCGTGCGTCTGTCTGCTCATTATTTATGCGCAGCGCCTTTTCTATATTTACTATGTTTGCTTAATTGGCTTCTCGGTGGCATGTGTCTATTTCGCTCTCGAGTGGATTTTTTGTTGGGCGCTATTGCGAAATTCTCTGAATTTTTCATGAGTGTCGCTGGAGTAATTGGATTTCCGCCAGAGCTCACTTTTTCTGCTTTTCATCATGTGAAGAATTTTTCTCGACTTATTAGCTGTGAAATAAAAATTGACGTCAAATAGAAATGATCTAAAAATTAGATTTAAATGGAATAAAATGTAATTTAGATCCCAAAATATTCTAGTTTGTGATCATGATATATTATATAATATCAAAAGTTATAAAAATGAATTAATTCAATTATTTCGGCCAGGAAGATGAATTAATTGGCAAAAAATATTTGTTATAAAGTTGAAAAAGATAAAAATATTTCACGAAATATTTTAAATTATTAATTGAATAATCTTGGAGGCATTGTTTTTATAGTCCTACTTTTTTAGACTGAAAACAAAAATTTAATAGGTATTATATTCTAATTTCGGTTTTAATTTTCAAATAGATATTTGAAGGGGAATTCTCAAATTCTAAAGCAGTGTCTTGGAATAACATATAAAAATTCAAAATATTTATTTTAAACCTCAAATCTTTTTAAAAGATAGTTTATAGTTCCTGATTCAAAAAACTAAAGCAAATTTATTTTTAAATCATTGGTTGCTCATTTTCTGAATTCTACACTAAATTTCTAATTGAATATTTTGAAAATTCTGATAGAAATTTTGCCGCATTTCCCAATATCAGCTATTTTAGCTTTAACGCATGCGAGAAGGGATGTTTTAACCCTTTCGCCGCAAAACCGATAACCCCAAACCAGATTTCGCCGCCGGCACAATTGATCGCGAATAATACGCAACGGCAAAAGCAGCACTCCTATAGCTGTTGTCGACTTTGATGAATCGTATTGGGGGCCAATAGCGGCAAAAGCGATGGATGGCGCACAAAGGCGAGAGTAAATAACGCCTGTGTGTATATTTACATGGCTCTCGTGAGCAGAATGTGCCAGCCGGTGAGTCATTCATTATCGAGCCTGATTTAATTAATGGAGCCCAGGAAATTGCGAGCTATTTTAAATGCAAATTGAGTGACACTGCACGCGTCCTGGGCGGCAAATTATTTAATACTCGCCGGCCTTGTTAGATTAATTTTTGATCAAATCCAACTTGACCTGTTTGCACAGCGGCAGATGCGTCTTCACATAAACCTTCATATTTCATGCGCGGTATCGCGTGCAGCAAGATAATTTTCGGAAAGGGTGAGGCTCATATATGTAAATTACACCCCTGGATAACTTTTCTCTTGCTAAATTGGAGGGTTCGTTGAACCCTTTTTCTGGGCGACCCAAAAAACTATCCTTGCTTGAGTATTATTTGATAAAGGCTAATTGATTTTAATTTTTGATTGGCCATTTGATTATTTTTTATAAATTAGCCTCAGCTCTAGAACTTATTTTATTTATAGAATTTTGTATTCGTGCTCTCCATTTCTTTAATGGTTTCCTGACACTATGAAAATGAATAAGATTGTTTGCAAATTTTTACTTTTTGGCAATGGTTTAACTTAGTAGCTGAAAGCGTCATGAGACATGACCAGATTAGGCTTTCGGATCACTTTGCTTTTATTATATACAGAGGAAGGGTGACATAAAAATATACATTTTTACCGTAGTTATATTTATTTTTATTTAGTTTCAATCTTGTCACAACTCAACTCTCAAGCCATTTATTGCAAAAAACGTTAATATCATCATTAATACTTTTTCTTCGTATTATTAATATCATCATTAATCAGTTCCACTACTTACGCATTCTGCCGAGACCCTTTACCTACACTGCATGCACAAGAAATGCGAAATCGTCTGAATAACTGCCATCAATGTATATACTTTTAATCAAGAATGCACATCAAGAAAGCTTTTTATGCTCTTGAACTAGTTTTGTTTTACAGTAAATATATATTTATAAATGTGGTGTATTGTGTTGGAGGTAAACAACTGGAGAATCAGAAAATACGCCGCGTGAGTAGAGTGTACGCAGCCTCCTGGTTTTCCTTGAGTAAATTTTAGCGAGTGTGCGTAGTTGTATAATATATAGAAAAGATTACTCAAAAGTCTAAAAAGTATCAAAAAAATTAGAAAATATATGCAAAAAATTGATTTCATCAAAAAAATCTAAAGTCTGCTTCATTCTTAAAAAAATCTCTTAAATTGTCACACTACTTTTTATTATTTGTATCTGGAAAATAATATCCATCTCAGCCACTACAAATTCTGCCTGCGTGAACAACGGTCGTTTCTCTTTTCTTATTCTTTATCATATAAGTATTATATATTGGTACAAAGAAAGCTTCTCATGCTGCTATTTAGGCTAACTTGTAGAAAAGAGCGATTAGTGGGGCGAGAAGGACGAACCCGAAGGACCTGATGGAGGGGGCGCTGTTGCACCCGTCCGTGTCGCACACCCCGCAGTACTCGGCCTTGCCGTCGGCGGCCTTCTTCACCTGTTCGCACACGCCCGAGCCCTTGGGGGTGCCGTCGTTTGACGTGATCGCGGCCGCACAGTGACGCATGATCACCGTTTCGTCACCGGCTGAAATCACATAAACGTAGCATTAAAGGGCGCCCTTTGATATACAATCAAAATGCTGACATTTAATGTTGGTCTTCATGCAGACCATCTCGACGGGGATGTTTTGGGCAATAGAGCCGATGGACGAGGTCACGCTGTCCAGGAACTTGTTCACTCCCTGGGGCAGAACGTCATTCAGAGACTTGGCAGACCACTGCATGCTCGGTGTGCACTCGGACGCCTTCAGTTCTCCCATCATCGAGGGGTTGGCGCACTCCGGGTTGCTTTTGGACGTGCATTGGTAGCACTTGATGGCCAGCCCTATAAAACAATATAAGTTTTATTTTTCAATCAAATTTTAAACCAAAGAGTGTAAAACAGATGTGAAGGAAGAAGTTTGGTACTTGATGCGAAGACACTCATAAAATTAATTATTTTATTTTTGTTAAAAATTTTCAGATTTTTTTCTTTTATTTTTCCATAAAAAAAAATACAAATTTAAAAATCAATTACGTTATATTTTAAAATATAATTTTAATTTGAAGTGACGTAATCATGGCGGAAACTGAAAGAATGGTTAATTTGTCAAATTACTGAAGTTAATATGGCTTCTTTATTAAAAAATTAAAGATTTTATAAGACTCAAACTTTTGCTATAATTTATATTGCTATAAAACTTAAATTTAACACAATATCAGATAATTCAAAACGTTATAAACATTTGTAATCAAACAAGACGATTAGAAATTAATAAGCTCTAGTCAGAAGCTTTTAAAGCTCGCCTCTTGCTAATAAAATGAGTTTAAAAAAAATACTTTTTGCTAATTTTTCTTTCTGTTCTTTTAAATTACAATTTGATTCCAATTATTCTTCACAAGAAAATAATTAAAATTTCAGAAAAGCTTCATAAGATATTTCTCAATATTTTTATTTTTAAAGGGAAATTCTTTAGCCTTGACCATTAACCCCATTAAAAATGCTAGCAATTGCAACAAAATCAATAATATTTTGATATAATCACTCAAAATTTTTATTTATATCCAATAATGATCTCACTTTGAACTGATCATTAATTCATCACATTATTGCTAGGCTGTTTTGTAAAAATCTATTTGTGGACATGTGTCTGTCCTTGGTTGGCATAATATTTAAATGAGCATTACACATTTTGTCTACACATGACCCACGAGTGTATGGCCAGGGTGGCAAGATCAATATTGTGTGCGAGTGACATTAATCCACGCCGACACAGTTTTAACCACGAAGCACCGTCATTTGTCAATTTGTCGGCAAGCAGGGATTTGTGTATCGGGAAAACGAATCTCGCGTTTCGTGCATAATCCACAAAAGCTTTGAGCTTCCCCTGCCCATGTAAGGGGAATTTCCATTTCAAAAGCACGGTCGTGCAGACCTTGGGAATTATTTAGTAGCACAAATAGTCCTTTGTGCTTGTCTTTACATTTAGCAAAAAAGTGCGACGCTTTTGCAGCGAAAAATGTAGCACTGCTCATCATGATTTCGTGCGAAATACAAACAATGAGTGCGAACCCGTGACTCTCTCATCGTTTCCCTACTGCACTCAAGGAAAACCGACTGTGGACTTTGGAATTATAATGCACCTTGTTGTTAATTGCTGAATGCGGGCACGCAGGCCGCATGCAAATAAAACGCGCCACTCCGACCCTCCCTGACGCTAAACAATGAGTAATGCACTTGTTATGTTATTCAAAGGGCACCACTAGGAATAAAATCTAGACTGATATGAACACGTGTTGATGAACATTGTTCAATTGTTGAGCAAACTTCTCTTATTTTGGCAGTCTTGCCAAATTCCAGTGACCATTTCAAATTAAAGTATTGTCCATTGTCTCCTAATCAGAATTACATGACTTAAAGCGTTCTGATGACATTAACAACAGTAAAACATGAGCTATGACACATGCATTAAAAACAATAGATTACTTAGCGCATTTTTTTTATTTTCTTAAAATTTTGTTTATTTATAAAAATAGTTATTGTTTTTGTTGTAATGTTGTTATATATTTTTTTACACTGTTACATGTAGTTTTGCTGATTCTTTTTTTGAAAAATTGTTTAAAAATAAATCAATTTAAAAAATTAAATTATTTTAAAAAGTAGATAAATTTTAATTATATATAAAATAAAAATTATATATATACATTTTTACTTATTTAAATTTGTCTAAAAAAAGCCCCTTAGTTTGTCATTTATAGTGGCTAAATTAAACGTTCAAATATTCTCAGGTCAACAGCTCTCAGGAATTTTCCAAGCGTGACGAAGGCTAAAAGGGTCTTTTTGTTTCACTTGTGAGAAAATCTGCAAATTAATAATTGTCTCGGCGTGTCCAGCACATCCTGCGCTCACTCTCTTTCCTCCCATACCGGCCGGCATTCGTAAGCCGGTCTTTTTAGTTCGTGATGTCATCATTCGCTGATTATGTATGCAGCATGTTGGAATCTTTCATACGGAGGAAATTTTATTTTTGGCAAGACGCTGGCTAATAATAAATTGGCCTATAAACTTGTTCCGTTGCAATGCTTTTCACAACATTGGAGATCAGATCAAGAGCATTTATGATGAGCAAAAATATTTTATTTATTGTAAAAAAAGAGAAAAAAATACGACTACAGATTGTTGTTTTCTATATTTTAATTTTTTTTTCAATTAATTTATTCAATTAATTAAAAATATCAAATTTTAATAGCACAAATGACAAAGAGGCCCCCTAAACGAAAGGGAAAGATACAAAAATCAATACTTTCTTTCTGCGCTATCTAACCGGCGTTTAGTCTAAATCAAGTTATATACTAAAATATTAACTACTATGTTCAGGTTCAATGGTTTACAATTGAAGAACTTGTTTGAATATATTACCTTGATGGGCGGTGGCTGCAAGGAAGAGGACGAGAAGAACGCTGTGTGCCATGGCTGAGTTCACCGAACAAGTGCTCTAGGGTGCTCCGGCAAAAAGGCGCAGCAGGGTTTTGCCCGGCGCCGATCCTGGTGAGGCTACTGTCAGAGTTGCGCAGTTCGTGAGAGCGGCGTCTGCGACCGCGTGTTCGTATTGTTGGCAAATTTCCACACCTTACCATTGGTGTAAATTATACAGTCATGAAATGCCTGTGGCTATTCTATTTTTATTTCAATTAGGAAATAAGATAGCAAATTACATCCTTTTTTACTATGGATTTAGTTAGTATGTAATTGAAAATTAAATTAAATATACCAGTTTGATTAATACAAGGCATGATTTTAATTTTTTCAAGCCGATTGTAAACTTTATTTAATTTCCAAATGAGGAGCGCAAGCATTTTTTTTTTTTTTTTTTGCAAAAATGAAATAAGCACAAAAAACAGATATAATTATAAACAGATGTAAATTTGATAAAAGTGCTCAATTATTAATATATGACCGTACGCATATCTCCTGCAAGTCTTCTATGATCTCGCCTAAAGAAAAGGCAGAGACATAGATCGAGAAGACAGCAAAATCCATTTCTTCCTGCGTTTCTTCGAAAAATAGACAAAACAGAAATGAAACAAGTTAAACAAAGTACGCAAATGACTAAAATTATGAGGAGGATCCTCGTTGTTTCAGACACTTCGATGACGCCAATCACCGCGCCCTCATTGCAAGTTACAGTGGTGTTCTCTAGTTTCTGTAGCTCATCGCACAATAAAGATTTATTTCCAACTTCAATGTCGCAACTTCTAAGTGCTACTTCCTCCTTATTTTCTGAAAAAAATTAAATAACTTATTTTTGTTTCCACTTACATAAATCCAAATCCACATGATTACTTTGTTTAATTATGAATGTAGAACAAACAAATTCATCTCCCGTGTGGTTTTTGAAGATTGCTTTTGTTATTTCCTTTCCGCCAATTGTTATGATCTTGCCGATTGAATTGCATCTCTTGTGAGTTGAAGTACAACTAGTTGATGGGTACGAATAATAGCATTGAGGACATGATGTTGACGCTCCTATCCCTAAATATAGTAACCGCCATACACAATTAAAAAAAAAATTATATTTAAATTTGTTTTTTACCGTCAAAGTAGACTGCAAGAAGGAGTAGAGCGATGAGCTTGTGCATTTGCATGACGACGACTGAACAAAATTGTTAACAAATGCACAAGATTTTCCTTTTGTTTGTTTCATTTATTAATCAGAAGGAAATAGGAAACAAGGTTTGATATTGTTTGGAAACTGAAAATAATGAAGTGATAAGATTTAGCTCAAATCCTGCACAAATCAATTCACATATCAGTTGTGGGAAAGGAAAATGGAAATCTCGCGGGGAAACTGAAACAAACTTATGATTTATAAATACAATTTTATCTTGAAAATAAACAAATATTTAAAATTTGAAGCCAACCAGTATATTTTAAGCGGTTATTCAAACATTAAATATTGCAATGCATTATTTCTTCCTAATTCCTCGTGATTTATTGAGAACGAGGCGCCACATAGAAAGGCGCCTTCGTGGCCACTGTCAGGCAGAAGAAGCGTGGATGGATCAATAATAGAAACAGAGCTATATGTACACTTACTCAGAATTTACGCTCGCGTTTTATTGTGTTCTTTTGCGTATCAATTCATAGGACCGATTATTTGATTTTTTTATTTAAAAAATACTAAAATTGATAACAATGAAAAGATTTAAAATAAATTATCAGATTTATAGAATGATCTCCAATGAGCATTATTTATTTTTATTTTTGGACTATTTTACATAGAAATGAATTAGTAGGATAAAAACATGTGCGTGAATTAAAACTCGTCAGGCTAAAATTTCATATCTCTGATTTGTCAATAGTAAAGGCAATATCAATAAAAATGACACACTTACACAGACATTCGACTCCTTAAAATTAGAATTTGATCAGTCTTGCACCGCCTATATTCATCAAATAATCATAGACCGTTCAATTGTGTTACATTAAAATTCATTTTGAACAGGAAGCACACGTCTCAAGTTAAAATTTCTTGATTTATTTTTACCATTACGGCAGTGGTTAGAAACTGTCAGCTATTTTAAAACACATTGCCCTGTATAATAATGAATTGAAAAGTCAGGGTTCTTATTTCACATCAGTCCCTGCCTGCTGTATCATCGCAACCACGTGCTGGTCAAAAGGGCGACCAGAACTAGAAAAACGCCGCGTGTCACCCTCGGGGCCGCGTTGCAGCCGTCTTCGAAGCACTGGCACACAGTTTCGGCGTGACCTTTGTTCTCAAAGTGATAGCAGTCACGGCTGTCGTTGTTCCATCCACACGACCTAATCACCACTCTCAGGTTGTTGCGCGCGTAAACTGAAACCAAAAACCGTATGCTTTGAGTTGTTTGATTTGCACTATTTTATATGTTTCGAGTTATAGAGCCGGAGGTGTTGAATTGCCAACAGTTACGCCACAAAGTTATTTTTTCGCTTCAACCGGCGATGTATCAGTTGCAACAGGAAGAAAGTAGCATTTTTCACAATATTTATTATGGTACTGAAGAAAACTTAATTATTAGAAAAATTATTTCCATCTAAAATATTCATGTTTTGAAGATTTTAATATTTAATATTTTGTTAATAATTTAGCAGAAAATAATTTCTCCCATATAATAATTTTCATAAAAGCTCAAAGATTCTACTTTTTTTTTTATCAAGAACTTTAATAATTATATGCAGATAAAAAAAATATATACTTCATTTAATTTGATGCTATTTTACTACAAAAAAATTATATATAAGTTTATATTTTTTTCCTATATTTTCTGATGATATTTTAAAATTTATAACTCTTTTGATATTGTTTGTTCTTCACCTAAATTATGCCGAAGTCTAGAAAAATTATAGCATAATATATATTTGGTGCTATTGGAATAAGAGTATATTGTTTACATGTTCTTTACAAACTCAAATAATTTGTGATGTCACCAAATAAATATTGATCTAATCAAAGGGCAAGTTTCAGCCGCAGGTCAAACTTGACTCTTGTCAAAACAAAATTGAAGTGACTTTGTCATACTTGTTTGCTGCATTTTCCTGCAGAAGGGTTCTTTTCCTCCGAAAGAGTCTTCGCAGTCCTTGTAGTAGCTGAGCGCCTTTTCGACGCGGTTTTTTTCCTCCAACAAAGCTGCTAAAGAATTGGTTGTGTGGCTGACCTGAATGTCACCAAGTTCAGCGCAACCAGAGTCATTCTGCTGGGAGCTGCATTGGAAGCATTTGATGCCAACCACGTCTGAAATGAAGCATAATTATATAACGAGAGCTGATAAAATAAAAAATAATAATAATAACCTATAGACAGACAGCTTGTCTGGAGAGAGAGAGAAAAAGAAAAATGAGTTCATTGACTGCGACCATTTGAGGAACCGAAGTCTCTTAAATAGGGCAAACATGTTTTTGTCCATCGGATATATGAATCAATAAAATCATCTATCATCATTATTTATTTAAAGCCAACTGATATGCAGATATGCATTTCAAAATTTTGACTTTGACTTAAGTTTTACGTTATTATAACTTATAATAAATTATAAGCCGATTTGATCTCTTCAGAAAAAGATAAGCTTTTGTATTTTTGATTTAAGTTTATGTTATGGGTTTTAAGACTTTCCAGTTTCCTGAGCGATAAGATGATTATAATATTATGCTGCTTTGAATCAAATGGTTATTTAATTTTTAACAATAAATGTTCTACATTAGCCAGGGTTTTTAGGTTGATACCTACAATTCAATGGATTCTAACTTTAAATTTTGGTTCAATTTTACCTTTTTTAAATTCTTTGATACCAAACGTTTTCAAAATTATTTAGAAATTGATAAATAATTAACATAATTATTTCTTGTTGTTTCAGAACTGATTTTAAGAAAATTTTCACTTCATTCCTAATACTGAATTTAGCATTGTCATTTTTAGAGTTTTTTTCCAAATAACATCAGATAATTCCAATTTAAACGTTTTCATTGGCTTAATTATATTTTTAATTCTTATGTAATAAGCTGTAAAAATTACAAAAGCATTATTCCAACTTTCCAATATAATAAAAACAAAAATAAATCGCAGACACTTGCCTGAGGTCCAGTGCAGCAAAACGAGCACCAGCAGGGCCAGTTTCGGCAGGTCACAGCCGTTCGTCATGATTTGGAAGCGCGAGAAAAACGTGCTTTCAGCTGCCGCGGCGGCTCTCCCAAAAGAGCGGATAGATCTGGAGGAGTAAATAAGAGCGGAGCAGCTAGCGGTGGCCGCGAGCTGCTGTCACTTTTGTTGCTATACAGCCATGGGGTCACACATAGACTGTGGGCAGGTCACATTGCTAGGCACCATTACAAGAAGTCTATCGTTAGGAGGGGACCCCCGACTACTCTCTCAATCAACATGCATAGCACAAATGCATGCATTATTTTTGATCATGACTTGCTCGGCTGCTCGTCCGTCACCGCCCGACATCTCGCCAGAGCAGGGGACCGATGAGAGCTGGTGGTTCGCTGGACAATTGAGCCGTCTTACACCATCTCTCTCGCCCGCCCGCCCGCCCGCGTGTGTCGAATTTTTCAAATTGGTTAAATTCAGTGCATGTGTATTTAGGCTGCGTGTCAATCTAAAAATATATTCCGCCAAAATAATGCTTCATGAAAAGAAACTTTAATTTTTTTTTAAATTGATATCAAGTCTGTTTAAATGCACCTTACTAGTGGTTCCATTCTATCCCCGTCCGTTCTGTAAATGACGAGCTTCAGATGTGCGATGGCCAATGCGCTAAAAAGTGGTGTTTCTGAGCAAGTGCAGACCTCACTTCTTGCTTTTTCGGCACTAAAAATAGCCCAAGTTCAAAAATAACTTCACAATTATATTGGCAAAATTTTAAAACACCAGCTCAAAAGTATTATGCATTTTTTACAAGAAAATTAATGACGGTTGCAAAAGTGTATCTCATTTCTGGAACTCAGATATTTTTCAAAATTTTACAGGTCCTTTCAATTTTTAAATTTAAGCTGGGTATAGTGGTGCAGCCGCCACCGGCGGTTTTATTTTTTTATTTTATAAAATTGTGAAAGCGACTCTAACGATGCATGGACCAGAGAGCTTTTACAAAAAAGTAGATAGCGCTGGAATGCAGCTGACGACGATGCACCGCTTTTGGCCACTTTAAACTGGACCTCAGTAGAAAAATAAGCCCGGATTTCAGTCTATTTTGTGATCCCGCATTATACCAACCTGACATTTGATCCTGATTTAATCTTTAATTTAAATTCTTTGTTACTAACATTGAAAGAGTTAAAAAAATCGGTATTAAATATTCAATGCAAAAATGATTATTATGTAGCTTTTTAATAAAATAAATAGTTTACATAATAATTTATGACTTCCCAGTAAAAGTGTTTGCTGTTTGCTGATATTTGAGATTTATGTATCAGGCTGTAATTTTTTACACAGTCAATAATATCCACTTTTGTTTATACAAAAAACGTAAAATAAATAATGTTTTATGTTCTAATGTGCTTGATATATATATTTTTTTTATAACTGAGCCTCATAATTGATTAAAATTTGATTTAAAGATCAAATTGTAAAAAATGTCATGTTTGAAATAATTTAAATAAATATTAATTATTTATTTACTACTGAGCAAAATTCTATTGTAGACATGAAATATTAAAAATAAATTTAAGTTTTGTTGTTGCTGCACGTAGAAAATGTTATGGAAGTAACAAAATTATAAATTAATTACATGTTTTTATAAAAATGAGAGCTAAGCAGCAATATGAAATATAATAAAACAATAAATAATTATTACATTGCGCAGTTTAATACAAATTAAAGCAGTCTTCGTTCGATTCGCGCGTTGGCCTTCTGGCGGCGCTGGCTGAAGTTGCTGGCTTTGTTTACGATAATCATGTGTTATGTTTGATAGAGTGATTATTTTGCTTTCGGCTGGATTATTTTGTTTAATTTCAAAAAGAAGCAGTGATTGCCTCGATTAATTAAGGGGATATTAATACAGATTCAAGGCCCAGTCGTAGTGTCAAATAGAGACATGGGCCCCAAAAAGGCTGCGGGAAAAGGAGGCGGAAAAGGTGACGGCGGCGGCGAAGGAAGCAAGGGCAAAGAAGTAAAGGGTGGAAACGCAGTTAAGGTATATTTTTTAAACAATCCATTTGTAATTGGTGTGAATAGTAACATTTTGGTGATGTCTAGGTGCGGCATATTTTGTGCGAGAAGCAATCAAAAGTGCTGGAAGCGCTGGAGAAAATCAAAGCTGGAGCAAAATTTAACGAGATTGCAGCACTTTATAGTGAAGACAAAGCTCGATCTGGCGTAAGCAAGATTTTCATTTTTTAATTATATACATATTTCAATAATAGTAGCACCACTGACAAAACAAAATTTGCAGGGCGATCTGGGTTGGATGACGAGAGGTTCGATGGTTGGACCATTTCAAGAAGCTGCTTTTGCTCTGCCAATTTCAAGTTTATCAAATCCAGTGTACACAGACCCTCCAGTGAAAACTAAATTTGGCTACCACATAATCATGGTCGAAGGAAAAAAATAAAATGATCTGTGCTCAATCGATTTTCTACACTAATTATTATCTAATTATTGGGGTATGAAAAATTACAATCATATTTTATTATTGCTCTAATTTATTTCACTTCGGAGTTTCAACTTGTTCTAATTACTTTTGATTTTCGGAGGAACGAAATCCATTGGGATTATGCATCTGCCAGTTCCAAGCGTCCTTGCCTATATTTTTTGTTTGTTTAAGCTTAAAATTTTAAATATTATTTATCAATTCTTACACATGTCAAGGATGTCCTTTTTGGCACTCCAGCTGAGGAGCTCCTTGGCAAGTTTGGGATCTGCGTAGGAAGTGGCAACGTCTCCAGCCCTTCGCTCCACCACTTTGTACTTGATTGTCTTCCCCGAGGCCTTCTCAAAAGCAGCCACGACCTCAAGCACCGAGTTTCCGCGTCCTGTTCCAAGGTTGATGGCTACAAACCCTTTAAGAGGATCTTTTCCCAGCACACGTTCCAGGGCTGCAACGTGGCCATCAGCCAGGTCCATGATGTGGATATAGTCGCGGACTCCGGTTCCGTCAGGAGTTTCGTAATCGTCACCGTATACTTGGAGCTCTTTCCTCTTTCCAATGGCAACTTGTGACACAAAAGGCATCAGGTTATTAGGGATTCCCAAAGGATCCTCCCCTATCTGTCCAGAGGGATGAGCTCCGACTGGATTGAAGTAGCGCAGTGATATGACTTGCCAGTCCTAAAGTCAAAAACAAATATTTTTAAATTATAGTTAAAATTTTGAGTTTGGATGATTTACCGGTTCTGCCCTGCAGAGGTCGGCCAGCATTTCTTCGATGAAGAACTTTGAGCGTCCGTATGGGTTTGTGCATCCTTGTCCCGTCGGGTGAGCCTCATCGAGCGGAAGGTACTGAGGTGTGCCGTAGACAGTGGCCGAAGACGAGAAGACAAGGCGGTTCACTTTGTGCTTCTTCATTGCCTCCAGAAGGCCAAGGGTTCCAGCTACATTGTTGCGATAGTAAGATAGAGGGAGCTGGCAAGACTCGCCAACAGCTTTTAGGGCAGCAAAGTGAATCACGCATTGAAAGGAATGCTGAAAGATAACAAAAAGAGCTTGCTGTTTTAATATGACAACGACTACGTGTCAGAAATATGCTGATCTGTGCAGTTTAAAATGTAAAACATGCAATTTAAACATTCAAGTGCTAAATGAAATGAAATAAATGTTAAAATATTACTGAAGTAAAAATGCGATCCAAAGCCTTGGAGTCACAAAGGTCAGCCTCATAAAAAACGACAGATTGCTTGGCTAGCTTTTCAACTCTCACAAGAGCCTCGGGTTTCGGTCCTGCAATCAATGCATTAAGTTTAATTTATTTCAATTTATCTGTAGGAAGTTGTGGGCGTGCCGATTTCACTACCTTCAGAGACGGCGTTGACTAGATTGTCCAGGACCACCACCTTGAAACCATTCTGCAGAAGCACCAGCACCGTATGTGACCCCACGAACCCTGCACCGCCCGTCACCAGCACCTCAGCCACCATTTTCACCAGCGATAAGATAAGAAAGGGCGCTTACCTCATCATATTTACTCCAGATATTAGCAAACTCATATACTTATACCGCATTTGCGCTTTCGCGCCTCTCGGATCTGTCAATTTTTTGCACTGGTAGCGCCCTCTGGAAAAAGGTATTATTTACTTACCGGTTATTGTTAAAATTTATACTATCCTTAAAATGGTCAAATTCTTGCAAAATTAATTTCCTTGGATGTTTTAAGTCTGTTTAAATGTCATAGATTTTTTATAGCTCCTTTTAATTTTAATTTTCATATATTTCACAGAAAACCGATTGTTTTTTCAATAACCGGTAAAAATGCAAAACAACTGTCCAATGACGTCATAGGGTCGGTCGGTCGGGTCGGAGGGTCTGGTCTGCTTTTGATGTTCCAAAATTATTTTGTGAAGAAAGAATGAATCAGATTTGTTTACAGACTGATTTCTGTAGAAAGTAATGTGTAGTCTGACAACGAGCCCATCATGATTCTACACCTCAAGTAAATCAGGCAAGTAAAAAAAGGACAGAATTTTTTTTCAATGCTCCCCGAATCAAACCAAATGAGATCTATGAAAATTTTGGGACACGACCCGGTGGTATTTGTGACACAGAGCTGATTGCAAAATTTTCCACAGGGGTGAGAGAGATGGACGAGATTTTGCTGCACATATCCCAAAGACTCGAGGCTCTGCAGGTTGGATTTGATTACAAATTTAAAATGAAATTTTAAGCACTTCAAATTTTTAGGTGCTGCTCAGCTCGACCTTGTCCAGCTCTCGTGTGCACCTTCAAGAATGGTCACAGCAGATTGCCCCTGCTGTATCGAGACTCAAAGAGATCTTTACATCATGCCTTTACCAACTCAATGGGACAGTCATTAATTTTCGTGACAATGCAAGCGCAATTTTTATACGGACTTGGAACAATGCCTCTCCACTTTTGACTGATCTTCAAGAGCGCCTCTGGCAGATCATTCAATGGCTAAAAGAAGTTTTTGCACAATTTTGGGATTTAGTCAGTCAACGCTCAATAAGTGAGTCAATTATTCATAAATTTATAATTTTTCCTCACCTTGAAATAAGGAAATTTGAACAAATATATAATTATGTCAAATATTGAATTTATTTATAATGCAGTTGTTCCTGTTGTTCTCTCAAAATATATCAGATGACAAAAAAAACTTTATGACAATTATAAGTATTTTTCTTCTTCATTTTTTCCTCAGGCACACCTAGTTTTCCATCAAGTGTGTCTCCACCGAAAATACCAGATGGACTTGTTGGTATTCCAAAATTACCAAACGGATTTGTTAAATCTCTACCATCGAACGAAACGTCTCTGCAGGCTCTCATGAGCCAGCGATCATTAGGTTTTGCTATCGGTTGTGTCGTCGGTCTCACTTTAGGCCTCAACTGGAAACATAAAACATTATTTAGTCCTGTCTTTATGAAAGCTATTGCCATTTCATCAACAAAAGGAATAGAGGTATGATGGAAATTTAAAAAATTTACATGGAATATATTTTTAACTGATCTTTTTAATAGGGAGTCTCTCTGGTGGATGATGCACCAAGCCCAGTAATACTCGAGCCTGATCAAGTTTTGATTGAAGTTGTCGCCAGTTCCATAGACTCCGTAGACCTTGCAATTTGTACTGGATACGGTCGTGCCATACGGAGACTTTTCGGCGTGTCGGAAAAGACCCTAGTTCTTGGAAGAGATTGCTCTGGAGTTATTGTTGAGGTTGGGCAAGGAGTGGCATGGCTGGCAAGAGGAGACGAAGTCTGGCTCGCCCTTCCTCCGTGGAGGTCAGGAGCCATGTCCGAACTGATCGTCGCCAAAGAGCAGCAGGTTTGTTTGAAGCCAAAAATGCTCAACTTTGAAGCTGCTGCTGCAGTGCCATATGCAGCCCTGATCGCCTGGGACGCCGCAGTCACTCAGGGAGGCCTGAGTGCACAATCAGCCAGTAGAAAAAGGTGAATTTTCCAGAAACAAAATAACACATTAATTAATAATTTTGCTTCAGGGTACTGGTTAGAGATGCTGGGAGCGCCGTCGGTTGTGTTTTAGTCCAACTGTGCAAATTTTGGGGAGCCCACGTGACAGCTGTTGTCTCTGCAAGAGGCAAAGAGGTGGCCAGGCAGATAGGTGCTTCGGAAGTGCTGGTCGCCAACATTGATCTGGACATGGAGCTCCGCTCGAGGCCAAGATACGACATTGTCTTCAACACAGTTGGTCCTAGTCTTAATGTGCTGTGTCAAAGAGCCGTCGATACCGACGGAAAAATCATCTGCACTGCTCCTGTTGCCGCACCAGCAGACTCCTACGGTTTGGTTTTCGGGACCCTCTACGCCCTATGGGCTAAAATTAAATACTTCTTACAGGTAACTTATTAAATTTGGGTTAATATTTTGATTTAAAGCAGATGCCTTAAAAAATTATTTGTTGTAATGTGAATGATTTGATTTGAACTATTGCAAATCTTAATTTTTCAGGGTGAAAGTTTAATAATCAAGCCGTGGGCACCTGTGAACCAAGGCAGGACTGTTTTGGAGCAAATTAGAAAGTTGGTGGAATCTGGGCAGCTGCAGCCAGTAGTGGATAGGGTGTTTTCAGCAGCAGACGCAGAATTGGCCTTCCAACATGCCTCTTCGAACACTGCCGTTGGGAAAACGGTTGTTCACTTCAGGTAATTATTTCTTAATCACACTCTAAATCATCGTCCTTGACCATGCTCTTAGATTGATGTCTTAAGTTTCGCCATGTTTGCCGCATCGCATAAAAAAATTGACCGCTCACAAGCTTGCTGACTAACACTCTGGCTTTTTTTAATTTGCCAACTAAAGGCTGCTTTTCAATTTTTTAATGCGAATTTGGCACTTGCAGGAATCAAGCCAAATGGCGCATCCCTGGTTGGGAGCCGGGCAAACATACTCTCTCCCCTTACCGTCCCTCCGTTGCTTTGCTTTCTCGAACTGAGCAAAAATCTCTGCTCTGCCGAGTGTTTTCTCCTTAATGAATTACCATAAATTTAATTAAATAACTTGCTTGACTGGATTGTTTATCGAGCCCACCATTTGGTCAATTTGTTTCAGGACTTTGGGTCGAGGGCGCTGCCTATCCTAGTTACAATAATAGCAGTTACTTAATAATAATACGATTACACTTTATTTTCAATAAAAGTTGTTTCATTTCCACTTTTATTCCTCGTCTTTTGCGCCCTCCTTTACGCCTTCTTCGTCATCACCTTCGCCTTGATCACCATTAACCTCCACATCGGGACCATCGAAAGATTCTTCCTCGTCATCGTCGCCAGCCACTTGTCTGGTCTCAGCCTCTGCCTGCTCCAGTTGTTTCGCAAGTCGAGCATCATCCATCTTGGTTGTAACATGAGGCTAAAACAAAATTTTTATTTAGAATTTTAATGAATTAGAAAAATCTCTGTGTACCTCAGTTTTGACATTGAATTGTCCTCCATCAACAGCAGTAATGTTGTCTCTGATGATCTCAATTGCAGCAGCCAAGGCAGTGATTCCGTCATCCTTTTCGGAGGTCGAGGTGGTCATTACTAAACGCAAAAAAATTATTTACTGGAATATAAATATTTTTTACAAATGAATTACCATAGAGAGGCGGAGCAATGAGGTTAATGTGAATGGGCACGTTTTCAGTCGAGCAGTCTAATCCAGATTGGAGGGCAGCTTTCACTGCGTCAATGCCTTCGTAGCCGTAACAGGCAACTTCGATGTCTGCTCTGATCTTAACCACTGGAGAGGTGAGCTTCATCTTGATGTTGGAGAGCAGGGTCTCCTTGACCTTCTCATCGAGTCCACACTCGTCCAAAATGGTAGGGTTGTGCACAGCTTGCTTGAAGTACTCGTAAGCTGACCCCTTCACTCTGCTCTTCTCCTCAAAATGCCAAGCCGTCTGCTCATAGAGCTGCTCCAGTTTTTCCTTGGAGTCAAACTCGAGGACTTCAGCGACATGCCTCAGAATCGAGTTCACGGCTTTGGCATTCGAGTATCGGGCAATGCACTTTTCCACGTCCTCGGGCGTTACTCTTCTCTTGCTCAAATCAATATAACCTAATCAGAGGATGCGTTAGTACTTCTGTGAATAAATAATTTTACTAAAAAACCTTTTTCCTTGTCAACTCGAATGACAATCACAGGTTCTGTTTTGTCTATGCGGATAAGCTTGTTGACTGATCGGATACGTCTTCTGGACAACTCGGACAACAAAATCATGCCCTCAATGTCATCGTACTCGAGCAAACCGACGTAGGCGCCCATTTCTTGGATTCTTCTTACGTTGACCATGACAACATCGTCGATTTCGGGGTACCTTTCTTTATAAAAGCGGCACGACAGAGGAACACTGCTGCCCGCCATAGCTGATGCAATATGTTGATTCCGGCCTAGCTACCTGATCAAAAACAATTTATTATTATAACTTCATACATCTCGTGCAGCCAAATAATTGTAGCAAAAATACCAGACCTACCGAGGTGTGGAATTATGTGGAAAACAAATAATTTGCCAAGTTGACCACGTTGAAACAATACAGGCTTCTATCAAATTTCTCATCCGCGTGTTGAAGCGGGTGGGAAGAAAAAAATAAACAGAGTGTAAACTAAGGTTTTCCAGTAGCCATATTGAAAAAACTTTGCGTGAAACCGGGATATTTCAAAATTGCAAGTACTCTACATTGAATTGCGCTAGTGCGCAAGTCTCCTAGCTTGTGGTATTTGACTTTACGATAAAATTTCACCGGCTCCTCTCCAAACACCAAATTGCCACGCCCCCCAAAAATTCTTGATTCTTGTCTTGATTCTTTGTTGCCGATGCCAGCAGGCTGTTATTTTTGTAAGTTTTGTATTTTTTGGGCTCAATTTCTCGTTCTCGCTTGGCTCGCGTGATATTATTTTTAAAAAATATATTAAATTGTGAGATCTTAAAGAAATGACATTTCAGAAAAGGCTAGTTTTATGTAAAAAATTAATTTTCAATCGAAGATTAGTGGCCGGCCTTTTGCTTGTCTTTTCCTCTCGATTCTGCATTTCACAAATTTTTGACGTTTCTTCTTTCTCATTGCAGGCAGTGTAAATACCGCATAAACTTCACAGAAATTTTCTGTCCCATCAACTATGGCAGCCTTTGAAGGTATTTATGAGGAACCACTATTTATAAATTGAATACATATTATGGAATTAACTTGATAACATAAATAACATTTTATTGAACTATTTGTATGTTAATCAATTTTCAGCAAATTCATTATTATTTTTATTCACAGAGATGGGCGTTCTGCCTGAAATCTCTAAGGCTGTAGAAGAAATGGGATGGAAGTAAGCAAAAAATTACATTAATGCTTATTATTCATTTATCCTTGCACACTTCAGTTTGCCAACAGACGTTCAGGCCGAAGCCATTCCTCTCATCCTAGGCGGAGGCGATGTCTTGATGGCTGCCGAAACTGGCAGTGGCAAAACTGGAGCATTCTGCCTGCCAATCGCCCAAATTGTCTGGGAAACCCTGCGAGATGAGCGGGAACCTAAAAAGGGCCATGCTCACAGCGCTGCTGTTCGACCTTGGGTCCTCAGTTCAAAGGATAGATCTGAAAACCTGGCTGTGACTCCCGACGGCCTGCGGTGCCAGTCCAGAGAACAAAAAGTCTGGCAAGGCAGCAGAGCCACAACAGGAGTTTACGGCAGTGGTCGCTACTACTTTGAAGCGACCGTAATGGATGAAGGGTTGTGCCGTGTTGGTTGGTCAACTGAAGCTGTAAGAATCAATTAATGACATGCTTTTGGAAGTTTAAAGTCAAACCTATTTTTTATTCAGGCCAAATTGGATCTTGGTACTGATATGTATGGATTTGGCTTCGGGGGCACTGGAAAAAAATCAAATAACAGCCAATTCGACAATTACGGAACTGCCTTTGGGAAGAATGACATCATTGGATGTTGGATTGATTTTGATAACCTCACAATTGGATTTTCTAAGAATGGAGAGGACTTTGGAGTTGCATTTAAAATATCAGGGCACATCGTAAAATCGTCCACTTTCTTCCCAGCAGTTGTGCTGAAAAATGCAGAGATGAGCTTTAATTTTGGGACGAGCCCTCTCAAGCATCTGAAAAGTGGATTTACTCCAGCTAGTCAGGCAAAGTCTTGTCGAGATAATTCCAATGAGTCTGGTGTTGTCAAGCTGGCCAAAAGGCAGAATCATGAACCATTGGCTCTGGTTTTAGAGGTACTTATTTTGTTAATTAATTGGTTAAATTGTTTTAAATTCTTAATTATCCTGTAGCCATCCAGAGAATTAGCTGAGCAAACCAAGCGCCAGCTTGAACTTTTCACCAAGAAATTAGCAAGCCCCAGTATTTCTACTGTCCTGGTGGTAGGTGGCTATTCTCCCAAGGCTCAGCTGGACGAAATCAATTGTGGGGTGCGTAGAAAATATTTTCCAAAAATAAAGTTTCAATCAATTCTTCATTAGGTTGATATTTTGGTGGCAACCCCAGGCCGGCTCGAAGACTTTATTATGAATGGGCAAGTTGGTCTATCTCACTGCCGATTCTTTGTTCTCGACGAAGCTGACGGCTTGCTGAAACAGGGTCAGGCGAGGAACTTGGACAACATGCACACGCAAATCCCAAAGATGACATCCGATGGAAGGCGTTTGCAAATGATTGTCTGCTCTGCCACTTTGCACGACTTTGACGTAAAGAAGCTGGCAGACCGACTCATGCATTTTCCAACTTGGGTAGACCTGAAAGGAGAAGATTCTGTTCCTGACACAGTTCATCATGTTGTGGTCAAAGTTGACCCCAAAACAGATCAGTCTTGGCAGAATTCCGGCCCTCACATCACAACGGACGGAGTTCATTACGCAAAGAATAACAACGAAGATGAAATTTGGTCCGAACGAGTGAAGACGCTGAAAGGGCTCTACTGTGTGAATGCCATTGAAAGTCTAAAAATGAATCGAGCCATCATCTTCTGCCGAACTAAGCTTGATTGCGACAACCTGGAAAACTATTTGAATTTGAGGGGAAAGAAAGCTCCTAGTGATAATCTGTCTAAGGCGCCTCCATTTTCTTGCGTCTGTCTACACTCCGACCGCAATGCAGAGGAGAGGAACTCAAACCTGCAGGCGTTCAAGGATGAGAAGGTTCGCTTTTTGATTTGCACTGACGTTGCTGCTAGAGGAATTGATATAAGAGGACTGCCATTTAGTAAGTAAATTTTCATACTGTCTTTTAGTGAATTTTAATTATAAATTTATTAGTGATCAACATGACTCTGCCTGATGACAAAACAAACTATGTACATCGCATTGGTAGGGTTGGCCGAGCAGAGCGAATGGGTCTTGCAGTGTCCTTGGTCGCCACCTGCAGAGAAAAGGTCTGGTTCCATGGGCAGTGGTGCAAAAAGAGAGGAAAAAACTGCTACGACACCAATAAGTGCTGCATTTGGCAAGACGAGATGCAGGTACTTTTTTAACAACAAAATAAAAGACCAGTGCTTAAGAAAAATTTCAGTATCTGGGAGATATTGAGGATCACCTGAAACTAACTATTCCCCAAGTGGACAAAGAAATGAATGTGCCTATGAATGAATTTGATGGGAAAGTTACTTATGGAGAGAAAAGAGTAAACAAAGGTACTGAAAGCTTGTAATATGAAAAATTGTGAAACGTAAGTCATTCTTTTTCGCAGGAACTGGATACAAAGATCACGTAGCAATGATGGCGCCTGCTGTCCAAGAACTGGCATATTTGGAACGGCAAGCTCAAATTATGTTCCTTAATAGTCACAAAGTGAAGGCTAAGTAGAATACAAAGTATGATGTAGTCAACTTCTCTTGATTTTCCTATTGCAAATTAGTACTGTGAAACTGATAAAACCATTAAAAACATATAATTATTGGTTTCTTCCAAAAAATTACAAATTAAATCTTTTTCTAAGTTTTGAACTCTTTATTTTATTTATTTAACTTCCTGCCTTAAATATGTAGATTATTATATTATTATTTTAATTTTGATTCCCAACTTTTTGGAGTGAGTTGAACATTTAGACGTTATTAAAAAAATTATTTTTAAAGCACAAAAAATTTCCTCAGAGCTTTTAAGCCATACCTTATTATGGCTGTAATTGTAATTAATCTGCAAATAACATTAATCTTGAGAGTGTTATTGTTTATTGTACATAAATAATTAAGGAAGCCACTCGGCATCTTTTTCAATTAGGTCGTCTTTGTCCTTATTTCCTCTGACTTTGTTGTAAACTTTGGACGCTCCTGAAGCAACAGTCTCAATTCCATCTCCAATTTTTTCTCCTGCCTTCCTCACAACTTCGGCCGCAGATTGGGCAGTGAAAGTCTTTTCATCAATGTTGATGTTCAGACCATCCTCGGCCAATATGGTGCGGCAGTCGTCTTGCTTGACGATGCTCAAATCGTGAGGATCAACTCCGAAATTATTCAATTTGTTGCGGAGCTAAAGAATTTCAATTGTCAGCTTAAAATAAGATTTTGGTTACAAATTTAATTTTACCTTCAAAATAACTGCACTGTCAAGGGTCTTCTTGCGGGACAAAATCGTTGCTGAGCGTCTGTGAGCAATTGCCAATTTCTGGCAAGTGAAGACGGCAGCGTAGGTGTCGTAATCGGTGTCGAAAACAATATAAGAAGCATCACCAGCAATGCCTATATGGATAAAATTTAATTTATTAGCATTGGACAGAGAGCATAAGTACTTTTTATTCTATATACACTTCTGAATCACAGGTCATGGTTAGCTATTTGGCCTTGGTTACAAAAAAGTAACAGAAAGGTAAGAGGACTAGACATTTTTTTTCCTTACGATTAGTCTTGCTATCAAACAAATGGATGTGTGACAAACACAAAAAATTACCTAGCTTTAGCCTTGTGTGATTTAAAAGTTATATAACAGTAAATTACGGTAAAAACATATACTTTACTGAGCCTTTCAGATGGGAAACCTTTTAACCACTTTGAACAAGAAATTGTTATTTTTAGGTAAATAAAAATAAATTTCTCTTGCTCTATTCAGCCATATTGCCATGTAAGTTAAAAAAAAAACTCCATAAAATGAAAAACTTCAGTGCCGTGTGTTTTAGCATACTGAATAATAATAGAAAATTGTAATTTAATTTTCGTAATTATTTTTGGCAAAACTTACTGAGTGGGAATTTGACCCTCATAGCAGCAGGATTGTATCTGTCAGGCTGCTTGAGGATGCCGGTGTATCGGTAAACGTGGTCCACGCTGCCCAAACCGAGCAGGAAATGTTCGCTATTCTGCTCTAAGCGAATTTCGCCATCATCGGTGCGCGTGTAGTTGTTCACCAGGCAATTGCTGGCGGTGGAGGACTTTTGGATCACATACCAGAGACCCATGAACTGGAAAATTAAATTTTGGTAAAAATTAGAAGGGAAAAAGATAATATTTTATGACCTAATTTTACTATGCTGACTAATTCTGGTTACTTTTTAATAATAAATCTCAACACACCACAGTAGTTGAAAAACATCCTTTTGTATGGTCGCTAGAGAAAAATCTTAATCACCATGCAACCATGCTTTTTATTCAAGCATAAAACCTCAGAACATCCTTCAAAAACAGGATAAAAGAGATGTTTGAAAAAAATAGTATCCGCAATCACAATCACGTGGGATTTTAATTATTGATAATTTCTAAAATAATTATTTTAAAATTCCTGCTTGCCGTTTAGTTAATGCGATCAGCAAAACATCCAAATAAGGAAAACGAATTTAATGGGGAAACCCAAGTTTAAAACTGCAATATAATCTGTTATGATAAAAACCAAGTTCAATGCCATAATGGCTTGTCCATCACTAAAAATAAATCGCTTCGCTCGAGTGCGCGTGAGAGGCTATTTTCTTTTAACGAGAGTATCCATGGCGTAATTATTTGGTGTGTCACACGCCGCCGAGCATAATCGTAAAAAAAAATATTAAAAAATACAATCCGGTCGACTCACCTTGTCAAGGTTGAAGTTGGGCACCGGCTCGACGTTGGGACAAGTGACTCCCAAGTGGTAAGTGTGTCCGTGCACCAGGCCGAGCACACTAAGCACCAAGGCGCTCGCAATTGCGACCTTCATCGTTGCGTCCCTGAAACAGGAAGTGGCACGGACAATGAGAGATATTCTGATTCTGCTCTGCATTTTATTGTCACAGCATTGTGTTTATATTGACGAGCGTGTTTTCACAATTGGTATTATTTATATACAGAAAGAGAAACATAACCATAACTGGGGCTACGATGATTGTTTAGCAGATAGAATGGGGAATTTGATGAGCAAGGAACTGGTTTTTATTTCAATTGCACGCGTTTCATTATGGTGCTCTGCAAACTCTCATTATGAAAGTTAAATTAGTTAAACTATTTTCTTGAAAATAATGGAAAATTTTTTTTCTACTTAGTTCATAATTTCAATTAGGATTAAATAAAGTATATTAAAAAAAATATTTAATTTACTATTTCCAACGATTAAACATTTAAAATGATTAGAATAAATTCCATTAACTCCAAATGGACAGTATAAATAAGTTTTTGCACAAGATAAAATATTACAACTCCTTTATTTTTATTATTAAAAATAATTCCTAAATTTTATTGTTTAAAAAAATATTTTAAATATAAAAAAAAGTTAAAATTACCATGCGCCTAAATGTGAATTTATATAAAATTTAACTTCAGCATAGCTATTGTTTTAAACACTAACAATTTAACTAAAAATTCTTACTTTTTCTCTCGGAGTATGAAGTCGATGTAGCTGGATCAGTGGTCAGACCGCCAGTGAGCGAGCGTTCTCCAGCGCAGAGCCTAATGGAGCGTTCATATACGTGTATTGGGGAAGGAGGGGTCAGACTCAGGTCATGCCGTGCTGACTCACGCTGGAGGCTGCCTTTGAGTGGGGATTAACGTTGCCCAGAAGGCTTTCAGAGGAACCGAGAGGGACACGACGGACGATGACGCGCTCGAGAGAGCTCCAATGGTTTCGTTCAGCTGCTGCGATTGAAAACCGGCCACCTCTGTATATAACGCTATTAAAATGATTATAATGTTATGAGCGCCGGGTGTATTATTCTCTAGAAACTCGCTGCTATTAGCAAATCAAGTAGCGACGTCAATTCTCAGAAGCCATAAACGCTTGCTGCTCATGATTGAGCACCAGGAAATGTCGCATCTCAAAAATATGAATCACTGCCGCGCGCTGCTCTTTTTGTGACTGACTGCTGACGATTTATTTAGCAAAATGGATCAAGCTGGAATTAATTTAACTATAAAAAAGAATGACTTATTTAAAGTTCCAATAATTTTACTTTAAAAGAAAGAAAAATAAATCAGTAATTTAATTTTCATTGAAAATTGAAAGTTTCTATAAAAGGAGTTGGCACTGCAAAAAAAAGGCAAATTATTTGGGTTTTTTAATTCAATGAAACAGTATTAATAGCAATAGTGCATACATTTTGTCCCCTGAAATACCATTTTTATTATTTTAATATTTTTTATAAATTTAAATTGTGCATTGCATAATTGTTTCCGTGTAATTTTTGTTTCTTCTTGTTGACAAGCTTTTGGCAGGCCGTAATTGAAAACCATATAATCATATTATGCTTTTGCAATATTAGTATGATAAGTATATCATTAAAAGAGTATGGTGATTTTAAATTAAAGTCAGCATTTCTCCTCGATGTGTGTTTAGCGAGTTGTTGAAAAACAATATCCTGCTCTGTATGTTTAGGCTGCGGTCTTCTCTCGACCACCGCTAGAAAGCTCATGAATTATTGCTGCAGCCCGCAGCCGATACACATAGAGCAAGATATTGTTTTTCTTAAACAATAAACAACTCACAAAACACATCAAGGAAAAGCTGACTTTAAATTTAAATCACCACGAATCATGAATCAACCCTCGATTGTGAAATTCTAATTACAAAATTAAAAGAGTAATTAAAATAATTAAACAAACAATATAATTTTTAATGAATAAACACAATAGCACCATAATTTTCTCAAAATTATTTGGCGGATTAACACGAGGATACCCTTTCGTTGTTAAACTTTTCATATGCGAAGAGATAAATAATTAATATCTTATTATTGGAGTAATCAGATAGACTTAAAAAAAGTAGCAAAAATAAAAATGTGATAAATTAATTTATAAGAAAATATATTTAATATAATAATGTTATAATAATAAATTTTAATTTAATTTATAAACTTGATAATAAATAAAATAAAGTTTAAAATGTTTTAATTTAAAAATTAAATAATACTAAAAAAATTTAATGTGCTGTGTAATCTAACAAATTAAAAAAAAAAATTGTGACTTGCAATTTAAAAAATCCTTCATTGAGCGTCATCCACCGTTGAAGTCTGCAAGCAGTCAGCGGTCCTCGAGCTGCTAGTTGGCGGTGCGTCCGTCAAGGGGCGCCGCTCTTAGCGTGCGCGAGAGGAGAGCCGGCGAGAACGTGCTCGCCGTGTTTTGTTGCGATCAGTTGAGTGTTGGACGTCAGAGCGCAACGATGGAGGAGGAACTCCGCTGTCCCGCGTGCAAACAGTTCTTCATGAACCCGGTGCTGCTGCCGTGCTACCACACGCTGTGCATCGGGTGCGCCGTGTCCCTGCAGCAACCGGCGTGCCAACACGCGCAGCAACAGGTCGCGGCCGCCGTGGCCGCCCACCAACACCACCCGCCCCCGGGGGCGGCCCTGCCGGCCGCCGCCACGGCCATGCCGACGGCCTCGAGCAGCAGCAGTGACACCGCCAGCGACTCGGCCGTCGGCGAACACGACTTCCCCGACGTCGACAAACTGTCCATCCTGAGCGAGACCGACTCGGGGGTGGTCTGCAGCAGCCGCCCCAACAGCTACGTCGGCACCCCCAACCTGCAGGGTGTGCTGCTCTTCCCGCCACACGCGGCCGCCCTCTCGCTCCCTTGTCCCGTTTGCCACAAGGTTGGTTTTTTTTATTATCAATATAACTAATTTCAATCTATTTATATTGATACATATTAAAAAAAAGTTGGAAAAAGTTTTCTTTATATCTTCACTGATGTCTCTTTAAAAAAAGACTAATGAATTTTATTTTTATTAAATTAGCTCAAGTTTGTGCTAAAACGTTTAATGAAGAGTGAAGTTAACTGTTTTACTTGTATATTAATCTTAAAGAGTTAAGAGTCATTTGATTATTTTGGAATTGACTTAAAAAAAATTATTATTGCAATACTTATAATAATATATTATAATTATCTAATAATTTACACGAACTTAAAACCAAAATTTCAAAGCAATGGAATAATGCTTTCTTAAAATGATTATTCTTTATAGTTTTACAGCCTTATGTTAACTAAAGACTAATAATTTTTTTATAATGAATTAATTTTACAGTGAGAAATAGACCTGAAAAAATGTTTTGCAAAAAATTAAAAAAAATTCTTGCTGACAATAAGTAAAAAATTCTAATTTAGTATTATTTAAAAAAATTAATTAATTAATACAAATTATAAAAATTATATATAAATTATGACTTTTTAAATTAACTTTCCTTTGCAAGGAAGAATGATACATTTCAGTGTTCCTTTTAAATACGGTTAAATAATCCATTATTTATTATAAAATAGCTAAATTGTAACGTGTTTCAGGTGGTTTACTTTGACGAGAACGGCGCCAACAACCTGCCCAAGTACCGGGCGATGCAGAACATCGTGGACAAGTACACGGACTCGAAGCGTCTGCAGATGAAGTTCACGCAGCGCGTGCCGTGCCAGTTGTGCGCCGAGGAGCCGCCGCGCCAGGCCACCGTCAAGTGCGAACAGTGCGACGTGTGGTACTGCGACCCGTGTCGCGACAGCTGCCACCCGGCCCGCGGGCCCCTCGCCAAACACGCGCTGCTGGACGTGCGCGGCCCGCCCAAGGGCAGTCCGGCCCGGCCGACGCCGGCCCTCGACGCCTCGTCGCGCTGCGCCGAACACGCCGACGAGGCCCTCAGCCTCTACTGCATGCTGTGCAAGGTGGCCGCCTGTCCGCAGTGCGTCCTGCAGGACTCGAGACACGCCAGCCACGACGTCCAGGCCATCACGGCAATGTGCAAGGCGCAAAAGGTAGGAACGCAAATTTTAAAATTGAAGTTTAGTTTCGTTTTATGTACATTACAAATTAGTTTAATTTACATAAATTGGTGTTTCATGCTGAAAGAAGGATTGGCATGTTTTTAGACAGATTTTTTTGATTCAACTTTTCAAGTGATATCCTTAATTGAGCCTAAAATTGCATATTTTTTTTTAAAGAGATTCTTACAATAAGCTTTGATAATAAATTAATAATAAATACATTTCTTGAAATTATTTAATATTATTTTTCTCAATTTTAAAAACTTTTCTTATTATTATTGTTTATTGGTGCATCTAATTTTATAATTCTATGCTTAAATTTTATATATGCAATATGAAAAAAAATGTGATGGATGATCATGCTTGGGTGAATTTCAAAACGGCATTATTTCAATAAATTATTTTATCCAGTCCATATACAATTATTTTACTATATGATCCATATCTGGTTATTAATTTTGACCTTTGCAAATGTAAAATAGTGTTATTTAAGAAAAAAAAAATATTCAAATTAAAGATAACTCCTAAGTTTTATTTTAGTTTTAACAAATTTGATGTTTCGTAAAATATCTAATTTTGTGTAGCGCATATTTCTCAAGCGAGAGCAAATTTCAAGACGGTGATATTAATTCTTCACGCCGTCAGAAGCGCAAAAAGAGCGACGTCGTTCGCCGTCTCGATGGTGCTCGTTTGAAATTTCGTGATTAATTAAAACGCGCTGTCAAATTAATTGCGTGCCAATCATCGTTGAACACATTCATCACAAGCAGCGCGAACACGCCTATCCAGAAGCTCTTTATTCCGTCAGCCAGTTATTATTAAAACACGACGTCGCGCCAGATTTAAAACAAAGTCTGGCCGAGCAAATATGGCAAATGGGTCCGTTAAGCCGCTTAATCGGGAAGTCAGCATATTATACAAAAATCGTTTCGATCTCGCTAGAAATAACACACTCCGTCGCCTCGCATTATTAATATATTTGTCTTTCGATCTTATCACCGGCACTTAAAATTAAAATTCACCGCGAGTTCTTATTACTCACCACTATTAAGCAAGTCAGCCAATAATGCATTTCCAGAATTACAAAAGAGCGCTTGATAAAACGTTTAAATCCGCCTTCCTCTCTCTATTTAAATAGGAGGAAACAGCTGGTTATCCCACCGACGCGAGAGAAAGGACGGAATTAAATAATGGGGATGGCAAAAGGGGTAGTTTATGCCGCCGCGTTCGAGCCATACAGTTGGCCATGCGTAACGCACGCAGACAGCAGTTGAGACACAGACACATGCACCGCGTGCTGCGAAATCCATAATGAATTCGGCCGTGCGTTTTCATATAGAATATATAAGTGAAAGAGATAATAATACAAATGCGCAGCCGGTCGCCCTCGGAAGGCGGTCTCGTGTCCGTTGGACAATTAATTCCGTGCAACGTTTCCCACAGAGAGAGCCAATTATTCAAACTTATATAGAGCCGTCGCCGCGCCACCGATAAATCACTTAATTTCGTGTAAAATGCAAATTTCTTGATTTATGAACGCGTATATTTTGACAGAAAAGAGCATATTAAAATTCACTTACAAATTTTATATATGATTTAACGCTTAGATTATTAACACAATTTTTATTTGATATATGGAAGCATTTAAAAACTTCTGTTGAGAAAACTAAAAATTTCACTTGCACTCTATCTATTAAAATTTTACCAGCTGAAAATTTACAAATTTAGGCACGATTTTTTTTCTTCATTTCTTATAATTTCTTTCATTTTTTTTTTATTATTTAAACATTTTTGTTTGTTACAATAGCGTAGAATTCAATTTCGTTTATAAGACGTTTGTTAACAAAATTATTAAATTTATAAATTTTATAACAACTTGCTCCTGTTAAAAGGAAAAAAATCATATCATTTATATTTTCTTATTATTCCGATTGATCAGCTCTCAATCGTTTTGACGCCACTTTTTGTTGATTAAAAGGATAAAGAGCGAGCACAAAAAGCGAGCTTGTTTCCTTTCCGAGCGACAGCTGATGGAAATTTGAAACCGAGTACACTGTGCTCTTTAATCTATATGCATATTATGCAGGGAGCGGACACGATGACGGAGGAACACTTGGTTGTCAAGTCAAAGAAAGACCACTGTTGCTTCTTCTCTCCTCACTGATGCTCTCAAACCAGTTTCTCGAAATCAGCAGTCGATGGAACGAAACCTCAAATGCAGTATTAAATCTCCCCGCGACAGAGAAAGAGATGCGGGGAGCGCAGAGAGAGCAACAACAAATCATCCCAGGGGTTTCGGTGGCAACAAAAACGACAGCTTCAAAATCAATCAAATTTCGCAGCAGAGCGAGTGGTTTTTCCAAACGATCGTGTTGCAAAATACACTCTTGGGCTACTTTTTAACTGTAAACGTCAGAACATTTAGACGAGTTGACGTATTTTTTTAGACCAATATATAAATTAGATCAAAATATTGAGAAATCCTCTTGGCATAGAAGCTGAGGAAAAATTATCACTCAGCTGTGGACCGAAAGGTGCTAATGATTTTGTTATTGTCGCGACACCGCGTCTCGTAAGCACAACCATTAGCAGATCGAGAGAGATGTGTGGGGTGTCGTTTTCTAGTGCTGCATGTTGAACCACCCCTTGCACCCCCTTTTAATGCTTCCCGTTCGCAGACGCCGGGACTTTTTTATCACTTGATACGATCGACGGCCAACGTGCCCCAGTTGTTAATTTATTTTCAGCCAGAGAAATATTTTTTGCGCTCCCTTGTGGGCCATTCGCATTGGCAGAGCACTCGATATGTATCAAGAGAAGTGACTCATAATGTCGAGCATTGTGTCAGGAAATAAATGGGGAAAAAATATTGAAACCCCATTGCCCTTTCTCTCGGGGTGATGAAATATGATTTGCCCTGGCAGTCCTGGCACTGCACTTCATTTGCTTCGAATTACACTGAGTAACTTTTTTTTATCAAATGCGTTTTGAAATAGTTTCAAGGTTCGTGCTGAAGGCAATAGGTCTCGTTTCAATGAATCTGATAAAAATCAAAAGACAAAACAACGCACGAATATAAATGTAAACGCGCGACCCTTGCTCACAAGTGCGGAAAATTCTCTGGAAATAACACAAGCCAGCAGACACACGAAGGATAAGAAGTATAAAAAAATAAAATAAAAACTCACGAGCTGATTAATGCGTCTGGCATCGCCAATATAAGTCTGGCTGGCACGACGAGAGATGCAATGGGACTAAAATATATAGGAAAAGAAAATGCTTTTAATGCTCCATAGGCCAAACTCACACAGCATTCTTTTTTCTGTATAGAGCAATTTCCCCTTTTTTATGCCTCCAGAGAGTCTCTCGCTCTGCAAAATAAATAAAAAATAAAATTTCGCTGCTTTTATGCTCACATGCAATTACGTGAACGCATTCAGTTCGCTCGTCGAAATCGAATTATTTTCACTTCCGTGGGGTTTGCTGATTTGGTACTTTCGACGTCACCCCAGCAAGGGCTGGATTTTATTGTCGCGTCGTTTGTGCCCGCGAACATCTGTCCGTCTGATGTGTTATGCAAATAGAATAATGGGAAGAAGAGCGACTCTGACTAATTTCTGTATGTACCGGTTGGGGCTGATTGTTGACGCAAGGATTACCACAGCCGACTCTTGGTGATGCGAAATCAAACAACTAAAATCACGCCCACTTGTCTCTCTACGCGTGCTAATTGGATCACACTGATTTTGTGACATTTCAAAGAGTGAGTTAAAACCTCTTTGTTGCTTTGGACCACATACATACTATATGTGTTTGAGATTTTAATATATTTTTAGAGCCATTCTGATTCAGCAAAGCAATAATAATTCTAATTTGCGATTAAACTCATTGTTTTCCAGATCCGGGGCGGATATTAACATATTGAATTATTTAAACATGTGTTATCATATTTTAAGTTCTCAAGCATAGGTTTTTAACTTTCAGTGCAATCTTCATGATGTTAGTCATGTTTAGAAAATTTATTTTATTGTTTTCATTCTCTCATTAATTAATGATTTTAAAATATAGCAAGCATTATTCGGGAGCTCAATTTAATTGGGGTTGCCTCTGTTTCTGCGTTATGCTCAGAGTTAATTTTGTTATTGAATTTACGTTTGATTAAAATTTTATAATAATTAAATAAATACATCATAATACTAATTTACAACAAAATAATACTTAAACAAAAATAAAACAATATTTATTTTAATCCATCTATAAATTTAAAATTTAAATATAAATTAAAAAGAAAAAAATTATGTATCTTGTGTATATTTTTATTAATTTAAAATAAATACTTTCAGCGCACGCTAACTAAACGCACTGTTGATGCTGTAAAAATAATCCAACATCAAAGTACATCAGCGCTAGCGAGCAATACAAAACATAGGTCCAATCGTATATAAGAGGAACTGTCCCCTCCGTTACCCTCAGGAAATGAAAATCATCTTCGCTAGTTCTCTCTCAACACAGCTTTTCTTTTTCCTCAATTAATTTGGTGTGATGGAGAATCAAAGGAAATCCGAACCCACCTCAAATTTCATCAGCAAATTGATCGCACCGAGAGCGACACTATTTATACCTGCCTGCTCTCGGGGTGGTCGCCGGGTCCAAATTATTGCCGTCGTCTGTTGAATTAACACCGCGCGTCGTCGCCGCCGCCGCGTGCTCCAGTCTGGCGGGGGCATTGTGGCCGCCCCTTTATCTTGTGCGTCCCCATCCACCGAAAGATCCGCATGCGTGTGTATTAAGCATTCACCCTCTTATTCATAATGAATGAGTACGAATATGTACGAGGGGAGTTTGGTTCGGCTCGCACTTTGGCGACACGCAGATTAAAACCATCCTGCGCACCTCACTTTCGAGGTTTTCGTTCAACCGCCTCGCAATTTTTCATCGGCGCGATAAAAATATAAAAAATAAAGCACCACGCTATAAATAAGGAGGAAAAG